ACTCTATCAAGAAGGTCCGGGCCGATTCCAGCCAAGAGATCACAAGTTTGAAGGAAGCTCATCAAGCCGAGCTCGCGAGTCTACGACAAGAGAAGCAGGCCGCTGCCTCGACTCAGAACGCCTCCAGTGAAGGGACAACCGAGACTCAACCTGTACCGGATGGCATGATCAACACACAAGATCTACCCCGACCTGCAGTCACGGAGGACCAGCTCAGGCAGTGGTTCAAAACCAACAGGGGGGTGTTGGCGGTGGTGAAATCTCAGATCCAAATCAACCTCGAGAAGCAAACAGCTGCGAAGGATGAAAAGATCAAGAACCTCAACGAAGAGATCAAGCAGCTCAACACACAGATCGAACAGCTCAAGACTCAGAAGGCCATTGATGGCATTACGGGCGTGAAACAGGAACCTGAACAAGCGAAGGCGGCTGGTTCGGGCGAGGACCTGGCTGCCGTCAACGCTGCTTGGGAGAAGAAGATGAAGGAGAAGCTCGAGGAACTGGAAGCGAAGCTGGTCAAGACGCATGAACTGAAGGCGAAACTCAACGCTTCACAGTTGAAACTGTTCAGAACCAGATTCAGCTACGTCGAGAAGGCTGCGAAGGAGACGCCGACTGAGGAGGTCGCAAAGGTGTACGCCGTTGCGCTGACTCAGAAGCCTGTGGAAGCCACCAAGCCTGCACAACCCGCCACGCCCGCCAAGCCTGCTCCCGCACAAGCTGCGCCGAATACATCAACGCCGGCACAGCAACAGCCAGCCGCCCCTTCTGCGACCAACACACCTCAGGCAAACGGTGCCAACAACGCCACGCCTACTCAGGCGGCCCAGCCCAACCCCTTCCTACAGGCTGCCGGCCATGGCACCAACCCAAACCCATTCCAGCAAAGCCAGAACCAAATGGGACGAGGACTACCACAACCAGGTTTCACAGTCCAAGGCCAGGCCCAAGGTCAACAGCCGCAAGCGCAACAGCAGCAGCAATCCGGACGTGGACGTGGTGACGGCGTAGGAACCGGACCGCAAGCCATTCGCGGAGCCCTCCAATCCAACATTCCCCGCGGCGGCGCTGGCGGAAGCGGCATCCCCATGCCCGGAGGACGCGGACGAGGCCAGAACCAGCCGCAACAGCAACAAGGCCAGAACCAACAGCAGCAAAACCAAGGTCCCGGTGCATCACAGATCGGTCGCGGAGGCGGCCGAGGAGGTGGCCGGGGTCGCGGTCAACAAAACCAGAACCAAGGCCAGAACCAGAGCTCACCTGCTCGTGGCCTTAACCCAGGTGCGGCGGGCTTCCAACCTGGTCAAGCTGGCCAAGCTGGACGTGGTCAGAAGCGCGGTGCTGAAGATGACAGTGAGGGTGCGACGAGGGGAGGGAAGAGGGCGAGAGGAGGACGCGGTGGTGGTAATGGCGGTGGTGGACAGTCTGGCGCTGAGTAGAGATGTCTCTCTTACGCAGCCAACAAGGAAAAGGGAGAATGGCAGTGAGAATGAGTCAATAGATGGCTTGTTCTTTAAGGACTGCCGAAAGGATGAGATGAGAACGCGAGCATATATTTTCCTTTTGTCAATGTTTTCCAGAGTTTACGTTCATGGTATCTTTCCGAGGGATGGAAGATGTATTAAAATGAGTCTTTAGCGGTATGCATCGGATGAGTGCGGCTCTCGGATGAGTTTGCGATCTTCAGAAGATGATGGAAGGGCATGTGTGTCTGTACTATAGCATTACACGGTGTTTATGGGAATTCGAGATTTATGTGCGTTTTATATTTATGGGGTTTGATGAGCTGTGTGGTGATGCGTTGATTGACTTTGGCTGTGTTGTGGTTTACTCATCACCAAGTACCGAGGGCTGCGGTTGACGAAATAGAAGTGGTGGTTTACTCATGTTCTTGATCGATTAGCGTCTCTGCTAACTTACCCATGTTTTGTCCTATATCATCGTGACAATGCGGAAGGGGGGCGCCTTCGTTTCAGTATTGACACATCGATATGGAACGGTGAGTGTAGTCTGACAGGCAACGTCAGGATGATTGTTGTCCTGGCCTGTATGACAGCATCGAGTCGTGCTGATTAGAAATGTTGTATGTAGAGTGGCAGCCGTTGTCTCATAACTTTGTCATACTCACGTTCCCTAGCTTACCATCTTTGCAGGCATAGTGCTGCTATCCAATTCTGCTTTATCAATACAGGTGCGATGAATACTTTACCCTGTAGGTCTCATGACCATCTCGTACGTAACGCCAGCCAGCGATCTGGCAAGGCCGCTCTCCGGCTGCATTCTTTCTTATCAGCAACTGCGGCGAGAATTACCGTCTCGTAAATGTGTACGAAGCAACATGAGTCGAGTCGAGTCGGAAGGGCCGCGATGTATGCGCTGGACGTTGTACCTACCAATCGGCCTCGACCACGAGAATTCCCAAAACATGAAGTTCCTCGCATACTAGCGTATGTGGAGCTCCAGACTCAGTGGCGACTATGCGCACCCGGTCGTCTCGGAGTCGTTGTCCCGGCCCGTCGCTACATCACCGATCGGATCGTCGCGCAACACTCGGGCGACGAACCGGCGGGTGGTTATCAAGAGTCATTCGTGAGGTTCGGCTGTCGGTTGGGTAATGCCAAGAACACTGACTTCGGGGTCATTATCTTCGGATGCTGCGGCGATTGGCTGGTGCCTTGCTGTTTAGAGGGCCTCGTGACCGATATGTTTGGACATTGCGCTGCGGTGACAAAATGCAGACTGGCAGGGCCGCTCGGGAGGCGCAAGTCGTGCGTCGGAGAGCTGGCATCTAGCGTATGTGGAGATGGCGAGCTGACGCAGCTGCTGCAAGATATCATTATCGATTGTACCAGGCGAGTATGAAGGGCTGATTGTTAGCGCAAGTGGGGGAGGTAGTTGTTATCGAGATTGCGAGGGTTTCTTGCCCGGGAGTGGGAAATTGATCCTGGGAAGAAAGAAGTGATGGGCATGCTGACTGATGTTGTTCACTGCTAGTGGTTGTGTAGGAGGATAGGATTAATGTGATATCACGACTGGGTTGTAGTGTGGTGAACTACTATTTGTGGGCCCTGTATAGTCTAGTGGTCTTGGGATGTAAACATGACATTGAAATGTGGGTAGGTAGACCGACAATTGAACACTCAGTCCAGAAATATTCGTTTGATGCCCACAGTGATGGCGGAGTGGAGTGAGCATGCATGGAGAGCGCGCGATCTAGCCCTCGAGTCGAGAATCAAGCTCATCGCGTGGGGATACCTGCATCTGGAGTTGTGGACACGATGGATAAGCTCCGAAGGCCCCTTGCCCCTGCAGTTCTCTAACCGAACGACGACTGTACCACGAGGCAGCTCCAAGTCTGGCCGAACTGATACGACATGCAATTAGTTTCTCCGCACTCGATGCCAGCACATCAACCAGCGTGCAGGTCGGAGAGACTTTTGGGGCAATCAGGCCACAGGCGGATCGAGCCGACAAAACAACTGTGTTCACGTGCCTGTCCGGTGAATCCTGCGAAGACTCTAGTGCCAGCGAGTCCTCGGAGAGCCGCATGCATGTGTCGCTGGATACTGCAGCGCGCTATCGGTAGCCTGCAGCCACTTGGCATCAAATAGTGTTGATTCGCCAACGCAACGAAATATCTCTCGTTCGGGCTAGGCGGATGCAGGAGACCAATGATGGTGGGCATCTAGAAGAACATGCGGACACTCCGCTGAGCACCGGTCGCTACATGATCCGAACACGAAAGCGTATACCGGTGGAGCCTGGACGTCTTCATTGCTCGTGTGCCATGCATGTTCACGTAGGAGCGACGTCCCGAGGAGTCGCGAGGGTCGCGAGGAGCTGACCGAGGTGGCGCTCGCGATAACGGTGGCAATGGCGATAGAACGCGCAAACATGCAGTTTGAGCCATCACATACTGGTTGAAAAATGTCAAGATGATGTTCAGTTAGTAAGTAGAAGATGAGCAACTAGGGTTGCACACTACCTGTGTAAGGTTTGCGGTGCCAAGCAATGTGCCAAGTCCTCCACGACTCCTACCCAAACTTCATAAATTCCTCATGTGCTCAACTTCTAGCGGATGTACATGCTTGAATGCTTGGCTGTTACTTAGTCCCGACATGATCGACTACCCTGCATACGGACAATATTCATGGCGTTGTCAATCTCGACGTCCGTGGTCGCTGCTCCTCGAAAGGGATCGATCACACTGGCAGTATGTGCGCTAGCGACGGGCAGACATGCTGTATTCTGTTGCATGGTTGTGCGCGTAGGATCGTAAAGGGCCTGGTCTGGCCGGATCTGCTACCTATGGATGATGCAGCGTGGCAATCTTGAATCCTGCAGCGGAACGCGGGAGGGATGACTGAGCGCTACCAGATTCTGGCCGCGCACACAACTTGCATGTTACGCAGAATTTACAGGGCGGGAAACGAAGACACTCGTCTTGGATGATTTGTAGCGAGCATTATAGGTAAAACGATACAATCGAATTAGAATACATATTGTTGTCCATGTAACCCTGATGATTGAAAGTTGGAGTTAACTACAGCCAAGACGTGAGGTAAGATCGCGTGCTCGATGAAACGCTCAATGATGATCCCTCGAGCATCGAACTGCGGCTGGTCGGGCCTTTTGAAGTCAGACCAGGGCGGTGTGCTCGTAGAGATGGGATTTCGCCATCGCCCAAAAGGGACTAGTTCGGGCGGGATTGGTCACTCGAAGCGTGGATTGCGTTGGATTGCGTGACCGCTGGAAGTCACGACCCAACCTTTTGTAAGGCGCGTCAGGGTCGCACTTCCCCACATACACCGTGCGGCCGACGTGACTTCCGGGGCGTCGCTGTTCTTATCCTCTTTATCTATAAAGGACCTTCTGCCCTCATCTCAACCAGAGTTTGCCCACCAAGTTTCCTGCCTTCACCCACTCTCAGGACTTAATTGCTTCTTCACAAACTACCATCAAATCTTCAAGTCTACCACCACAACCACTGCCACTACAGTATGGCACCCAGTCTTTTGCTAGACCCAGAGTCGCCGCCCTCGTCCTATGTCCACACCACCAAGCAAGCCTTCAGCCAGGACGGCGGAGTGTCACTCAAGGAAGCTCAGGCTCCTGTTGGCGGCGACTTTTCCTTCTCTTCTACAGCTATGAACGGCCATGGTAATGGCCATGTCAGCGGTAGCAATGGCTTCTCCGGCAACGGGTTCTCAGATGCTCAGCAAGGCGGAGGCGATTTCATTACTGCTCAGACTCTTCGTCAACAATCAGACAGCTATGCGACTCAGGCTCGCACTTCGGGAGACGGAAAGCGTCCCAACATCTTGTACATTATGGCCGATCAGATGGCCGCACCCATGCTAAAGTTCAATGACCCAGAGTCAGTTATCAAGACACCTCATCTTGATGAGCTTGCTAGGACCGGCGTCAACTTCGCGAGCGCTTACTGCAACTCACCTCTGTGTGCACCATCTAGGTTCACCATGTGCAGCGGTCAGTTGCCATCCAAGATCGGAGGATACGACAACGCCTCGATTCTGAGCCCGGAAATTCCGACCTACGCCCACTACCTCCGCCGCGAAGGATACGAGACTGCGCTCGCAGGAAAGATGCACTTCATCGGCCCGGATCAGCTCCATGGCTTTGAGCATCGACTCACTTCCGACATCTACCCCGGCGACCTGGGATGGTCCGTCAACTGGGACAAGCCAGAGGAGCGTCAAGAGTGGTACCACAACATGGCCTCGGTCATGCAAGCCGGGCCATGTGTGCGATCGAACCAACTCGACTATGACGAAGATGTCATGCACAAGGTAAGGGCATCTCAGTAGTACAGTATTCTGCAGCGGTATGAGGAGATCTTCTAACACGCACCTTCAGGCTCAACAGTACCTCTACGACTACGTTCGGTCTGACCCCGAGAGCCGTCGGCCATTCGCCTTGACCATCTCTTTGACTCACCCACATGACCCTTACACCATGATTCAGGAATACTGGGACCGATACGAGGGCGTCGACATTCCCCTGCCAAAGGTTGAGATCGCGCAAGAGAACCAGGACTCTCACTCCCAGCGTCTGCTCAAGACCATCGATCTGTGGGACAACCCCGTTCCAGATGAGGCCAAGATCCGCGCGCGCCGTGCCTACTTCGCTGCTTGCAGCTTTGTTGACGACCAGGTTGGCAAGCTCGTCCGTCTCCTCAAGAACTGCAGGCTCGACAAGGACACAATCATTGTCTTTTCTGGAGACCACGGTGACATGCTTGGCGAGAGGAGCCTATGGTACAAGATGAGCTGGTACGAGAACAGCGCGCGCGTTCCCATGATCATCAATGGACCCAACATTGCGCCCAAGAAGGTCAAGGAGTCGGTGTCGACGATGGATCTTCTGCCGACATTCGTCGACCTCGCTGGGGGACAGGTCGATGACCGCCTACCACTTGATGGTGTAAGCCTCCACGAGTACCTCGTCTCGGATAAGCCAGGCAAGGACGAAGTGTTCGGCGAGTACATGGGCGAAGGCACCGTTACTCCGACCTACATGATCCGTCGTCACGAGTGGAAATTCACCTACTCCCTGGCCGATGGACCGCAACTCTACAACCTTGTAGAAGACCCGCAGGAACTGCATGATCTTGCCACCTCCCCAGAGCCCCACAACCAGAAGATGCTCGCCAAGTTCGAGGCGGAGGCGCGCGAGAAGTGGGACTTCAAGACGATCCACAACGACGTCGTCCGAAGCCAGCGCATGCGCCAGGTTGCTTGCAGTGCACTGAAGATTGGTCGCAAGGAATCATGGGACTACCAGCCACCGGCCAACGACCAGAACCGCTTCATCCGCTCGCACATTCCTCTGGACGAGCTCGAGCGTCGCGCCCGCTTCCCCATCGTGGACTACCTGGGCCGCGAGAAGTCAGCTTCGGCATCCCACCATGGCCTCGCAGGAGCGGCTGGTCAGTGAGGGGGCGTTTCCCAGACGCGCACAACCATTTCCTTTTCGAACAATTTGTGTTATTACGGATGCCGAGATTCCATCTTTTCAAGTCTTTTTTTTTTAGTGATCCCTTCATTGTCTAGTTCTATTAGCGACTCATGGCGTATGACTTTACGACGCAGGGTGTGTATTGTCAAGCGTTCTGCAATTAGCATGGTCAGAATGAGTTGCATTTACGGCGTTTTGGGGCATCTGAGGGATGGGCGTTACAGCGATGATGATCTTGAGCAGGCGATACATGGGAGACGGGTGATGTGGCTATCTATACCACAGTACAACAATAAAACTGAAAACGTATCCTTGGTGCCGTGTGAATTGACGTCGGCATTGATCATGTGTGAAAGAATGTACGGTGGTGCTGTGAAGCTATGTGACTCTGGTGCAAAGCGGCGCGGACAAGGAGGGGCGTAATGGCGAGTACCACGATTGGGAGATTGCGATAAGCCAAGTTTCAAGCTACACGTGAGGTGGCGTTTGCCTCCACAAGCCGAACGACCGACAGCGGAAGGTGCCAGTTACGTCTGCGACTCAGTACCACCAACCTTGGTTGTAGCTCTATATTCACCGTGTTTGTTCTACCTCGACCTCTAACTTCACTTCAATCACCGCCAGCTCTGTCTATCATCTACGCACAACCATGTCTACTGCAGCCCGCCGCCGTTTGATGCGCGACTTCAAGGTACGCCACTAGAGCAGCACCCAGCAAGCTCTGGGTGGTTGCGAAACTTGGGGAGCACCATACTGACAAGGAAACAGCGCATGCAAACTGATCCTCCCGCCGGCGTCTCTGCGTCTCCAGTTGCAGATAATGTCATGACCTGGTACGCCTCACCGCATTCCCCCGCACGCGACACCGAAGCCTTGCAGTCACTCTCGAACTTTGGACTCCAAGTAGCGGCGATCACACACTTCTGAGCTTGAATACTGACACAAATGCAGGAACGCAGTCATCATCGGCCCCGCAGACACACCTTTCGAAGATGGGACCTTCCGTCTTATAATGCATTTCGAGGAGGCATACCCAAACAAGCCGCCGGGCGTCAAGTTTATTAGCCAGATGTTCCATCCCAACGTATACGGGACTGGCGAGCTGTGTCTGGACATTCTCCAAAACCGATGGTCACCCACGTATGATGTGGCAGCCATCTTGACCAGTATTCAGAGGTACGTAACAGTAGAGCTGGGTGTATTGTAGCACGACACATGCTGACAGGGTCCAGTCTATTAAACGACCCGAATACCTCGTCTCCCGCCAATGTCGAAGCATCGAACCTGTACAAAGAGAACCGCAAGGAGTATACCAAGCGCGTGCGTGAGACGGTGGAGAAGAGCTGGGAGGACTGAGGGGCGACTAGGGTACGAATATCACGACACGACGGCATGGGATGGAGTTACAAGGGACAGGGACAATGTCATGTTTGTTACTGGCAGCCAGGGGCGTTTTGTCTGCGGCTTTGAGGCGTGGAGTTTGGTTCACTATGGTTCTATGTTCGTGGCGTAGCCAATATACGTCTGTTTTCGTTGGAATCGCTGATCACGTAAAGAGAAGCGTGATTGTCTTTGTCGCTCCACTAATGCAGGGATCCTGGTTAGTTGTCCTTGGGCACAATGCGGCCATATATTGCTGCAACTGCTACAATGACATGAAGCGATGCAAGTAGGCGGGACAAAGAGGTCACCATAAAGAAACATCCGCAGAGCATGCTTTGACCAGGCAAGTTGCGTCACGGCCGTTGGCGGCGGCGGGGAGGAGGAAGGCGCGCTATGGGCATGCAGACCCTGGGCGTATCAACACAAGCCCCAACCCGCACCTCGACAATAGACCGGCATCAACATCGCTCGTCTCCCTCACCGCGCGCGCCCCCGTGCTGTTGTCCCCTCACTTTCTTCTGGCGCGAGCAGCTTGGGACTCTCCGGCCTGCCCCAAGAAGGATCCCTGGCCGTTTCAGCAGTTCCCCTTAACCATAGTCATAGCGGGGCCTGTAATTACCCACCCTCCACGCGCCGAGACACAGCGAGACGTGACGGTGCCACAACAGGACCTCCCGTTGGGCCTGCAGCAACACCTGCCCCGAAGCGCGAGCGAAGCAAACAGAGCGAGGCCTCTGGGCCGCACCGCCTGAACAGCAGCAATCATGTCGTGAGTAGCTCTGGCGACGGCGGCGAAGAGGGGTGACATGGCTAACAAAATGGGCGACAGGGGCTCCAATACAATCAAAGGTGCGCCGCGATACATGAGACACACAGACGCATGGTATATGGGTTACTGACCGTACGACTGCAGTGGTGGCGCGGTTCCGCCCGCAGAACAAGATCGAGATAGCCAGCGGCGGAGAGCCCATAGTCGAATTCAAATCCGACGACACATGTACGATCCAGGTAAGGCATGCCAGCTCAAAGAGGTATGGAGAGCAGAGTCACTAACGCCGTGTGTTAGTCGAAAGAGGCCTCCGGGGCCTTTACCTTCGATCGTGTTTTCGACATGAACTCCCGCCAGGCCGACGTCTTCGACTACTCCATCCGCCCCACCGTCGACGATATCTTGAATGGATACAACGGAACAGTCTTCGCCTACGGGCAGACGGGAGCGGGAAAGTCGTACACGATGATGGGTAGCGATATGGACGATGAGGTCGGCAAGGGAGTCATCCCGCGTATCATCCAGCAAATCTTCGCAAGCATTCTGGCATCGCCGAGCAACATCGAATATACCGTCCGCGTCAGTTACATGGAGATTTACATGGAGCGCATTCGCGATCTTTTGGTTCCGCAAAACGACAATCTGCCGGTGCACGAAGAGAAGAACAGGGGAGTCTACGTCAAGGGTCTTCTGGAAGTATACGTTTCGAGCGAGGAAGAAGTCTACGAGGTCCTCCGAAGAGGTGGATCTGCACGAGCGGTTTCAGCTACCAACATGAACGCCGAATCCTCGCGATCGCATTCCATCTTTGTCGTAACGGTCAACCAGAAGAACGTCGAGACCGGGTCTTTGAAGAGCGGGCAGCTCTTCTTGGTCGATTTGGCTGGTTCTGAGAAGGTCGGCAAGACCGGAGCGAGTGGACAGACGTTGGAGGAAGCAAAGAAGATCAACAAGAGTTTGAGTGCCTTGGGCATGGTCATTAACTGCTTGACCGACAGCAAAACGCAACATATCCCTTACCGAGACTCGAAGCTCACACGTATTCTCCAAGAATCGCTCGGTGGTAATTCCCGGACAACCCTGATCATCAACTGTTCGCCAAGTAGTTACAACGATGCCGAAACGCTGGGCACACTTCGATTCGGTATGCGAGCGAAGACTATCAAGAACAAGGCCAAAGTCAACGCCGAACTCAGTCCGGCTGAACTCAAGGCCATGCTCAAGAAAGTACAAGGACAGGTTACATCATACGAAACTTACATCGGTTCGCTTGAAGGGGAAGTCTCGCTTTGGCGTGGAGGCGAAAGCGTCCCCAAGGAGAAGTGGATTCCGCCTCTGGAGACTAGTCCGTCTTCAGGGAGGAAGCCAGCGACGACACCTCGTCCGGGAACGCCATCGAGACTGGAAGGTGTGAGAAACTCGGAAACGCCACGACCCGATTCCCGAATGGATCTGGAACGCGCAGGCACACCCAGCATACCACTAGACAAGGATGAAAAGGACGACTTCCTGCGAAGAGAGAACGAACTCCAGGACCAGGTTGCCGAAAAGGAGTCGCAGCTTGCCAAAGCCGAGGATCAACTCAAGTCGGCCAAAGAGGAGCTCCAATACTACAAAGACCGGGACGCGAAGACGAACAAGGACAATGAGCGAATCACCATGGAGCTCAACGAGATGCGCATGCAGGTTGAGAAGATTCAGTTTGAGAGCAAGGAGGCGCAAATCACCATGGACGGACTGAAGGAAGCCAACTCTGAGCTTACTACCGAGCTGGACGACGTCAAGCAACAGCTCCTGGACGCGAAGATGAACGCCAAGGAGACTTCCGCCGCTATGGACGAGAAGAAGAGGAAGAAGGCCGAAGCAATGGCGCAAATGATGGCTGGCTTCGATCTTGGCGGTGAGGTGTTCAGTGACAACGAGCGCACGATACGGAAGATCATCGAGCAGCTGGATCAACTTCACGACATGAGCGCATCTGGCGAAGCGATCGCTCCGGATGCAATCAAGGACCTGCGGGAGAAGATTGTCGAAACACAAGGCATTGTACGACAGGCCGAGCTCTCTCTTACTGCACGCAGTGAAGAGGACAACACATATGCCAAGCGCCGCGAAGCACTGGAGGCACGCTGCGAGACCTTGCAGACTCAGTACGAAGAACTCCTCGAGGGCAACGTCTCGGAGCAAGACAAGGAAGAGCTCAAGGCACGCCTCGCCGATGCCTACTCTGCCCGACAAGAAGGCAATCTTGAACTTGTCGAAAGTCTCAAGCAAGATACTGCACGTATGCTGGAAGAGAACCACAAGCTCAAGGCCGAGAACGAAAGCCTGCAACAGCGCATTAAGAGTGGCGCTATTGCCAACGGTGTCGCAAACGGCATCAACGGCAAGACAGTGCAACAGCAGATTGCCGAGTTTGACAACATGAAGAAGAGCCTCATGCGCGATCTCCAGAACCGCTGTGAAAGAGTGAGCAGATTGAACTTTTCAAACGAAGACGCAATGCTAATAAGTCACAGGTTGTCGAGCTTGAGATTTCGTTAGACGAGACACGCGAGCAATATAACAACGTGCTCCGTACCTCCAACAACCGCGCTCAGCAGAAGAAGATGATGTTCCTCGAGCGCAATCTCGAGCAACTCACCGTCGTCCAGCGCCAGCTCGTCGAGCAAAACAGCTCCCTGAAGAAGGAAGTCGCCATCGCCGAACGCAAACTCATGGCCCGCAACGAGCGGATACAGTCTCTAGAGAGCCTGCTACAAGACTCTCAGGAGAAGCTCACAGCTGCGAATCACCGGTACCCACCCCACCTCTCTTCCTCCCAAAGCCCTCTACTAACACCTTACCAGCTTCGAAGCCCAACTCACAGCCGTCAAAGAGCGTCTCGAATCCGCCAAAGCCGGCTCAACCCGCGGTCTCGGGTCCCCCGCTGGCGGCGCAAGCTACGCTGGCTTCGGCGGCGTCGGGTCTCGCATTGCCAAACCGCTTCGTGGCGGCGGCGGTGGACCAGTCGCGGACGGCCCTGTCCTCCCTGTCATTGGCAATCTGCAGAAGCAGGACGGTGACGGCGGAGACGCTAACAAGGGGAAGCGCACAAGCTGGTTCTTCAACCAGCGGTAGTGGTGATCGCATGGAGTATGAGTATGAGATGGATTTGGGTGGGTATCATTGAATGATGGACAATACGGGATGGAATGGAAGGGTGTTTATGGCGTCGCGCTTTGTGGAGGAGGGAAGTGTGCACGATCAACAAGGAAAGGAATGGATGAATGGATGAGATGAGCCAAGATGCATGCTGAACTGAAGCATGCAACTCGAACTTTGTTCTCTAGGAGTGGGTGTCACTTTTTGGCTTTCGTCGCTGCTTTGCGTACTGTTTGCGTAACCCCCTTTATACCATAGATTCATTATCTTTGAATACCTGCATTCGGATGTTATCTACGCCCATTCATTGCTGTCCTGTCCTTTCCTATCTCGAGCCGGTGGTTGGGCGTGAGATTCGTTCACTTTGATTGTATTGTAATAACTAAGGAGCTAAGTAGCAAGGAAGATGGACCCAAGTATTCTGAAGGTAGTGTCTCAGATCCGTACAGCCACGCGGTTCGTCTGGTACTTCTTTGTGCTGGGGAGGAGGAGCGTGCAGACTATTGCTATGCTTCCGAAGGCGATACTCGTGAACTGTTGAGGTGAGGAGTTAGCTTTTGTAATACCAGAGTGTTCTGCGGATGTTGACTTACCCAAACATACTTCAAACTCTCACTATACGCCCACCGCGTCCCAATCGTCGCAGACTCAATAACCTCCGGTGTGACACCAGGAATAGTCGTCGTAGCCAGCGCCTCCGGTTCCGTAAGAAACAACCCCACAAAGGCCTCCACGCTCTCCAGCGGCAAACCAGCCTGTACTGCATACAGCGCCGTATACTTCGGCAGATTGGCAGTCAGCTTCCCAGCGAAAATGTTGTAGTAAATGGAGTAACCAATACTACCCCCAACAGTGCGAATCGACAGCGACAACGCTGCAGCCGTCGTAATGAGCGCATCCGGACAAACGAGCATAGCGACTGTCGCGGCAGGAACAAGGACACCGCCTACGCCGAAACCCGCCATGGATCCAAGGAATAGGACCAGTTTCTCGTTCTCCGGCGTCATAACCGCCAGCGCCCCTGCGAAGGCCGTCATAATCCCCACCGCCACAAGCAGCACCTCCCTCGTATGTCCCGGAAACCTAGACAGTGCCGCATTAAAGAAAATCGCCCCAACAGCTGTCGTAAGCGCAGGCCCCAAACCCCGTAGTCCGATAGAAACAGGAACGGGAGTGTAAACGCTACTAAAAGTAATAGGAAAGAAATTTAAAATAGAGAAGAAATTCATACCCGCGCTAAACGCAACGACATATGCGAGACCCACTATCCTCTGTCCGGAGAAAAGGGCGGCTGGTACCATAGGGTAGGCTGCGAACTTGGCTTCGTAGAGCACCCACGCGGCGATTAAGAAGAGCCCGATTAGCATGGTGCAGAGGACGTAGGCGGACGTCCAGGGATGTGTGTACCCGCCTGATTGGAGGGCGACGAGGAAGAGGGTTAGGCCTGTTATGGATAGCACGCCGCCGATGTAGTCGATGCGTTTTAGAATCGCTTTTCGCGAGAAGGAGGCGTCGCGGGCGTGGCGCTGTGGGAAGTAGGTTAGGGCGAGGCCGATGCCGACAATGGCGTTGAAGATTAGGGCGACCCAGGGACCCTGTGGTGTTGGTAGAAGAGATTAGTTGATGTTTTGCGTGGGATCTGTACAAGTGTTGTTCTTACCCAGCGCCAACCTGGTCCGGTGGAGGAATGCGACCAGAGTTCTACGTAGAGGAGGTAGGGGCAGAAGGGGAGGACGAAGGCGGTTACGAGGGCGAGGGAGTAGCCACGGTATTTTACGGGGACGACTTCTGCGAGGCTGGGGATGGGGTTAGTGGGGTTGGATGGTACGAGTCGTGGCGATGAAGATTGATAGATTGAAGACAATGAACAAAAGAGAAGAAGAAACATGACTTACCCAGCAAGACCAGTCAACTCCCCCGTCGCAGCCCCCGCCCCCGAAATCGCCATGCCAGCCAATAGTTGTCCGAAATTCTGTCCACTGCCCATCAACGCGCATCCCAGGCAGATGCAGAAGGAGCCGAAGAGGGCAATGTAGCGTTTCCCAAAGAGGTCTTGGAGGTAGCCTGCATAAGGACATACAGCGGCGATGGCGAGGATGTTTGCAGTGGGCAACCAAGCTGAGCCACGGTCGAGATTGAGATCCGCTTCAATGAAGGAGAGGGAGGCGCCGGCAAAGTAGAGGATTACTTGGGAGCCTGGGGTGGGTTAGTCTTGGGTGGGATTGGGAGGAAGAAGGGGTCATACCGGTGTACAGTGCGGCGAGGAAGATGGCGGCGAAGATACTACGCACACTCCACTCTACCTTGCCATCTGAGTCGTCTCCTTTGAGTGCATGGGCGTTGTTCATATCCACGCCTTGGTCCGTTTGTTCATGTTGTGACTCCAGCGACAAGTCTGTACCATGATGGGGGCTTGCATGTTCGATATGATGACTGACTTGTTGTTTCTCCTTCTCATAGTCGGGTTGAATGGTATCTGAAGCCATGATATAGCAGACTGAGTCGAATAATCCTGTTGATTCGGTGCTGCGACTTCAACGAGGAAGACGAGGTGTTTCCAACTCTCTACCCTGAGTAACGGGACAATTACTATCCTATATCCCCAATCCCTCCCACATCCCGATACCAAAGGCACCCCACATTCCTGAAAACGTCTTCCTATCAGTTCAGCTTGGCCTCTCAAAGGCGCAGTCAACTCCTCGTAACGATCCAGTAGGCGCGTACCAAGACCGCATTCGACCCACTCATCGTGATGTTTCTGACTAGCACAAGCGAAATCTGGGGTAAGTGACGTTAGTGAGTGCGGGGAATTGACTTCGTTTCAACAGGGCGATGATCTGGACCTTTCTTGGATTCAAGGTGGCGTTCATTGACACTGACTCGGTTGTAACGACATCGTGAAGAAGAGGTCTTTGTGGCCAGCATCTTGCCGGTAGACTGTTCCATGTACCCCGCAGTATGGGAATCGGGCCCTCTAGACTTGGCGAACGGCTCAGCTGTGAGCTTTTTGTTTTTGGTGGCGGGCCTGGATAGATCGGATTTGGTGTGCACGTTGCGTTGTGGTAAGGATGGCGTACAGACGGTAACATGCTCCCGGCGAGGTCGTGAGTAGCCTATATGCAGTTCGCAAGTCTATCTCATCCAACAGACGAAGTGTTCACGATACAACTGTACTGTATGGTAAGACACAACGGGGCTTTTACAAATACCGTTGCAATCACGTCAAGAACAGAGACAAAGGCAATCACTGGCTTCAGTTTTACCGTTCGCATTCGTGGTTCAGGCGGTGCAATTCGGGCAGATCGCATGGATGCACCCGACAGTGTAACGGCTATGCGGAAAGCTCTGTATCCGTTGAGCGCTGGTGTAGCGATGCTGTTCGATGGGTGTACTGTCCACTTGCTCTCCATACATGCTGTGGAGTACGGATACCGGAAGCGGAAGATCATTGTTCTGTCCCCCAACACCTCTGCATCTCACTTCTTGTCCTTCGATCCGGCATCATCCGCGATCAAGGCCTCGACATCTTGCTCCATGAGCCAGCTGCGGACACTCTGCATGACCTTCTCAAGCGTCTGGCCACCACCCATCACATCGTCTAAATCATGCACAGTAGTTCCACTCCTATGGTCGGTAACGCGCTGCTGCCCCCAATTGTAGGTCCGCACCTTGTCACCGCGACCCATCTTCGCCACGCCAATAACGCTTCGTCGCATATTCGCCATCTCCTCTTCGCGTTTCTCGCGTCTTGACTGGGCGATACGCGAGCGCAAAAGTGCCCAGGCTTTCTCTTTGTTCTTATGCTGGGATCTAGAATCTTGCATCGCGACGACCGTGTTTGTAGGAATATGCGTTAGCCGAACTGCTGACTCGGTCTTGTTGACGTGCTGGCCACCGGCACCGCTTGCCCTCATGACTTCTAGCTTAACCTCTTTCACATCGATGTAGTAGTCACTTTCTGGGTCTTCGAAGTCCTGCTCTTCTGCAGAGTTCTCCTGTACACTAGGCAGCACGTGTACGGATGCCGCGCTCGTGTGTGTACGCCCTTTGGCCTCTGTAGCGGGTACGCGCTGCACACGATGCACACCTGCTTCGCATCGGAAGACACCATATGCGCCATCGTTCTCTACCTCTATGATGGCTTCTGATAGTGGTACCCCAGCTTCAGTCGTTCCGTTTATGTTCTCATACTTGAGGAGATTTGTGCGGAAGCCGTTGCGGTTGCAGAAGGCTGAGTACATGCGGAAGAGGTCCCCAGCAAATATAGCTGCCTCTGATCCGCCTGCGCCAGGCCGTATTTCTAGTAGACATGGGAGATGTGCGAATGGGTGTACAGGTACTAGAGAAGTGATGAGGTTCTGTGAGGCATTGGCGAGCTGCGTTCGTGTTTCTCCAAGGTCGTCGGAAGCGAGTGATCGTAGTTCGGGATCGGTCGAGGAGTCGTGTATCATCGAGGTGAGCTCTGTCACAGACTTAGTCCATATCAGCTACTTGAATGCTCCTGCTGGCTGCCGTATCGTGCTCACCTCGTTGGCTTTGTCCCACTCTCCCAATGCATTCACGATCGGGCTGTACTCGCCGAGCTTCTTCGCCGCGCGCGTATCAAAGCCATTGGAGAGTTTTTCTGTCAATTCCTTGTGTTCGGTCACGATTGCGCGGGCTCTTGTGAGCAGGGCCGGGGGTATAGACTCGGATGTCGCAGCTATGCGATGTTAGCGACTGGGCCAAATTGGACACATTCAATACACACCATTACTCTGGAACCGAATACTTCGATTTACCAACGGACGAGCAATGCGCGACAGGCAATTGCGGCATATCCATGACGTTGTGAGCATAGTCGTCGAGTTGCCTCAAGCTCCGATCTGTGAATTTCTCCATGTCCAATGCGCGTTCCGATCGGCTCGGAACGTGTGCACGTGATGATAACCCTCACCCCGGCAGATTAAAGCGGACTACACCGCCTTACCACCTTCCTGTTACGGAGACGTCATGGAGATAGGCGGGGACGCTGCGATATGTCCCGAGGGATTATCGAGCGAAATCGGCACGTTGAACGGCACCAACCATCTCCGGGGATAACCGTTGGAGACTACTTAGGTACCTAGGTATACCATAGTAGCTTCCCCATACCCCACCCATACGTTCAAGCTTCAGTACTCGAGTACCAATGCCTACCCCACGACGAAGCAAGAGGTCCAAAACTCAACAAGAGCCTGAGCAAGAACGGCCCGCTAAAGTCGCCAAAGTCGCCATGGATAACAGCACATCTTCGAATACCCGCAATGTCTATCCACATCCCGAGCCCCAATTCGTCCACTTTCCCAGTCGTCGTTCAGTCGTACATAGCACCAAGGGCATTGTGTCGTGTACGCAGCCACTTGCAGCAGCTGCTGGAATTGAGATCCTGAGGAAAGGTGGTAATGCGGCAGTATGACGTAATCCATCACCACTTCCATCTCATACTAACGCTGTAAAGGATGCTGCCGTAGCCGTCGCGGCAGCCATCAATGTCACAGAGCCAGGCTCAACGGGCATTGGCGGTGACATGTTCTGCCTGTACTATGATGCAAAGACGAAGAAGGTATCTGCAATGAACGGCTCTGGCCGGAGTGGTGCAAATGTTACTCTCGACAAGGTCAGGAAAGACCTCAATATTGCAGAGGGGCAAAGCGGCCAGATTCCTATGGATCACGTACATGCCGCAACAGTGCCTGGCGCAGCAGCAGGATGGGTTGACTGTGTTGAGCGGTTTGGTAGTGGAAAGGTCAGCATGGAGGACGTGCTCGCGCCCGCCATTGATCTCGCGGAGAACGGTTTCCCAGTCTCTGAGCTATCAGCAACTTTCGTGAGTCTTGAAGCGAGCCAAGATTAGGTGACGTGCTAATATTTTCAAGTGGGCGGCGAGCGAAAAAGACCTTTTGAAAGCATCACCCAATGGCCGCGAGATGCTCAAGGATGGCAGAGCGCCCAAAGCGGGAGAGATCATGAAGAACCCGACCATGGGCAACACCTTCAAGCTATTGGCCAAGCATGGAAAGAAGGGATTCTACGAGGGAGAAGTAGCCGAGCAGCTCGTAAAAGTAGTGCAGGATCTCGGTGGCTATCTCACTCTAGACGATCTCAAACACCACGCGGAGACCGGAACGGAACCAGTAGACCCCATCTCGCTAAAGTACACTGGCCAAGGTGTTGGGGAGCGACCCGACGGCGGTATCGAGCTATGGGAACATCCACCAAACGGCCAAGGAATCGTTGCTTTGATGGCCCTCGGTATCATCCAAGAACTTGAGAAGCAGAAGAAGATTCCAAAGTGGAGCCTCAAAGACCACAACAGCACCCAATATCTCCATACTGTTATCGAAGCATTGCGGATCGCCTTCTGTGATGCCCATTGGTTTGTCACAGACCCCAATGTCGTCAAGGTGCCATCCGCTGAGCTTATCTCGGAGTCATATCTTGCCGAGCGCGCGAAGCTGTTTGACCAAAAGAAGGCCATTTCAGCGCCTGTCCATGGCTCACCGGCGCATCTGCAAAGCGACACGGTCTACTTCTGCTGTTCCGACCCCGAAGGAAATGCCATATCCTTCATCAACAGCAACTATGGCGGATTTGGTACAGCCATCATTCCCAAAGGCTGCGGATTTACTCTGCAAAACCGAGGTGCAAACTTCAGTCTCGACAAAGATCACCCGAATGTTCTGGCGCCGAGGAAGCGACCATACCACACCATTATTCCAGGCCTGACAACCTACATCAACGATGGTAGTCTGCACTCCGTGTACGGCGTCATGGGCGGTTTCATGCAACCCCAAGGTCACGTACAGGTACTCCTCAACCAAGAAGTTTTCAAGCTCAACCCACAAGCTGCGCTGGATTCGCCACGCTTCTGTATCGGAGCTGGCATGCCTAGCGCCGACGGCAAGATGACTGATGCGACGATCTACCTAGAAGAGGGTATCGACGAAAAGGTCGTAGAGGAGCTGCGAGCACTTGGTCATAATGTTAAGCAGCTTGATGGCTATGGGCGTGGTATGTTCGGTCGCGGTCAGATTATCCGGCGACATGTAGACGATGATGTCCAGGTGTGGAGTGGAGGTAGTGATCTACGAGGTGACGGTGCGGCGGTGCCATTGTAGACGGCCTGGTGAAAATCATGAGTGTAAATGAGCAAGCAATCCAGTGTCAGAAAAGATTCAGTTCGACTGAATCAAGTCCCGCAAAGATCCACCATTCACGTTGCATGTGAACAAAGTAGTCCTCCATAGAACAAAGAAAAGTGAAAGAAGATGTCTGTGCTAACATTAAAGCACCCCGTCAATCTCGATCAACATAGGCAACTCCAAACCCAGCAGTAGATGCCGAGACTCCAATCTAGCAAACCAAGATGACCCGCAACGTTTCGCACGTGTCCTGTGAAAGGTATCCCGCAGCGTGGCGTGCCTGGGGTGAACGATCGCCGGCCCGCCCTTGCTGTTTCACGTGCAAGAATGTGGCAGAATTGTGCGCCCATATAGCCTAACTTACTGCATGCAGAATAACCAGACGAAGCAGATTACCCTTGAGATAAAAATACACATTCGTTCGCAGTTGGTGGAAGCCATGATCCGCTGTGTCGGTATGAAAGGACGTATTCTAGATTGAACACGCACGCGTTCATTTCCAGACCACCGGGACATACGAAGATCGGAGATATTAATATGTGATACTGACTTTGATTTGATGGGGGGAGGTGGTACTTGCATAGGGGAAGTTGGGGTTTAATATGAGGATGGGTATGCGGCATGGCGGGTGTACAACATGAACGATTTCCTATCCTTACCTCACGTTATCTTCTCAATGCCCCCTTCGTCTCATCAAAACCATCTTACTGTCCCAAGCATGACTAATCTCCGCCCCTCTATCCGCTGCGATGCGATATCCTTCATAAACTCCCGCCCAAGCCTGAGCGAAGGTCGCATACGCTCAAGTGAAGACCGGATACGCACCAGTGAAAGCAACAAACGGACGAGTGAGACTTATCCGCGATGCAAAGAAAGTCATCTGCGCCCCAGCAACTCCAAAGACTTTCCCACCGATGCCCCCACAATGCATTCAGCCCCTCGGCCCGTCGCCTGCATAAAGTCCTCATATACGAACTACATCAGACCCGTGGATACCGCCAGTGACACAGGAGAGCCAGGATACACAACGATCTCATCCACCGCCTCATCACCCCTGGTTAATGATAAATCAGGTCTAGCATGCGGAATCACAAGAGGATTTCGGGGTTTGTCCCAGGGCTGCGCGCGGTTACGGGTGAGATGGGTGCGCGTGCGCGGTCGAGGTCAAGGTCGAAAGCACGTGGTTAGACGGTGTAGGGGATCGGGGCTTTTGTTGGAGGACGAAGAAGGAAAGGACGATGTGACCGATGAGGAGGAGGCTGAAAGAGTGTTTTTCGCTTATAAATGAAGAAGGAAAAAATTGGTATCATTCTCGCTAGTACAGGTTAGGAACAAATATAGCTAGGTAGACGCTCATAGAGATAGGAAAGATGTGTCGTGTATATCGCGTCGCTCAAAAACAGAAATAAATGATGCCCTTCGTGTCCTTATTCCCTCCACTTATTCGGTATCCACATCCTTCTCTCCATCCGTGTGATGTTTCTCTTTTCTCCCGATCTTGAATAACCTCCCCCATCTCGATCCATGCTCCCCACTCTTATCCGTCTCCCTACTCCAAAGACTACTCGCTCTTCTCCTCCTCCCCTCTTCCACACTACTCTTCCTGCCTCCTTCTGACCTCGAGCTCGAATGACGCCTTCGTTCTGTTTTTGACGCGGCGTAGTGGTCTTCCGGACTTGATGTAAGGATGAGTTTGTTATTGGAGGCGGAGGATGAGGAGGAGAGGATGTTTGCCCAGGTGTGCGCTATGGAGGAACGACGGTCTGGGTGGGTTAGCATTGATGGGGAAAATGGGGGAGATGGGAAGGGGGACGTACGCATATTTCCTGCTCCGCCGCGACCATAGGGAATACATGGGTCTTGTGTCGAGTGTGGTGACATTGTAGGATGTTTTGTATGGGTCCAAGACTGTGCTGATGAAGACGAAGCCCGAGGGTAGTAGGCTGTTATGTTGTTGCAGGTATGTATGAAGTTGGATTCCGTATTTCCTTCGACTTTGGATCTCGTTGTATATATCGTCAAAAGCGCAAAACTGGAGATGTGTTCTAGAAGACGCAAGCTTCCCCATATAAACCCCCCAACCCAAACCCATTCAACGCAGATCCTCACCCACCACCCTACGTAACCCACAATTTCTTCTCCGAAGATCACCCACACTTCTCTAGACCCCGGCTTCACCCGTCCCCATTAGGTCGCATTCTAACCACGCACCTACCGAGGCACCCACTCACATCCCGTCCTCATATCTACCGCGGCTCCCCTTATACAAGCTTTTGGACGCAGGCTTAGCTTCTTGGTTTCCATAGGTGAGCGAGTAGAGGGACGTGAAAGAGGGCACCACTAGCGCGCGAGAAGCTTATCTGCAGATAATAGAGCTTGGCATGGGTGGTGCGATCGTGGGGAGACTTTTCTGGGGTCGACATTGACAGGTTTTGTCGCGTGATCGGGGGATGCTGTGATCGTGGGGAACGGCGCGGAGGCGATCCCGCGGGGTGTTGGTGGATTTGCTTTGCGAAGATCAGCGAGGAGGATGACGTAGCAAGGGACGTAGCTTTAGCCGGGGAAAAAAGTTGGGTGACATGACAGATGTAAACACGTTTTGGCTCTGGACCCGATGTGATGTGGGTACGGTACACAGTCTAGATTCCCGAGACTTGTGCTCTGTGGTTGAGGCACCGAATATCTGTTTCTGTTTCTGTTTCTGTTTGAACTACCTGGGTACTATGTATGCCTAGGCCCAATATTCTGCTCCATTGCGAGACCGTCACAAAACGGTTTTACCTTGCTGGTGTGTGTACCTTGCATTGCTAACTACTGCTGTGCCACCGCCTCTTCCGGTTGATACAAATACCTACACATTCCCAAACCCTTTCGAATTCCGAATCGCCAACCCCAACTTCCTCTCCAGTACTCCCCTATCCCCATAATCCGGCAAATACAACTTCCCAAAACACGTGCTACTACTCGGCAAACTGTCCGGTGCCCCCGCAATCTTGACAATGTGAAAAGTAATACTCTCGTAGCCCGTAACAGGGACGCGATCAGACGCAGTTACAAACTCGAGAAGATGGCGTAGGTCTGCTTGACTGTAATACGCGACTACGTCCCAGAAAGCGCGGATATTGGAATGCGTAGTCGTATATCCGTCTTCGTATTTTGCGCAGCGTTTTAGGTCGGGGATAGAAATGTGCTGGGTGCCTTCGATGAGGTTGCGGAGGGTGGATGGGGTGAAGAGTTGGAGACTCTTTGGGTTGATGCAGGTGAGGAAACCGTGCAGGAAAGGAATGAGGCCTGGCGCGATGGAACTGTATGTCAAGGCGCGGACGTAGTCCTTCACGTATTGTACGCGGTTCTCGTTCGTGACTAGACCAGGCTCTTCGATCGGCGTGTTTGATGTAGTGAGTGCCGGGAATTTATCACCTAGGTTTTGATCGATCGGCTGGCCAAACGCCTCATAGCTGAAAACGTACTCGCGCATAAAGACGTCTTTTACATCGCCGTCGCTCCAGGACAAGAGAGTGCGGAAACTTTCTGCTAGACCGGGCCAGCCGTCGTTGATGTAATCCACGGGGTCGTAGTCAGCTGGACCTTCGACGCGCGGGTTGCCGATAGTTTGGAGGTACTCGTAGAAGGCGAGGGGAAAGGTAATGGGTAGGGTAATGCCGTTGTAGACCGCAAGACTGAATAGTATACCGAGCATTTGAAACTTCCAGGGAGGTTCGAAGCTGCCAGGTTGGAACCACGTCATGTGCGTCTGTGGATCGATTGTGAACATACCTGGCAAAGTTAGTTGAGTGGCTTGCAAGAAGTACAATTTGGCTTACCATTCTCAGGCCTAAATGCTTCACTCAGAACGACACGGAAAAACTCGTACGTCACGCCGCCGTGATCCAGGCCGACCTCTCCTTCCTTGTGACCCATTTTGACCTTTAGCGGCTTCAGCAGCATTCTCTTGTCTTGACCCCACAGCTGATCTAGTGTATCTTTCAAAGGTTCTTCGCGACTGACATCCAACACTAAGTAGTCACTCAGGGTAGTCTTCAGTTTCCTCTTAAGGATCCACCAATACGGTTCTTTAAGGAACATCTCCAGCGACTTCTGCATTTGGTGGGTGCGCATAGTATGGTCGTACTGCTTCATCATCTCGGTGAAGTTGATCGTGCGAAAGTAAGCTACGAGATGTTGTGCGGAAAACAGGCATGGGTACTCGAAGACGTGTAGAGTGTTGGGGTGACGCTCCCAAGTGAGATAGTTGACAGGCTCGTTTACCGTGTCAATGCGCTCATCGAGTATTGGCATCTCAAACATGTTGGAATGTAAGTGTAGAGCTTGCCGCTTGGAGTCTGTAAACGTTAGCCTCTTCATGGTGAAATCATCTTAGCTACTTACGAAGTTTGTCAAAGACCATCACGGCTGTACCAACGCTGCTCCACTTGTTGATTTCAGCCTTGCTATCCCATTTCTTGACGATGACAGTCCTTAGCCACTCCATAAAAGTAGCTGTCACAGTCCACCCTGGGTCTCCATCGAGATCATGGCTCGAGTTCAGCCGTATCTTGGTCGCCATACCGGCGCGCTCCACTACTTCCAGATGTTGTATAACCAAATCTACAAGTCCAACAGCAGATTTACCTTGTTCTGACTCATCCCGATCCGTTTCTGCAACGTCCAAACTGGCGAGTATATGTTCGAAACAAGTCCGCGTTCCGATAGCTCGAAGTAAACGATCGGCAAGACGCACCGCCGGTTCGTACTCCAACTCGTCAATGATGTCCATGTAGGGATGCGCAAAGGCATCGGTATGAGGAGTAGCAGTCGGCACGATGACACCCCAAGATCGGAGTTTCCGTATTTGCGCCCATGTGTGTGGCCATCCAAGCGGTACTAGTGAAGTGAGTGCATGTATGCATATCATGACGATATGAGCGGCTTCATGGGTATCGAGATAGCGCGAGGCGCTCTGATGACGACCGGAAGTCTGGTCGGATGGGCCGTCGTACGAAGCGCCCTTTCTCGATGGCCTCAGACGAGGACTCTTCTGAATAACGAGTTCAGGTGGGGAAACGAACAGGACTTCCAGTACGAGCCATAGGCTATCGAATATGAGCGCACCGTTGCGGTGGTTCCAGTCTCGAAAGGAGTTTGCCAAGCGTGCTGAGTCAAGATGAGGTAGGGGTGAGTCTTTGAAGTCTTGATTGGTATCGCGGAAAGACGCAAGCAGCTTTTCTGGATCGCTCAGAGTATAGAACAGAGACCGGTTGACGAGGGGTTTTGTACGTCGCGTACGTCGCCGACGATCGAAGTCCACAACGTAATTGAAGTCTGTAGAACGGCTCTTTCCACGGCGATGGACGTCCTCTTTGAGCTCATCGAGGATACTGCAATTCAATGTTGGGACAGCGGGTACACCGGATGATGAATGTTCCTCACCAGGGGTGTTCTTCGTAGGTAGTTCAGTTGCTGCTGCTGATGGCTTCGTGCGATGTGCAGCACCCGGGTATGCCCCACCGATGGTAAAGCTTTTCTTTCCTGTTTTCGCGATTGATAGCATTGCTGAATCTGATGCACTATCTACGGCAGTAGGATGTGCTGCTGAAAAAGGATGTCTTTGAGTCGTGCCGTTCGAGGGATGGTATGGTATCCTGTGGACGTGGTGCCCGTTAGCCAGGACCTCGGCGCCAGCGTTGTCTGGCTGTGAACTGTCACGAGAGCCGGCTGACAGTTGTGAATGCTGACGAACGATACGCGAGTTTTCATTCAATTGTGATGTGTTCAAGCCGTTTGTACCAAGTGTTGGCGTGGTACTTGGATCCGCACGACGCCCATCGGGTTGGGAAGCCAGTGTAGCGGAGGTTCGAGCAGGACGAGCGTCATGTGCAGGAGCATGCTCGGATTTGCGAAGTGAAGCAAGGACGGAAGCAGGTGTGGGTATTTGCGTAGTATAAGAGTATATCATAGTCAAGCTGTCGTACAAGTTCTGACTAAGAGCCTTTGGGTCCTTTCTAGCTTGCTGCCGTTGCTTGAGGGCATTGATCAAGTCGCTGTCCAGCTCTTGTTGTTGACCAGCAGCTCCACTGCCAGAGCTATTTCCCGCACGACGTTGCCTGCGCTGTTGTGCCAGTTGCCAGACCGAAGGATAGACAACGTAGTCCTCGGCAGAGTCGTTTCTAGCATGTTGTGCAAGGCTATCCGTAATCTCGAACGACTCAGGCGCGACCTTGAGCTCGTGGGGGCATAGGCCGCGATTTGGATTGTCTTGACCGGCAAGGTAATGGGCTAGGGCCGTGGCCGTAAGCAGTGTAGGCGGACGGTGTGGTTTGGAAGCGATGCGCTTGCCGGATGAGAGGCATGTGGGGGTATCGCAGTAGGCACTCTTACAGCCATGTAGAATCTGGGATAGGTAGCTAATCCACAGTCAGCATTCTATTTGACAACGAGAGGGACAGATGTGCGCACTGTCGGACAAGACTTTGGAAGCGGCGCTGTCTTTCTGTCTGTGAGCATTCCAAGACGCGGCTGGTGTCTTGCACGTCGATCACATCTTTTCTACGTGAGCGGTTCGAGGCACGTGATGACCGTGTCGATGGTCCAGCCGCTGCAGCAGCCGATGAGGTCTGGTTGGTGGCATTGTACGGAGCATCGCGAGGGTGCTCAGTCCCGTCTGACATGCTCATATCATCGATGACGACGTTGTTGCAAGAGAGAGTGGCGGCTAAGGATGCAGACTGGTATGATATGTGCGACTGTCATGGCGCATCACACAACTGCAGTCGCTCTAGTAGAGACGTAGACGAGTGTAGGGCTGAGGTAGTGGCCGAGGGGTGCTCCTGCCCTGCGGCTCTAATCCGCTGCAGGGATGGCAGGTGCCAGTGGCTTGGCGTAACGCCTGCGGATTGATGTCATGCTCGTGCGCTTCAATATTCGCCCCAAATCGGCCTTTTGCGCAATTCCACCATCTTCGCCGTGCGCAGGACTGCTGATAAGACCCAAAATCTGACTCCCGCGCCTTCTCAACTTTGTAATCGCGCCCTGCTCGGCCTAGTCGACTTTTGCCCCTCGGCCAGTCATAAAGTCGTGAAATCGTCGGCGCTACCACATCCCACACTCAACCCCACCTATCGCCTATTATTTCTACTCCTCCCTCCGAGTGCAACCACACCGTCAAGCCCACAAACACTCGCAAAGATGGCGTCGCAAGTTCCGTCCCAGGCTAACATCCAGTCTACGCATCCCTTTACTTGCAACACATGTCAGGTCGCCTTCCGATCGAGCGAGTTGCAGCGGGCGCACATGCAGACCGACTGGCATCGCTACAACCTCAAGCGTCGCGTAGCCTCGCTCCCACCGCTATCCTCCGAGATCTTCACCGAGAAGGTTCTTGCGAACAAGGCCACCGCTGCCGCCTCAGCCGCCAAGGCGTCGTTTGAGAAACTGTGCACCCCATGCCAGAAGACATACTTCAGCGAGAATGCCTACAACAACCATCTCAACAGCTCCAAGCACCGCATCAACATGGCCAAGTCAGGCAGAGGCGCCCAGCTAGACGACGCGGCCTCCGTTACGGGTTCTATGGTCAGCTCCGCCTTTTCGCTGGGCGAGTCCATGGCCGAGTCGGAAGCCACCACTGTCAACGGGGACAAGGAGGTTGCGGATGTTGCTGAAGGTCTGCAAAACGCGAGCCTCGAGGGCGAGGACGCTGCTGAGAACGAGTCCGCCGCGGCCGAAGATGACAAGAGCTCTGTCGCCGCATCGACAAAGCCTGCCACCGATCCCCTCCTCGACTGCCTGTTCTGCAACTACAAGTCGCCCAGCTTCCAGCTTAACATTACTCACATGGGACGATACCATGGAATGTTCATACCCGAGAAGGAATTCCTCGCTCAACCCGAGGAGCTTATCAAGCATCTCCACGAGAAGGTCCACGCCTACCACGAGTGCCTGAAATGCCACAAGATCCTACACACTGCCTCCGGCATTCAAACGCACATGCGCGATCGCGGCCACTGCATGATTGCTTTCGACACGGATATCGAGCTGGTCGAGATTGGCGAGTTCTACGACTTCCGGAGCTCTTACCCCGATGCTGCCGACTTCGACGAGATGGCAGAGGAGGCTGAAGATTCAGACGATTCGTCATCTACAACAGGAGGCGGAATCAAGCTCGGTGCCAGGCGCGAGACCAAGACTACTACAGAAGATGATGCAGCCATGTCGAGCAACGCCGAGGAAGACGCAGGCTGGGAGACTGACAGCACTGTCTCGAGCGTACCGACTGATGAGATCACAGCCGTACCCATCGATCGCAGCCACCGCCACAAGTCACTCAACAAGTCGAAGCACCACAACCATGCCGATCCCCGCCCACACCGCGCTGCAGACGGCTTCCACTCCCACGCGCATCACACTCCCCAAGCTGTCTACCACGACGAATACGAGCTCCATCTCCCATCAGGCCGCACCGCTGGTCACCGCTCCCTGAACAAGTACTACCGCCAAAACCTGCGCAACTACCCCGGCGTCGCCGAGCGCATGGAGGAAGCACAACGCGCCCGCATACCCGGTGCAATCACCGCCGGAGACGAAGACGAAGAGGACGAGGACGGCGATGTTACCATGGACGGCGAAGAAGGCGAGGAGGGCAGCCAGCTCCAAGTCCGCGGACGAGGCCATGATAAGGACCGCCAGCTCCTCTCCCGCGCCAACGGTGGCAGAGGCATGGTCGGTGTCACTGACGCCAAGAAGAAGGAGATCCAAGCTGTCGAGAAGCGCGATAGGAGGAAGGAGCAAGCTGCTCGCAGCCGCTACCAGGCTAATGTTGAGAAGGCGCAGAACTCCCAGAAGCACTTCCGCGATCCCCTCCTACAGTAGTCGTTTCTCCAATGGAAAGTTTGGGTCAAGGTGGATTGCGTTCCTCTGGGTTCTTTTCTTTTCTTTTACTTGCGTGTCTTTTTTAACGAACTTTTATGAGCATGGATGGGCGTTTGCGTGGAGACAAAAGGCATGAACTAGAATGTCGCGGACGAGGGCTTCGGACTCTGTGGTATACCTTGGAATATGAATTACATGACAAAACAGACCCATCTGTCCACATTTCTCGTGATTTCATCGTGTCAGGATTATTCCTTGCATTTGCTGCAGGCATTGATACAGATACAACGACTTCATATATATGACATTATCCTACGTTCAACTACATCCAACCTCATCAACTTTTGCCCCAATAACCCCGTGATCCAACTACTTTCTCTCATCCTCTCCCCTCAACCCCGCAGCATGCACCTGCCTCCTAATATCAAACAGCGCGTCGTCAATTTCCCTCTCCTCCTCCCGCCCTAGAACTAAACTCGGACTGCTAAAGAGATAGTCCTTGAGGCTCTTGAGTTGATTGATGATACTGCGCGGGGTGAGGATGACGCGTTCGGCGAAGGAACGGGTTGGTGTGTCTGTTGCTGAGTGTTGGGTTTGCGAGTGGGATTGTGAGTGGGTTCGTTGATGTTGGTGTGAAGGTGCAGCGTCGACTTCCACGTCAGCTTCGACTTCGGCTTGAGGGTCCAGCACGCTATATTCCTGCTCCGCCATTTCGCTGTCTTTGCTGACGGGAGACGGCTTCGTAGATTCAGAAGACCTCGGCCGCGGGCTCACTTGCACATGACTCAACCTCTTACTCCCACTACTTCCCGGCGTCGTTCTCTTCGCCTCACTAACATCCTGATCCGCACTCTGTCTAGCTCGTTTGGGCGCGGGGGTTTCGTCTACGACGAGATCCTGCGAGTTTTCGACTTGGGAGAGGAGGGATTGGGAGCGGCGGAGGTTTTGTTTGCGGTTTGTTGTTGCGGGGACGACGACGGGGGATTTGGTGGTGACGGCGGTGGTAGTAGTGTGGGTGGATTTACGTTTTTTGCCTCGCGGGTTGGAAGGTGGTGGGAGGGGTGCGGCGACGGTGATGTTGTCGAGGATATCGGCGTCGGAGGGCTGGGATGGTTCTGGTTCTGGGGCGGCAGCTGGAGCTGGAGCTGGAGCAGGCGCAGGACTCTCTTGTGTCTGTTTCTTGCCATTCTTCTTGTTCTTTGCGGGTGTGCGTCTGGGTTTCTTTCCACTTGGAGGACGGGAGGGGCTGCCCATAGAATGGCGGGAAGAACTACGCAGGGAGTACGGTGTTCCCTTTGCGGAACTATTATCAAAAGAGTCACCTACTCGGCTCGTACTGCTTGTGTTGACTTGAGAGCTCTTGCGCGGAGATCGGCGGGCAGGGCCGCGAGTTGGCGTCTGTGACTCGTCTACTTCGGTGTCGCTACCAGCTTGGTCCTCCAACATCGATGACTGTGGATGTGATGCGGCGTCGACGTATTCAGCATTCGACTCTGATTGTGCGGACTCTGTCTCTGCCGCAGGAGCATCATGTACTTGCATGTCGGCGTCAATTTGCGCTGTAAGTTGCAGGTCTATGGTCGAACTGGGCAGTTCTGACATGATTGTGTCTGAAGGAGATTCGGGGTCCATTTGTGTGTTTTCGTGGAGCGCAACAGCATCAAGCAGTGCTTCCTCATCGATTGTGGTTCCTTCATCAAAAGAACCCGAAACTGAGCTTTCTGGTTGACGGTACTCAAAGCTGGATCCTACGAGAACATCAGGCTCGCTTTCTTTGTTGTTAGACCTGTCGTTCTTGTTGAACTGAGGCGGCGAAGAGTTCAAGTCATCGTTCGCAAACTGTATGTTCCGGACAGCCGTCGGTGTGACAATATCTGTGTCCTCGCTCACAATATGACGAGTATTCCTGCGAGAATGTGGAGTTGGCGACGACCCAAGGTAGCCATCCATAGGACCCATGGCTGCAAGAGCCTTAAGTGGAGTTGTCCGAGAAGCATGATCTGGCAGATCATCTGCAGTCAACGCATCTGAGTGGATCTCCATCGGTGATGGCACGTCGTCTGGCTGCGGTGAGGCAGCACCCATTTTTGCGAATATACCACTGCTGAGCCTTTGACGATCGATCATCTCTTTTTGTCGGTCAGTCAACACCTGTGACTCTTGCTGGAACGGGTTCGATGGCGAGGAGACGATAGGTTCGAATTTGATCTGAGAGTCGTCGTGGCGGAGACGAATCTTTGGTGTTTGTCGCGACGGCATTCTCCTCGTGGCTGAGGTGGGTACTGCTGGAGACCGAGACTTGGATCTACGCGATGCTTTGGAGATCTTGAAGGGTGAAGCCTTTACCCGCGGGCTCTTAAATGCACGTTTGACCTCGTCCGCACTCGTATCGGAGTCGTAGAAGGACAGCTTGTTCTCCTATTCTGACGTTAGTAAAGTTTCGGAGGTACTGATATATGCACTCACAGCATCCTCTTCCTGGACTTCCAGTGAGGGAAGAGAAAGCTCGACACTATTCCGTAACTGGCGCAGGGCCTGCTCAAGTCGAGTGGGGTATCGCAGGCTGTTTTCTTTGCCGAAGGTGGCATTCCAGGTCGCAATGGAGATGTTGACGATGCTTCGACGTCTGCTTAGAAAGCCTGCGGTAACCAATGCTTGCAAGTGGAGCAGCGTTTGGCTGTCCTTGCGCGGCAACCGCTCTATGGCTTTGTTGACTTCCTCCCACATGGCGATGACCTAGAAATGGTTAGTGGCTGTTAACGCTGTTCAATAGCATTAGACGTACCTCACGATGCAAGCTCTTCAGTGGCTCTTCCTTGCTCTGCATCTTCTTCTCGGGATCTTCCACCCAAACCTGGATCGCGTCTTGTATCTTACGTAGATATCCAGCGAGATGAGACGTCGAGCAGTGTTGGACCGAGGTGCTAAGCGCAGAGAGAAAGCCTTTGGTTGGCTCTACATCGTCTTTGTCAAGATTCCTGTAAGCAGCTGACCCGACGGAAGTAATGGCTCCATAAAGGTGGACATAAGGGTCGATATCATGAGATCTTGCAGTTGTGTTTGAAGGCCAGAGATTCTGCCGACCTTGATCCATCACTTTGCGGCTCATCTGCTTTGGTAGGTTGCGGAGTAGAACGCTGGCGTACGCCAGACAAGAAGCCTTGTCTTCGTCAGGCGTGCGCTTCAGGATTTGCTCAGAGATCTTCTCAATGACAGCGAGTGCAAGCGCACCTTCTCCCGCTTCCCTCCGGACGGTACTGATCAAAGTCGACAGAATTTGATGCCCGACGGGTTTATCCAGTAAGTAGGCAGAACCGAGACTCAGAATCTCGACCACAATCTCGTACTCCTTGCCCAATGAACGAGCGCCGCGCTCACCTGATGGGGCTGTTGGGTCTTGCAGCATGGTATCAAGCAACGTCACAATCCGCGTCCAGAACTCCGATGCCACTGCACCCTTTAGCGAACCATCAACAGACGCTGCGCAGTCCCGTAGAAGCTCCAACTTACTCAGCCGGGTATTCTGAGCAGCGAAACAGGGTTCAATGATTACATCCATTGCGCGGAGTCGGACAGGATCCGCTAGCTTTCCTTCTGATTGTGTGACGAGAAGATCCAGTAGGAAGAGGAGCGGGGACGATCGGGTGCCTTGGTGCCGTGACCGATGTGATGGTGTCGAGGCGACTTCGATCTCGTTGTCGGCGTTGCGTGTGAGACACTTGTCTGCGAACTGGAAAGCGCCCATCTTCTGCACTACAGTCTCTATCAGGAAGCAAAACTTGTTTGCCCAGAGATCCTCCGTCTTCTGTTCTACCGCAATGTTGTCCGTGTGGCTGTCCCAGATCCGACGCAGCAAGTTGATGATATGTGCCATGGCATCTTTGGTTTCTGTGGAGGCCATGATCTCTTTGCTGCTTGCTTCAACCAAGGAGTTGATGACTGCTACCCACATCGTCTGAAACGGTTCGTCTTCCTGCTCTTTGCTTTCGGTTTTGAGTGCAGCCTCTAGAATGTCCTCTACGAACTCTAATACAAGAGCAATTGATCTCCGCACCCACTTTGGATCGACCAGAGGTAGCTCACCTCGCTGGATCATGAAATTCGGTCGGAGATCTAGCGCCCGATTTTCGTTCCAAGGTTTCCGAGAGCCATCCAGGAGAGCAGACACGATTCGGCATGGTATGGCGTGCTGCAGAGAAGACTTTGCGATGATTGGACTCCAGAGACCAGCTATGAAATCAGTCCAATGTCGGTCAAATTGTTCGAAAGAGGCTGCTGGGCGAAAGGCGTAGTACAGCATGGTGAAGTATGCGGATGAAACAGCGTCGCGTTCGGCTTTCTTTACTGGCGTCTTCCGTTGCAGTGCATGTACTGAAATTTTGACGAACATTCCCGACCAGGCTTCGAGTCTGGCTTCGGTGGCCAAGTTGATGAAGTTGACGGAGTATGCCAGGAAGGCAACGGCAACATTGGAGTATAGTCGGACTTGGTCCTTGTCAGACGACAGGCACTTGTTAATGAGGACCAGCCAATCTTTCAAGCCTGCGAACGCGTCAAGCGAGTCTTTGAGGAGACCCGTGACAGCAGCCACGATCTGTGGCACCAAGACGGCGTAATCACCACCCAGCATACGATCCAATTCACTTGCAAAAACGCTAGCAATGGTGCCACCGTCGCTCTTAACCCGGTTCAGAACAGACAAAACGGATTTGGCGACATGTCGGTCATGGCCAATGGTCTTCGCGGCGGTTACTGCAGTGTCCAGCGCGCTTTGACTGATATCCTTCTGGACCGATACCAGAGCTTTGAGAGTATGGGTGAACCATCGTTCGGTATGCCTAATCATAACATCCGGGCGTTGTTGAAGCAGCTTCCTGTATATCCGGACCCTGTAGGCTTGTACCGCGTGGCCCGATGTTCGTTCGTGGATGGTGTCTAGTGCCTCGAGCACCTTCTCGACGCGTGTCGCAGTCATGGTCTTCGGCCGGAAACTTTGTTGCATGAGCACAGCCAGGTGTGTGTTGACGGTAGTCTTGGGCATGGAGCTATCGCTAGCTACGCGGATGATGCGGTCTATGATGAAGGAGCAGAAGTCCTCGTCCATGGCGGATATCAAGTCGGTGATGCGGAATAGAGCCATGAGCAGCTTCATCGCCTGTCCAATGAGCTGTGAGTCCAGTCCAGTCCCAGCCAGACCCGGAGCCTGAATGTCGCGTCGTATGAACTGGGTCAACAGAGACATCTTCTGCTTCAGCGCCTGAGGATCGGGTATCTTTTCATATGCCTGCATCGTCCTCTGCAAAGAACCATATGCATCTAACCGAGTCCCGCGCTCAGAAGAAGCGAGCAGCTTCACTATCGCGTCCAGCATCTCGGCGAATGACTTGTATTTGAGCGGGTTGGCAGCGTCTTCTGCGGGAGGTGTCTGCGTGCCGTCGGAAGGCTTCAGGATCGACTTGAGCGGCTTGGTGAGACGGTTCTGGGGGAGGGGCTTCAGCGGTGAGCTACGCGTGGGTGTCCAGGACTGCGCGATTGCCTTGTTGGTGGGTATGTCGCATAGCTGCAGCTCGAAGTTGACTCTCTTCCGTGCGCTGGCGGAACTCGAGGGTATGTCGATGTCGGACGACGGCGATTGCTCTGGCGTGTTGGGCACTCTCTTCGCTGCTCTGAGCCTGGGCGGGATAGGCTTCTCGCCAAAGGGGTCTTGGAGGAATTGCACCGTCTCGTCGGCGGCTGTGTCTTCTTGGTCTTTGGGTGGAGTCGGAGGGCGCACGGAGAGAGATTCAAATTTGGACGACACCATGGCTATGCTGGAAACCGCTAACAAGAAAAGAGAAGAAAAGCACAAGAAGACGCTGGCATCGCTCTGGTATGCGTGGGTGAATGTGTAGAGCGTGTGGAGGTGATCGACTACCCCGGTCTAGAAGTCAAAGGTTGGTGTTGGCGACGCGTCTAGCGCGACGCTCCTCGTGCGCGTAAAGTGCTAACCTTAACCGCCATTCACTGGACGACGGGCACTCGAGCCAGAGCCCGCCCCCTGCGTCCGAAACATGTTTTGTTATGCTGCCAGTCTTGATATGCAGTCAGACATCCCTCAGCACATACAATCTTCTTGCGCGTTATTATGAAGACATGTCAAGGGATCAGCCCGTCACAGATTGGAGGTTTGCTCCATCATACAATGTCCTAACGATGTAGATGCGTTCTGACAGATAAAATATATGTCTCTGGATGAAGAGATGAACGACGAGATCGTTCACAGATAGCCGAACACAGATACTTGCTTTAGTCGCCTGGTATGGTTCGTTGCTTGTTGATGCGGACCCTGGAATGCGACAGTGATGCAGGTCCCACAATAGTGGGGCCTTCCGAGCGCGAGCTTCCACCCCAAGTGACGTGATGCGCTCTGATCGTGTTCTGCAACGCAACCGCCATGTTGTCGCAAAGAACGGGGAGCGGTCAGTTCTCTCTCCAGGAGTATTATCTTCTCTGAAGATCACTAACGGCGTAACAGCAAAGCTCGACGATGTTACCAGAATACTTTCCGAGTTGAAAGCAGACCTGGATGCGAAGAAGCTGTCTACTCAGCGCATGTCTCCCACACTGCACACGCGTACCTTGCGCTGACCGATCGGATAGAAAAACAGCAACTACTCGAACAGCTCAAAGTCTACGGTCGATCAGTCGAAAACTCCGATCCCATATTCACAGAAGATGTACGCTACACTTCACTAGGAGCTCTAGGGACGGCGTAGTGACCGTTACAGGGCCTTCGGACACTAGGACGCCATGCATTTGACGGAGAGACTACTGTCGCATCTCAAGAGGCTCTTAGATGTATAGCCAACGCCCTTCTCCTCCAGCCCAAGACACGCCAGATACTCGTTGATCTAGGTCATGGGCCACATGCAGCCGAGAAATTGAAGGTAGGCAGACGGTCTAGTAGTATACACATCTATGTACTAACACATCTACAGGGCGATAGTATCGACAACGAGTTCCTCGCCTCCCGAATCCTCTTCCTCACAACATACGACACAAGTCTCGACTACGCGCAACTCGTCCGCGAGAACCAGCTAGCCGAGAGCATCAACGCGGCTATAACGCGACATGCAAAGCGCTACTCCAAGTCCGCACCAGCAGGTTCAAAAGGGCACAGCCAACCCATGGAGCTCATGGCCCTCGCCGAAACCCTCAAGCTCGTCTTCAACATCATCCATTTCCACAAAGACCTCAGCGCCCACTTCACCCCCTCAATATCCCACGTCTTCAAGATCCTCGTGCGAAGAGGAGTAACCGAACCGCCCTTGACCGTACCAGCCCGAGAACTAATCAATGTCCTCCTCCACCTAGACCTTGAAGACTCCGAAGGCCAAAAAGCCGTCTTCCCACCCTTCGAGCCGAGAACAAACGCAAGACATTTGATTGGTATCCTCTACCGAGCCATCCTCGCATACCCACCCAAAGAGCCCGACGACGCCGTCGCCCCCGTTCTAACGCTCATCCGCCGGATCTACGAAATCGCACCCGAAGACGTGAAGAATACGATGGAAGAGATGCTCCTCCCCACGACCGAAGAACGCGATAAGCCCCTCGGGAAATCCAACACACTATCCTCCCGCCTCCTCAACCTCTCCACGTCAGCATTGACACCCGCGCTCCGCGGTTCCATCTCCTCGATGCTCTTCGAGCTCTCGCATAAAGACCCAGCGACGTTTGTGCATAACGTGGGATACGGGTATGCGTCTGGTTTCCTCATGTCGAACAATATAACCATGCCAGAGGAGTTGGTGAAAGCGAATGCGCCGGCGGGTGATGTGGAAGGTATACCCGTTAACCCTATTACGGGACAGAGGCTGGATAAGGAGGAGCATGTGCAGATGGAGCCTATGACGCAAGAGGAGAAGGAGAGGGAGGCTGAGAGGTTGTTTGTGCTGTTTGAGAGGTATGTATTCTGTGGGGTTGGGTTGTGGTGGAGGAGAGTGTGCTAACTTTGATACAGGTTGAAAGCGACGGGTGTGATGGATGTGCAGAATCCGGTTGAAGAGGCGTATCGCTCGGGGAGGATTCAGGAGTTGCCTGACGACGAGTCGGATTGAAGTATGGGTTGCGAAGAAATGTACTCGGCAATGTTCACAAAACATCCACCACAGAAGATATCTGTATTCCTTCAGTAACAAGATATGGATTGATATCGGAAAATATATTTGAAAGAAAAACCCCCCCGCCATGCACGCGCCTGCTTCCCGTTTTACTTCCGCCCCGACCTTTTGATTGCCCAACTATACACTGAATATGTGATAATTGTGAATAGGTGTTGCTCCAACGCCGTGAAGATGCCGCTATGATATGGTTAAGAGATATATCGTTAAGCTAACTCGGACCGATGAAGAAAGCGTGAAACCCGGAACATGCGATGCCCTCTAGAAAATGGCGTAGATATATGTTCTCGAGATGTGCTGATCTTATGCTGATGTTGTTGTTGAGGACTCCAGACCATTTCGCGCAGGCACCGGCTGTCAAATCTCGGAAAGCGTTGGGGTCGACTTCGAGTAATTCGGATAGTTGCGGTAACCGACATCATTCCGGTGATAACGATCATCAGTACGACGAGGATACGCAGTGGGAATCTCGATGCTTGGTAAAAACCCCGTGCCGTTCTCGTTGCTATATTCGCCGATCCAGATTGGGCTCAGGATGCGCTTCAACATAATAGCAATGAAACTGCCGAGGTAGGCGTTGATGCGGCATACCGGATAGGCGGCGAGCCAGAGTAGAAGTACGATACCGGCGCCCTTCTGCCAGGATGACGTGCCAGTGACAGCCGTAAGAGGAGTTTGTTCGTGTATCTTGGTGATGCGAGAGGGAAGTTCGCCGAGCCAGTCGAAGAGGCCGCATGTATGCAAGAGGAAAGCTGAACAGCACGAGCCGGCAGTGTAGGCTGCGAGCTTTGTGTTGAACTTGTAGAGGACAGTGAAGACGAATATTGTACCAACTGTGGCCAAGCAGCCGCGAACAAGTAATGTAACAAGTGCAGGTATAGCGCTCAAGAACGCAAAGCCTTCGGCAATGTGCTCAGTTTGCGTCTCGAAGATGTCTAGACGTTGCGCAATGCTGTCTACTTTGGAAAGGGATCGATCCGCGACGTCGTTGGTTCGGTTGACGGTATTCTGTGTAACGCCCATGTAGCCTGCTAAAACAGTATAACTGTGAACTTGCGCCTCGTGGTTTGATTGAATGCTCATCCTGGCTAGATCATGGTATTTTTGGAGCTCGCTAGTGAAATGTTTCGCGAGCTGTGAGCTCTCCAGCATCAGATCTTGCGAGAAGTCTTGCATCTTCTCATGAATTTGGTCAATCTCGTTACTCTGACTCTCGGCTAGAGCTGTGATCAGATCCGAGATTGACACCTCCATGAAAGTACGGAACTTTTCATCCAGCGCACCAACAGTGGCGACAGCCTTTCCTTGTACCGCTTGGATGTCTTCTTTGAGCTGCTGATGAGAGTCGCGAGCTTCTTCGGAGTACTGCCTCTGCTCACGGATGAGAGACTCGTACTCTTCGGTCGTCTTCTGCATGTTCGATGTCACATCACCCAGCACCTGAGTCAGGTTCTTGAATATCTCGAGATGATTTTCTCGCTCGATGACATCTCTGCTGGCCTGACACATGACCACTGCGTTCTGGCGAGCGTTGCTAAACGATGTCCAATACTGCGGTGTCGATTGAAGGCTCTTGAGGCATTGGGTGTATTGGAACTCTTTGAAGTCGGGATAGCATTGCTTGTCGCTGGGAACTTCTGGTCGGGCGTGCCACCAGCTACCGCCTTTGCCGCAATGTCTTGACGCCGGAACCAGGATGTCGCAATTTGCTGGCGGTGTGGGATTGACTGGCTGAGCACTGAGGAGTTCGCATACAGCTAGTTTGGCGGCATACTCGGTTTTGACGTTGTCCAGATACGCTTCCGGCCGAGACCTGGCGAAGTCCGGTGCATGTTCCAAGAGTTTGCACTCATTCATCAAATGGGAAGCAGCCATGCGAGTGCACGTCGGCGCTGTTTGCATGGAAACGACGAAGTCGACTGCCTGTGTTATTACCTTGTGGTTCCTGGATGTTGTGTATTGGAACAGAGAATCCACGTTGACTGTTGGAGCTGCATTTGCTGGTGGGGTGTGATAATGAGAGGATACTGTAGGCAGGAGGAAAAGCCATATCGTGATCAGCTTCGCCTTGATGAGACCATGTCGAGAGTCCATATGAGCAGTACGCTGGTGAGCAGTCAGGGTTATCGAAAGCACAGCACGAAAAGCAAGCGAGATGAGGCAGGAGCCGATGAGTAGAAGAAAGTAGAGGAAAAGAAGGAGGCGAGAGGTCAAAGATGGTAAGATCTCCATTACTAGCGGCCATGTGAGTTCACGACATGGTAAGAGAGCGGAGAAGACGCAGCGTTGGAGAAGCTGAAGCATGATGACCTGCCGCGACGGGAAGGTGAGGCCAAATCTGTGGTAAGAGCACGCGCTGTTAGTCGACGATTAGTAGACACATGCCTGGGTGGTAGTACGGCGATTCGGATACTTCAAGCGTCGGAATCGGACGCTGTATCGTACAACATGTTCATCCGGAGAGTAATGACGACTGGAATGTTGTGGTGTTGAGGGGTGTTTACTAGGTGAAGTTGCGACGGCCCAGCCAATCAGAGACGTCGATGACGCGCTATCACGAGACCGGAGGAGCTAGCAGCGAGTTGGAGATTCCGAAAACTCTCGCGATAATCGTTGCCGGCATCAAGACAACATGTTCGCCCCAGCACGACGGCGGTGCGCCCAAAGCTTCGCAAAGTCCTCGAGCCAGAGCAGCGACTCAATACCGACTTTCCTGCTGCCCGTATTTTCCAGGCCCGCGCCGACCAGGACCTTTACCTCGACGGCATCATGTCAATCCAAGATCGGGTCTTTACCGCTCTCAATACCCCAGGGAGTCACGTTCCAGGTGGTCGCGCCTTCCGCTAAGGCGAGAAGTGCGAGAGTGCAGGCCATGTCTACAGTACACATCAAGGGACCACTCGGTGAGCTTTCAATGGCCATCCCTCCATACGTCAATATCAACCAGGACCCGGCATTGGGCGGGCCGACGTTGACAATTGAGGACGCGAAAGATGCGAAGCAAAAGGCAATGTGGGGTACGAGCGCTGCCATCACCACAGGCTGCACAATTCGCTGACACAGATCCAGGCACCACCCGCGCATACCTCCAGAACCACATTCTCGGTGTCAGCGAAGGACACAGTGCCATTCTCCGCTTCAACGGTGTCGGTTACCGTGCCTCCGTCGAAGACTCTGCGACGACCGTAAAGTCCGAATTCCCCGGCCAAAAGTTCGTCAACTTGAAGGTCGGATACACACATCCAGTCGAACTGGCCATACCAAAGGGCGTCACTGCAAGCACACCGCAGCCGACACGCTTACTGATAGAGGGGCCGGAGAAGGAGGTGGTTATGCAATTCGCAGCCAAGATAAGGAGTTGGAGGGTGCCAGAACCATACAAGGGCAAGGGTATCTTCGTCAACGGAGAGACCATCAAGCTCAAGAACAAGAGAGTGGGCGGCAAGTGAGCATGGATGGTGGTCTGGTGGATGTATACTACATGTATTGGCGTTGTACCATGATGATCGGTCGAACCGGTATTATGCCGAGCGTAGGTGCGTCTTGCGCACGAAGAAATACACAACACGCGTCCGAAAGGCGCAGCGATCTAGGCATCCAACTTTGGAATTTTGTTTTCCGCCGTCTATGGTCTGAGCTACCGCAAACAATGTTGCAACATCGAGTACCACACCCTGGTAATGCTGCTGCCTAAGGACAGCTGGCAGAGGCTGTGCTCACTAAGCGAAGAACACCATTGAGGAACTTCTACATATATTGTGGCCTTCAGTTTTCACCCTAGATACCGGCATCATCACAATCGCATATTCTACACTATGACAGCTTCCCAGCTCCCCACCTGCCATCTTCTACGCATCCCTCGGGAACTTCGCGACGTGATCTATAATTATTGCCTTACGAGTGACGAGGGATACCATTACCACGCCGAGACGAATACACTACGATACCCCGATGGCACAGATATCAATCTCGGACTTATACGAACTTGCAAGCAAGTTGCGGCGGAGGTAGCGGAACTTGCTCTGAGTCAAAAAGTTATCACATTCAGAACGCAGATAGCACGTGTTGCAGGCGTAGAGGGAGCATTTGGATCCTCCTTGACGTCTATGACATGCTATTTCAGCACCTTGTTCTATTATCTCAACCTTTCAATGCAAGATGCCGCTCTTATTGCACTTGATCTATATGGTAGGACGATCCTCATACGCATACCCAAAGACACCACGTGAAATAGGCACCAGCTGACTGCGTGTTATAGCTACTGAGGACATGGCAGATTATATTCACAGACAGTACCCTCAGAGTGGCATTGGTGCTCAGATCAAATTACTGGCACAAATGAAGGGACAAGACCGCTATTTGCGAAACATCCAAGTAGTAAAAAACTCTGCACTGTCAATGACCCATATGGATCGCCAAGCTCTACAGGAAGCACTACAGTATGCCCGTCCTCATTTTGGTATTCCAATATGGCTTCTATCATTGGAGTCTTTCCACTGGCCCCTCAATATGTGGAGTCACATCAATCGTATGACAACCGACGGAGCCCCCAGCTCACAAGATGAGCGCAAAACCACGCTTGAAATCGCATGTTCGAAAATCTCGTCCGCAGTATGGCTGCCTTGGAAAACACCTACAACTGCGCAGATCAACGAAATGAGAGAGCTGTTGGCGGTTCTGAAATTGAATAGAGAGGTTTCGTGGATCCCTGAAGAAGCACCTCCTGGCGAGGGTAAAAAGCTCAGATATTATGGATCGGCCGCCTCGCAGAGCATTCACTTCCTCGAAACGCTGCAACAGGGACAGCGGTCTCGGTTGCGTCATTTGATCATACGCGAAGATCGCAGAAGCTGCGCATTGCCACGATGTCATGCGCACGGCCTCATTCCGTACCTGCAAGAGCTCCCCCGGTTACGTATTGACCACCATGTTGACATGTGGAGTGCTATGTAAGTCACCTGTCGTAACTGGAAATGTTTTCGTGCTAACGTACCTCGGAAGCTTTCTCGACCCCGATGTCATAATGAACTGGGTCAATGCTTCTCGATTACCTTCTCAGGCAAGAAGACCGATTTGCTGGCTACCTGAGGCTGCGTACAAAACCATTCACTGGATCAACGAGGCTATGAACTTGCGACATGCCGGCATGCCATTATCTGCGTATTGCCTCCATCTTGAAGCAAATACCGCCACCGCCCAGAGGGTTTGGAATGCTGTCAAATTGCTTGCGGCACTTGCTTCTGCTAACCAACGTCGCTACTACAAGAATGAGGATCATGCCCCCCTCTTTACTGAAATAACTCCCAATAATCCCGAGTTCGCCTACAAAGCACGTCAAGAGCGGCGCCTTGTTACTTCCATACGGCTCATTCTTTCTGGAGATCCTACAGTGCGGCTATCATGCCCTATAGGCACTCTGGGAGAATTTGAAGAGGATGCTCAACGTATAGGAAATGAGTTGAGGGATGAACCGAGATACGCTTGGAAAAACTATGCTAGGAGGAAGCTCGTTACAGGCGAGCTTGATGCCAAGGACTACGATTTCACGGCTCTAGAAGAGTTGTATCATGATCCCTTCTTGGAGTGAGATCGATAGTCTTGAAACACCCAATCTGCGGGATAAGCTGGCTAAACATGTAGTTGAAGGGCTTCGCTACCGAATACTGCACCCGAATTTCAAACCCAGGGACCCCAAGATCGGCCCTACCGAGTTTGTTTCGCATCGTTGACGCGTCCGCATATCGGATATGCAAGGCTACAGGGTGCATTTCTGCTGCCTGACGCATGACGACTTTTTGGGGGGTTCTCAAAGGTGTCTGTGTACTCAAAATGTAGCTCCAATTTTCGCATGGCGTGTGCCCTTTCCCACCTCACTATAATATGTGGCTACGCGAATCACTTTACCACAATTAAGACTGCAACACCAACTGCGAGCAGACGAGACACCATGACGGCGCAAAGTTCTCCTCAGCAGCCACAGTCGCGCCTCCCAAGCCTTCCTCGAGAACTCCGCGATGAGATCTACACCTATTGCCTGCAAGAACCTGGAGGCTATGTTGATTCTCCAATTGCCAACAAGGTTCGGTGTTCGAATGGTGAGGCTATCGATTTTGGTTTGATGCGCACCTTCAAGATGGTTGCCAGCGGGATGCTTGGCCCCTCATTGTATAGTCATCATATCTGTGATAATTTGCATGCCTCACAGTATTTATACACAAGGCAATTATGACGTACAATAGTCTTGCCCTTTTGCAGTAATAGAAGCTCATATACGATTATCGCACCCCACACTCTTCAATGTGGTACTAATACGAAAAGTACTGCGTATCAGGCACCGGTGCGCGATCTAACTTGAAGTACCCCGGCTGCAGCTTCTGAAACACCTCCTTGGGATCATAATTGCTCGCAACAGTCTTCATCTTGCTCTTGCTGTCCGAACCATAGCTTGCAATAACGTCCTGGAACATCGCCGCATAGTTCATGTACACCCAGTCATTCTGCACACCCAACTTCACTGCGTCGCTCTTGATCGCTTTCATGATGTCCGACATGATCTGGTATACGGTGCTGTCATCCGCGGCATTCTTCCAAGAGCATGCTAGCTGAATAATGTGAATAGGGCTGCCGTTGGCATCAAATCCCATCGCACTGCCGCCGTTGCGGATGCTGCCTTTCAGGGAGCCGTCGGTAATGTGCTGCCAGATGAGCACGGGAAATGCGCCGTCAACTGTAGAGAGAGCGTCGATCGAGTCAAAGAAGATGTCAACGGAACGTTGAGCAATCTCGTATGAGGCTTTCACTGTGATATCGTAGAAGATCTCGCGGAGTCCATACTCGTTTGTGGCTTCGTTGTCCACCACGTACGAAGCGTGGCCTCGCGTTTTCGTGCTATCGGATATGGCGGTGATATTATAGAAAGGCGCCAGGATAGCAGACTCGTTGCCAGCCGGTGCGCCGTACCAGAGTTCGGTTGAAGCCAACTTCGCACCGGCGTTCATCCAAGCAATCCAGCTACCGGCCTTGGGGTCTTGAGCCGAGTCGAGTGTAAGATCGATCCACGCTTTGACTACGTCGGGGAAGACGTCTTCGGTAAAGGTGCGGGTTCCGCCCCATATTTGATCGTTGTTGAGGGGTTTGGTCATCAGATTGAAACTGGTCACGACGCCGAAGTTGTTGCCGCCTCCGCGAAGCGCCCAGTATAGGTCTGGGAAGGTCTTTGGACTTGCCGTGACTATGATGCCGCTTGCTGTGACGACCTGCTTGGAGTCAGAAGAGCTTAATCCTATAGATCCGTGTTGTTAACTTACCTCGAAACTAGCAACATTATCGCAAGCCAGACCATACTCATTGGTGATGAACGAGATACCGCCACCGAGTGTGAGTCCACCAACACCGAGATCGCCGATCCGTCCAGCCACGACTGTGACGCCAGTGGTCGATAAAGCGGTAAGTACATTACCCCAGTTATTTCCTGGTTGCACTACGACTGTCTTCTTGTCACCCGAAAGTTTGATGCCCTTCATATTCTCAAATGACACGGTGATTCCTCCTTCGATAGTAGCTGCGCCAGCAAATGCGCTATGACCCCCAGACTTGACAGCAAATGGACATTGCGACAGCCGCGAAAGAAGTACCATTACCGAGACTGCAGCGGGGCTTGAGGGCTTGAAGATACAGTAGGGTCTGACTTCAGCCGAGATCCCTGACCAAAATCCGGATGTAAATGCAGAGTAGCCGGCCTCATTCTGCAATTCGACAGACTCGTTTCCGTACAGAGCTTCAAGCGAAGAACACTGCTCATCACCTTAGCTTTGTTTCTGTTCCAACCTTATCCAGCATACTCACGGCAACATCGCAACCCAGATTGGAAGACCGCTCTACAAGGCCAGCTAGCTCTGGCAATGCTGAGACGTTAACTCCTTGGTCAAGAAGAGCCTCGGTGATGTTGAAGTCAGAAGCCTCGAAGATCTGGGATGCCACGAAGGAGGCTAAGGCCGCGAACAAAAGAGACCGCATGACTACTGGATTTGATGCGACACGAAGTGGTGAAGAGACGTCGCTAAACGGGTCCAACGTTCGACTTTATACGTACATAGCGGTCTGGCGCTCTCTTGCCATAGGACCAAAGACCTATCTGGAAGAAGCTTGAGCAAAGTCATTCACATAAGCGACCTTGTCGTTCGCTCCCGGGGTCGCCACCAAAGGGCGCCGGCTCGATTGCAGCCTCGCCCTCCGCACATGCATTTGTGCCGTCTGGCTAGCGACTCAAAGCTTGTCTCCGGGCCGCGCGGAGAAGTCTTCATCCTGCCACTTTCTCGCTGCTTGCAATCGATAGAGTACGTTATGATGCGTGGGAAACATGGCCTATGGCGCGCTTCGGATTTTTGTTGGATTACCAAGAACAGACATTTCGAGTATTATCTCGTGTCATCCTTTGGGGATTAATGTGCACAACCAAGGAAACATGCCGCGGACAGGCGTGACTACGCCTCAATGTTGCAGTCGGTTGATATTGCATCGATCCTTCGGCAGGGCGGCGGCCAGTAGCGGCAGTCCTGGATTCTCCCGCCATTGGCTCATGCACGCTTAGCGCTCTCTCAGTCCCCGCCTACTTCGTTTCTACCAACCGTCTCGGGCCCCATTACAAGGACGCCTCATGCTAGCACGTGTGCATCTTACGGACTGACATTGATACGCATAAGTCAAGTGCACTGATAGCTACACGGCCGATACGGACGACTCCACGCACGCTACACGCATTCTTCTGCCCATGTCTAAGGATCAACACATCGGAAAGACTGGATCAGGGTACTCGCTCCGCATGGCATCCCTTGCTGAACACTCGTCTATGCATAATGCCTCATCCGGACACCTTCCAGACCTTTAATGACAGGGCTGTCACGTCTGAATCAGGTTGACGGAATATTTGACAGTCTTGTCGCCACGTTCTGCTCAGACGAGAGACGCACACAAAGCTGAGCTGTCTGTACACACAATGTCCTTTGCACATGAAAGCAGCGTACTTGTATGTTTTCGGTGATGTCACGATGCAAGTATACGCGTCTCGACATACGCTGTATGCATTGCTGAAGTCCCAAGAAAGGGTACCTAAGGTTGGTCAAAAATCAAGGTAAACTGCTTTGCCGCACAGGTGCATCGCCCATATGATCCTTCAGCTCATATTTCAAACATGGAAAACAGGGACTATTGATGGGAGTGTGGGGTAGATATCATCTCCCAGTAAGTACCCCGAAAGAATGACACCTAAGGATATCTCTTCGTATCACCAAATGTGTCATCACTCCTGATCTTCTATGCTCAACACATCATCTACTGATCGAATTCTTGTCTATCACTCATTATGTCTTCGGAAGGGCTCACCGAGGGTACTCTTCGCGGTACCGCGATAGGACTCATGGTTGTGACAACTGCCGTGGTTCTCGCTCGCGCTATCTTGCGAAGCGATCAGAAGAAACTCATTCAATGGGATGAGCTATGGCTGTTGTTGGGCTACTTGTTATTCATGGTGGTAACCGGTGTCTACGTCAACAAGACAAGCCTTTTATTTCGACTTCTAGCCGTCCAAGAAGGACGTCTTGCGCCTTACCCAAGTATTCTCCGAGATGGCCTGGACGCGCAAAAGACGTTCTTCTTCACGAGTCCAGGACTTTGGCTTACTTTATGGAGCATCAAATTCTCTTTATTGGCCTTCTACAAGAGAATAATGGCCGGTGTGAGGCTCTACCTGACGCTTTGGTGGGTGGTACTTGGCTATTGCGTGCTTGTAAGCAGCCTACGATCATTACGCTGACACATCAGTAAACTATACTCATACTATGACCAGACACTTCTACTCTCCATCCTTCTACACATCACTGCTTGTGGACATTCGCCAGCTTCTTGGTTCGTCGCCAATGGTTGTGGTGCTGACAATGTCCGAAAAAGCTCGATTAGCTTCTGGGAAGGATTTGCAGTGGACCTGACAACAGATCTTATGAGTAATTCGTCTCACAATCGTCTGATGTAGATCGACGCACTGATGCATCCAACAGTCATGTCACTTCCGATCGGTCTTATTCGACACCTTCGGATACCTCTGGTCCGCAAGATTCAGATAGTAGGCCTATTCGGTTTAGGCATCCTCGTCATCATCGCAAGCATCATTCGCGTAGTACAAGTCGGCGCAACAACTAGTGCAGGCAACACAACGCCTTCACTGACATGGCTTGCTCTGTGGAGCATCATCGAGTCTTCCGTCGCTATCATAGTAGGCTGCGGGCCAGGCCTATACCGAAAAGCCAAAGCGGTCTATAGCACCACACCGGTACACGCATACGACAGTCGCGGGTATATCAAGACTACAGCGAACCGGAGAGCAGGAACGAAAGGAAACACAGATGACGAGTACGGGCTACCATTGAAGACCATGAGCATCGACATTGTAGGTCCTGGCGATGTCGGAGGAAGTGAAGAAGAGCTAGTTGGTCAAGAAACAAGCGGTGGCATTCGGGTGACAAGGTCGTTCGTGGTCAGCCACTGATATGGGTGATGAGGGAGATTTTTAGTCACCACAAAACATTACCAGCACTGGACTAGCCGCAAGAATGGCGCAGATGGATTTGTAAAAGCTTGAAATGAGCTGAAATATCTACAATTTGAAAGAGAAGAATGAAGTATTACAAAAGTAAATCCAACTCCACACTGGCGGAAGTTGACAAGTGTACGCTGTCGCGGAGGCAACATCTACTTGTAAAGGAAAGTAACCATGGAATGCGCGGGCACGCTGTTTCCGGTCATCGCGTCAAGCCCGTGGTTCTGGTTGGTGATGAACGCAGATGCCTTGCCCGAGACACCAGTAATGCTGACAGTCGCTGCTGAGGCGCCAGTGTTCAAGACCTGTACAGCGACAGAGCCATCAGTGTTCTTGAAAGCAGATGTCTTGAGCGTGCTGGTCCTGCCACCTGCGCTGATGCGAACCGCACCAGGCCTAACGAAGCGGCTCCACTGTGCCATAGCCCAGAAGCGCTTGGAAGGGGCAACTACTCCACCGTGGATGTCAATGAGGACGGAGTTGGTAGGGTTGGTTCCAGCGTCCTCGGCGCCTTCCCAGTAGAGGTATGCAGAGAAGTTGGCGTCAACGAGCGCAGTGTAGATCTTGTTGGCCCAGGTTTGACCTTCGCCCGCTCCGCCGTTGGTGTAGTAGCTGGCTGTCCACTTGCCGCTGAGATCGGCAGTCTCAGTCATCCACATATGCTTGGAAGTAGCGAAGGGGGCTGTTGGGTCGGAGCTGTAACCGTGGGTGGTGACGACGTCGTACAGGGAATCGACTGCAGCGAGTCCTGGAAGCATGGCCTTCTGAGCGTTGTAACCGGTCGCATCGCAGCAGGTGAGCTTCACCTTCAGACCAGAAGCCTTGACAGTTGGAGCGAGAACCTTGATGAAATCTGCGGCCTGCTGACCCGTTGATCGCATGGAAGAGTAGGCGGTGCTATAATCCGTCAGTAACAGATCATCTGCACAAAGACATGTGAAAGACTTACGTGTAGTCAGGCTCGTTCAAGAAGCCGAGGTGGGTCACTTCAATACCTTCCTGCTTGTAGTACTTGACGTATTGTGTGAGGTAGTTGGCGTAAGCTTGGGTCCAGTTTCCGCAGGACGTGCCATCGACACCGCAAAGACTTCCTCCCTAGAGCAAGTTAGCTATTGCTTCCAATCCCTGTTTGGGTGGTTATACTCACGTTTGAGTCTTTACCGTTCGTCTTCATGAACCCAGGAGCAGACCAAGCATCGGCATAGATGGTCTTGAGGCCGCGGGCCTGCGCTTGCTTTGTCAACCAAACCTGGTTGTTGTCGGAGCCATCCCACTGGTACTTTGGTGTCCCGGTGGGTGATCCAGGGCTGTTGGGCTCGATGGAGAAGCCGCTGGACGGGCCAGATCCGATGCCGTTGCGCAAGATGTTGAAGCCAGCGCCAGTGGTAGGATCGAACAGAAGGTCGAGCGTCTGTTTCTGAGCAGCAGCTGCCAGCGATTTGATGTTTCCAGCACGGCCGTAGAATTCGGAGATACCGAAGCCGTCAATCGTTTGGAAAGTCTTGCTGGAATCCACAGCAACAGTTACGGCCTGACGGGGGTCGAGTCCCGGTGCAGAGAAAGCGACATTGGAAGAAGCGAGAAAAAAAGCCAGCTTGGACAACATCTTGTCGGTTTCGTCTTGGCGAGAATGGATACGGCGAGTAAAGTGTGGGGTGAAATGAAGTCAATCAAGAGAACTAAAGCAACAGACCAGTGCTTAAAGAATGGAAGCCAAGGGTTGATAGTGACCCATTTGGGGCGACGGATGGGATATGTATATACCACCCCCCACAGTGGTCCATGAATCTCGCGTTCGCAACATGCTCGCGTTCGTATAATGCACTGCGAGAGAACAATCTAGAGTAGGCCCGAGATGGCACGGACTAGGAAATGATGTCTCATATTCGGCCTTCTTTGCAACACGAGGTTCTTCCGTCGACGCGTCGCAGTTGCAGGTACTCACGGCGCATGGGTGGAAGACGCCTAGTTAGATGTGAAGAAATGACAGGTGTTACTAGTCGCGCTCTCTAAACGTTCTAGGAAAGGTGGCGTAGCGCTTGTGTTGTAGATAGATAAGGCTTGATGATCCTTCGCGAGGCTTAGCAAGGCTTGGCCTTCTTAGCCGGTGGTGCAACATGAATGCACGGAACGTGCGGGGAGAACTACGTGTCCCATGCTCCAGCGCCGCATGAATCCACCAATATGATGCGCTGTTCTATATGAGTTATCCCGCTCATCAAATACTTTTCGGAAAAGTTGTTTCGTTTCATAGGTGCGCTGGCATGAACATAAAGCCTTGAGTAGAATTTCGCCGTGTGTCACGTGCTCCGATCGGAAACGTTTGCTTCCTGGATCCCGAAGGCTGCGCGATCTTGCACACAGCGTCGCCGTCATCCATACTTCTGACAGCATCAATACTATCTCTCCCGCCCTCATCGTCGCGCGCATCCTTTGCTCGTCACAGAACATCACCTCTTGTCACTTGTGGGGTTGGATTGCCGCTCCTTCACGGTCGCGACCCCTGGGGTCGGCATCTTCGTGCTGCACTGATAGAGAAGCGTCGTGAATGCTTCATTGGTTCATATCTATCGTGAGCATTGTAGGACAGCCGAAAGAAACCCGACAGACTGATGACACAGCTCCGAAAACGGCCGCTGTAAGTAGAGGGTATCGAATGGAAGGAAGCGCGCGTCGCATCCGACCATCTGAACTAGGCATGACCCACCTGTAGAGGCGGAAGCACGAAGTCATTACATGTCCCACATGCATTTTGTCTAGCCAGAACTTATCTCGGTCCCGCTTCATCTGGAAACTTGAGCTAAACTTCGGGACTAAAGTCATTTTCTTCATCCGGATCGTACCCTATACAGCTGTTGTATCCTCGTACGGGTATCAAGCAAGGAGAGACTCTCGAATGATAGAGATCTCAACTCCAAAATACTTCTACGGGCATACCCTCGGACCACCAGATTTCGAGGCCGCCGTACCGTTCGAAACACTCATCGCTGTAGAGCTCCAACATCCATTTCTCCTCCTGATTCAATCTGAAACATGACCTCAGATGCTTTGGTTGGAAAAGACGTTGCACATATCGCTTGGTCTTTTGCCTTTCCTCAGGACGGTCGATTGGTTCGTCCAGTAGATCACGATAGAGGCTGACAAGATCGGGTGGCGCTATAGTCGTTTTCTGGTTCCAGAGCTCATAAGCAACGACGGGGTATACTGCGCGTTCGCGATGTTGTGTCATATCTGCTTTGGTCATGAAGTGAAGGGTTGCGGGATCGAGGCCAAAGTTAACTTCTGAACCGAGTGCTGAGAGCATCCTGGCTACGTCGTTGTTGAATATCGTTTCGAGTCTTTGCTGGCGCGGATATCCCGATGGATTATTGTAGCGGTCTGCCGCAGAGGTGTAGTAGGTTGCTTCTTCGTTGAGATACTGTTCGATCTTTTTCGATGCTGATTCGCGGATCTGAGAGGCGAACGATAGGGTAACGAACGGAGTCTTTATACCGAGGCCGCCGTAGGCTTGCGGTAGATAGATGATGGGCTCGAGGTCGAGAGAGATACGCTCTAGACCACACGTCAGATGTGGGGTGAGCATCTTCGTAACGTATGTGGTCAGATCGTCACCTCCAAGTACAATGGAACGGATACGCTTGTACGCGGCCTTGACTGCTTCGCGATGTGTTTCGTCAAACACGTTAGCAAGAGGCCCGAAGAGATGTACCACATAGATACCGACAGTATCGTTCCATTCGCGAACCCAACCGAGTACACTTGAGCATGCTTTGAGCCTAGCTCCTACGTGAGTTGCGTACAAGGCGACTTTAACATCATCAACGCGTAGTTCTTCGGTTCTATCGTAGGAGAACGGCCCCGACGAACCCATGGTCAAGAGTCCGATGGATAGCCCGCCAGTGGGCAGGGTATGGCGCAGCTTCAACCCCATAGTATCGGAGAAACGGGCAGCTTCTTTCTCGAAGCCCTTAGTCTGTAGTTCGGTACCGACAAAGTAGCAGCGGTCATACAGACGGTACATGTACGATTCTGTCGCTTTGCGCGTAGCACGATCGAGGAAAAACAATACAGCTTCGCTGAACAACACTTCTAGCCCGTAACCAACTGGAACTCCGCTCTTAGGTATTAGGAGCGTATTGGATTCGTTCGCTGAAGCTTTGATGCTCAGCGTGGGCTCAAGAGCGCGAGAGAAGAATGAGAGGAAGTCTTCCGGAACACCGAGGAACTCCAAAACCGTGACGACGGTTGAATGGGGAACTGTGGACCCAAGTGAGTCGAACTCTAAAGTCATAGCGTACGCTTTGCCATCGAAAGCGTTTCTAAGCTTGTATTCCACAGCGAGCGTCGTGATCAGTCTTGCCTGCACCTCTTCAGACGAGATAATCTGGGGTACTTCGCCGTCTTCCTCGGGGAGACGCGACATGAAGAAGCACCTTTTATAATCGTCTTCCCGTAGGTTTTCCAAGTTCAGGAGCGCGCTTAGCGGTGGTGGCGGCGGAATAAGGCTTCTCGCATACATGCTCTGGTTCTTCTTCTTGCTCCGACCGTACTTCTTCGATCCGAGCAGAGGTAGAGGGGGAGGGGGCATCGATTGAAAATTGCATGGTAAGGGTGGCGGTGGAGGCGACGGAAAAGTGCCGCATGCAGTACTCATGGTTGCAGGACGAGGTGTGTCGAAGAAGAACGCACGTTTGTCGAGATCCGACTCTGTCAGTGGAGCGCAGCGGAACAGATCGGACCTATAAACGAAACTCTTGAGGCAATCGTTCAAGTTCATGGCCCACCCAATTGCACAACAATGCAGGAACAACATGTCGATAATGCCTACCTCAACGTGAACGTAATACTGGCCGCTGTTCGCTTTACGTACATCGACTGGCGAGCCCGCCTCCGCGTTTATGTAGTTCTAGTCGCGATGGCTCATCATCTTCAAGGTTGCGAAAAGCTCTCGTAGTGCTCCCGGCGGTTGCAGGTAGTTCGCGAGGGTGGCCTTACGCTCGTGGCTGATTCGTTCCGACTTCATCAAGTCCGCCATTATCCACGTCAAGCGTTTCTTATCTACCTCCATTTCACCGGCGACCAGATCATCTCCGTATTCTTGCATCCCGTCTCGGATGGATTTTAGATGTTCCTCTCCGGACGTGAACAAGCTCAAGAGATAGGTTTCGATTGAGTGGCTGTCTACATTTGTTAGATGAGAGCAAGCTTCCTGAAACCTTTCGAGAGCCTCTTTACGTTCGTTGTCGACTGTTTCGAAGTCGTCATCGTCTAGTGCTACAGCTTCAAGCTCTGTAATCGCTGTTCCGACCTTAGCCGCGTTTGTAGCTTCCTTGATGAGCTGTGCATGTAGGCAAGATACCTCCATGCGGTTGCGAAATCTGCTCAGTTTATCGCGCAGACTCTTCTCCAGCCTCAATAACTTCATTTGAGAGATTGCATTGTCATCGTGGGCTTGTTCCGTGCATCGCTCGATAGCCTCTGATAACCATTCGTTGTCCTCTTCGTTGAGCTTTGGTTCCAGGTTCTTGACCTCTTCTAGAAGCGTTTCACTCCTCTTGGTGACATTGGGATCATCAGTTTGACTCGCTTCAAGGATGTATCGTCGCTCGAAAGACTTCTTGGTGCGTTCGAGCTCTTTGGGGCGATGCTCGAACAGATTGCTGGCGACTAAAGCTAGATATGTGGCCCGGGATGTCTCACCATCTTCCACCCTCTATGCAACCGGATCCAGCGCAACCACGTAGGCAGCTGCATGTTTCGAGACCCACCTGGTATCATATGTTCCACAGACGAATGTGATAGACGTCTTGAGATACACAAGATTACTGTGCATGGTTGTGACGAGCGTTGCGTCCGCAATCGGGTTAGCTTCACACCTTTCCCCGCACCCTTCACCGTTCACAATCATTGCGTAATATTCTGTCCACTTGTCATCCCCGGGTCTAGGAATCAAAAGAACAGGTTTGCATGGCGCAACATCTTGGTTGAATGGGCACTTCCAAGTTGCACAAATCAGGATACACTACATCTCTCCTCACACTGATCAAGCGACTACATTACTTCCTTCGACCATTGGCTCCCACGCAAAAAAGCCAAGCAAATCTGCGACAGACATTTCCATCGCAATTCTCTCCACTATGATCTGCGATGTTTGTAAGGATACTTTCGGTAGGATGCTCGATTCGTCCGAGAAGAGATTTACTCATCACCCTTCGTATACAAGCCTTGCGCGTTCTGGGGCTGATGACTGCTTCATCTGCTCTGAGATTATTGAATCCATCACCAAAAGCGATCCAAAAATCGTTCCGTATTCTCCCCGTCCACTCACCACCTGGGGGTATCATCCATATGGTGATCGAAGAACTTCCACGGAATTCTGGGTATGGCTCGACCGTTGTGACCCCTCCAATAGTTTGCAATATAGCTCGGACGCTACTTCTTATTGCGTCCACATCTATGATGCTACACCCGTTGTCAGCTCGACGCCATGTTCAACAGCCTTTTCGAATGACACGGGTTCAGTAGAGACGACATCCCAGATCGTGAACTGGCTCGAACGGTGCACAACGGATCACGATCTTTGCAACCAGGGGCGAGAAGGAACTTGGATGCCATCGCGTTTGCTGGAGATCAACGAGATACACGGTGATCTCAGACTTCATCTGCGAGACCGTTCACAACTGGACTGGGGTCGCTATTGTACTCTGAGCCATTGCTGGGGCCCTAGTGGCACTCAAAAGCTCAAACTGACCACCGAGTCCCTCAAGTCCCTTCACGACGGCGTTTCTGTATCCAAACTGAAACCAACTTTTCGCGACATGGTCACTGTGATGCGGCGACTGGGGGTATGTCTTATTTGGATCGACTGTCTTTGCATCGTTCAAGACGATACTGAAGATTGGAAGCGAGAATCAGCATCGATGGGAAAAATCTACGCGAATAGCTGGCTAAATATTTCTGCAAACGCGGGACGGGACGGCAATGCAGGTCTTTTTGTTAAGCGGGACGGCGAGAGCCTTGTGGACTACTTTAGCATGCAGTCTGACGAAAATGGTGAGGAAGTTTTATTCGCAATAACTGAAGCTGAAACATGGTGGCACCAGGTGGAGGTCTCACCAGTGAATCGAAGAGCTTGGGTACTACAAGAACGAATCTTATCGCCTCGTATCCTTCACATGTCTAGCAAATTGGCCCTGTGGGAGTGCCGACAACTCCAGGCTTCCGAAGTTTTCCCGAATGATGGATTACCAGACCAAGAGTCTCCCAACAACTATGGTCATATAAAACGGCTGTGTCACGGGAGCCAGTCTCAGGACCAAGCAGATATTAGCGCCGATTGGTGGCGGCTCGTGCACAGATATACCATGTGCGCTCTTACATTTGAAACGGATAAGCTCATCGCACTATCGGGAATCGCATCTGAGATTCACAAGAGGACACAGTGCGAGTATCTGGCGGGATTATGGAGCTCTACACTGCCATCGAGTCTCTTATGGGTAGTTACATCGCCACCAGGGCTTCGCTCACCGACATATGTGGCACCATCTTGGAGCTGGGCATCGGCAACATGCACGGTTGAATCCCCACAATACGTCCCTGAGCACCCGAACCATGTAGGAGCCAGTATAATCGGGCATGAAATAGCTCTGGCCAACCCGCGAGACATGTTTGGTCAAGTGACGGCCGCATCGATTGGAGTACGATCACGCTTGGGGACCCTGGACTGGATCATCGAGATTGGCAGACAGGAAAGCACCGGATGGGATTATCGCATTACAGAAGTAACAATATCACTGCCTGGTGTCTTGGATAATTCTCACACGATTGCAAAATGGTCATCGATAAATCCGGAGAGCTTGGTTCTATTCTTTGATTATCGCGAATATGAAGACACCCAGAGGGCGCCCTTCGCAGTCATGCGTAGTCAAATAGTGCTTTCGGAAGATGAAACCACGATCACTGGCTATAACGTGCAAGGGCTTCTACTGAAACGCCTCCCTTGCTCGCGGTACGTGCGGATAGGAGTTGCACTATTGGAATTCGACACGGAGCAAGACTTTCTCAGCAAGATGCCAGAACAGGACGTCATCATCATTTGAGGAAAGGAGGTTGAGCTTGGCAAACGACTCAATACTATCTACATGACTGCGCTATCGCCTGGTCTATCATAAGATCAATGTGCCGAGACATATGCAATTTCTGTCGGAAAGCCTCGAAAAGCCGACCAGGCACTTCCAAACTCCACATTGCAGCTTCACTGGATGATGTATTTCACGCCTGTGTGGTCACCAGGTGTTCCCCACCAATAATGGTGGAATTTGGAGTGAAAAATCGCGGAGAAGGACTGGGGGTTGTCCAAAACTGATCGGAACTTGAAGCATTCCAGAAAGTTAATCATGGCGGTATACTTTATCTCGCAATGCTCAAAGTCATCCGTCTAAACCACCGAGAACAAAGTCCAAGGACGACTCCTAATATCATACCGTACCGTGAACACCATATCATCACCACCCCTTCCCACCCCCTCAACGTCGTCCATAAGCGCCCCCCTCATCCCTCCTCTCCGTCCTCTTAGCAGCCTTAAACCCCAAACTCCCCGCCTTCCTACTCTTCCTCGCCTCCCCAATATCCTCTCCCCTCTCCCCATCCCCCTCACCATCCAACACCTTCCTCCTCCCATACAACTCCATCTCCTCCGCATCATCATCATGCTTCCTATCATACTCACTCTCCCTACTAAACAACGCCATCATATCCTTCATCGTCAAATTCTTAATCGCCTTGCCACCCTCAATAGCAGCGTTGGCGAGTTTACGCTTCGCTTCTTGTAACTCGAGAATGCGTTCTTCGACGGAGTTGTGGATGGAGAGGCGGTAGACGGTGACGTCGACGGTTTGGTTGAGGCGGTGGACGCGGTCTATGGCTTGCTCTTCTACGAACTATTGAATCATTGTATTAGCAAGTGGCTTGAAAGGAACGAGGTGCGTGGAAAAGTACGTACGGGGTTCCAGAAGGGCTCCATGATGACCACACGGCTTGCAGCTGTGAGGTTGAGACCGAGACTACCGCACTTCAAACTACAGAGCAGGACGCGGGTGCGCTTGTCTTCGCGCAGCTTCTGTAGACTTGCTTCGCGGAGGTCGTTGCGCATGCTGCCGTCGTAGCGGGTGAAGTTGTAGCCCGCGCGATTGAGGAAGGGCTCGATGAGATCCAGCATAGACGTGAATTGCGAGAAGACGATGACCTTGTGCTCGCCTGTTTCTTTCTCGAGGATAGCAAGCAGTTGTCGGATTTTGGTTGATGGAACTAGATCCGAAGCGTTGTATGAAGCCTCTGAGGTCTCGGATTCTGATGCTTCGGAGTCTGAATCCTCTCCTTCTGAGTCGGTTGCAGGGTCGTCTGAACCACTTTCACTGCCGCTGCCACTCTCGCTCTCGCTGTCAGCCTCCTCGTCGTCGGAGTCAAGGCTGATGACCTTTTGTGGCTTCTTAGCCAGCTTCTTACGAGCGACAGGCGCGCCGTCCTCGCTATCGGTATCATGAACGACGAATGAGTCGAGGTTACTCCGGCTCTCATCCTCGGTCTCGGATGCGTCGGAGTCCACAGTAGCAAGAGTGTCGCCACCACCTTCTGCGTTCTCATCGTCGGTACCACCAGCCTTGCCCAAGTCTTCGGCGTGTTGCTGATCTTCGGGGACGAGCCACTCGCCCTCCTCCTCCTCCTCCTCGTCATCGCTATCGACAACGACGCGACGGTTGCGAGAGTGCTTTGCAGCGTTTGATTGCGGAGCGTCTTCCTCGTCGTCTGAGTCTACGACCGGCTTCGGTTGCCGGTGCTTCTTGCTCTTGCCATCCTTGTGCTTGTGTTTGCGGTGTTTCTTCGACTTGTGCCTGTCGATTATTAGTATATTCCATGGAACTTCGCTTGACATTGACTTACTTCTTCTTGACAGACCCGTTAAGATCTTCCTCGCACTCTGTACAACGTACTCCGCCAGCAGCTGTATTATCACTATTAAGTGTGTTCTGGCAGATGTCACACCGCTTAGTCGCGACACTAAGGCCGCCTAGGAGATCCGCAAGGTCGTCGGCATCGTCCTTGGCTGCCTTCCGAGGAGTTTGAAGGCCAGCTGCAGCATTTGACTTCGAACCAGTTGTCAAAGCATCCTTGTCATCCTTGACGTTGCTCTTCGTAAGGTTTGGGTGATTGCAAGCCTGGCGCAGACGGAGGAGCAACACCAACGCTCCAATGTAATCTTGCTTCTCACCGCCCATCATCTCATCAAGACGGGCTTGTGTGCGGTCTCGTAACCGGTCGTAGAAGATGCGCTCCTTGGTCGTGAATTCTCCTATGATGGTTTCGACGTTTCGCGCAACGATGTGGAAGGCGGGCCGCTCCTCGCCCTCCTTGGCTTTGCCGCCAAAGTTCAACGCACCCTCCTTTCGCAGTACGTCCTTCGTACGGCGCTTCATGAAGGCACGCAAGAAGACCTGGAGTCGCTTCATAGCGAGATTGCCGCGTCCGTTCTTCATTGGCTGTGCGATGGATTCCTTCCAAGAAGAAAGCTCACAGTACGGCTGGATACGGAGGAACTTGATCAGGCTCTGTAGCTCGTCGATGTTGTTCTGCATGGGTGTACCAGTAAGGCACCATCGGTAATGCGAACGAAGCTCGTAACAAGCCTTGGCCATCTTCGTAGTACGGTTCTTGATGGTGTGTGCCTCGTCCAACATGATGCGGTACCACGAGACTGCGAAACAGCCCTTCTTCAAACCGTCAGGGCCATCGCCGCATTTCGCAAAGTCGGTAGCCAAGCTGTTAAAGGTGGTAATGACGACGTCATACTGCTTCAGCTTCTCAGCGGATTCTGTACGGTTGGGGCCGTGGTGTACGAGGACTTTGAGGGCGTGCGACTTGGTGACCTTGCTCTTGATCTCAGCCTCCCACTGCTTGATCAGAGCCAGAGGAGCGATGACAAGAGTGCCTTTCCCGGTGGAGTCGGAAATCTTATTCTTCTTGTTCTCGGGCTCAACGCCCTTCTCCGGTCGAGGATTCGATAGGATGAGGGCAAGGGATTGCACGGTCTTTCCCAGGCCCATGTCATCCGCCAATATGCCGCCCTTGGGCAGCTTGGCCTTCTTGTTGTGGTTTCCTGTCTCCTTCTCGATCATCCACGCGACACCATCTACTTGATGAGGAAGAAGCTTCACCTTGAGACCTTCGACCGTCCCATCGTCTTCTTCCTCTTCCTCTTCTGGTTCAGCCTCTGCCTTGGCCTCTTCATCCTTAACGGCGAGCGCTTGTAGTCGGTCCGCCAGGGAATTGCCAGCGTCGTCCTCTTGCTGCTTCTTCTTCTTACGGAGTCGCGTCCTGGGGATCTTCTCGTCTTCCTCGAAAGCACCCTCAAGCAGCGCTTTGATGTTCTCGCTTGCCGCACCAGAGTCGACATACGCGTACGGGTCGGGCTCGCCGAACCGTCCACCCTCTGCCCGAATGGCGGCGTCTGGATCGAAGTTGTCTTCATCGTCCAATATGACTGTCTGCCGCGCCTGTTGTAGCGGGTTGTGCACGCCCTTGTTCAACGGTTGGAAGCCATCAGCGTGGCCCATGGACGAGTATATCGGTCGCGGGGGAGGATGGCTGGTCTTTGGTAATGGGTTGTATGGCCGTGGGATGGGCACTGGGGCGCCTTGAGATGGCCGAGGCTGGAACTGCGAGGCATCGATTTCAAAGATGTCGGAACCGGTAGATGAGGTAGACGCTGTGCTATAGCGTGAACCTGACTGTGCGGAGGGGACTTTGAAAGGTCGGTTGAGGGTATCCCTGCTACCACTTGAGGTTGTGCTCTGGGACGGCTTAGAAGGCGCCGAGTATTGAGACGGCAGCTTCGTCGTCTGGCTATGTTCGGGCCGCATCTGACCTGGCTTGGGTTTGTTGAAGAGGTGTGCAAACTGCTGGCTCCGGTCCTTCTTCAGCGAGTTCCTCAGCGGGCTTGTCTCGCCAAACTGTGGGGCTGGGTTTCGTAGGTCTTGTAGAGGCTTTGGCGGGGCCGCTGTTCCATCGCGTGGTGGTTGAGCCATGGGAGGCTCTCGCTCACGCACCATCTTGAGGCGGGACTGGAGGACTTCCTTCTGTGTGGGATGGCTCGCCGGGCTCTCGATGTCGTCAAAGAGATTGCTCGAGTCGCCAAGTAGGGAGGTCGACTGTTCGTGAGGGTAGTCGCTATCGTCCGACGTGTAGGCGTGGGCGGTGGCCGCGGGGGCTTTGACGGCGGGCTTCCGGGCGGAGGAGAGGGTGTCGATCGGTCTGAACGGCGCACGGTGTTTCCGCTGACTACTATGCATGGACCGGTGTCGTCTGGTCAGCCCGGAAGTGTTATCGTGAAGTGCCTCGCTTGTCGCGGTGTTTGTGCCCCTCGTGTTGTTGCCAAATTAGGCGGCCGGCGCAGTTGATGTTGCTAGGGCAAAGGGTAAAAGCGGGGCGTCTGACACGTGGACCACGCGTAAACAACGACGCGCTATCACAGGATCTACAGCACGTGGAACTCAGGGTCTCGACGGCATGATCTCAGAACATCTTCCATGGGCATGGTTCTGTCGCAACGATGCACCACTACAAGTAAAACTCTCAAGCTCCGTAGTCTCAGATATGCTTCGCAGGAGGGCTGTGCACAGCATTGGCACAGTTGAAGAGAAGACCAGCCATGCAATCGGTAATGCGGATGAAGACTGTGCCATGATAACAGAACACCAAAAGAACCAAATGCCTCTCACAGATCCAATTTGAGGCGCTCACATCTTCACCCAGACATCTTCCTGTTTCTGCCGCCTTTTCGCTTCGCGTGCAGCCAGTACAATGAGCCCGCCAGCAACCAACACGGTCCCCGAGAATGCCTGAGCACCAGTATATGAGCCACCGCTCGACGTAATGATAGCGCCACAAACCGGCGAGCCTATCAACGCGCCAACTCCAATAGCCGCGAACACGATCCCGAAGGAAGCTCCCATCTTCGACGTATCTGAGATGATGATAGGAACAATCGCCAAGGAGAGTGACTGCACTCCGCCTACAGACAGACTGTAGAAAGTTGTCCAGACGTAGAGCCCTGGAGTGGAGCGTACCGGTATCCAGGTATACATGCAGAGTGCAGAGCAGAAGATGAAGGTGATGTAGACGTTCATCGTGCCGCAGTATCGGGCGATCAGACTGGGCAGCAGTCGACCTGCGAATCCGATGCCGTTAAGAACGAGGGTGAGGTTCAGGGAGTCGGTGTAGGACATTCCTCGTTTCTCTCGCGCGTAGGAACTGAGGAAGAAGAATGGGAAAAATACACCGAGGAAGGCCTGCAGGTCTGTCAGCGAAGTGTTCATGCCTCGTCAACAGGATGAGAGTAATCATCGTAAGAGACTTACCAGAAAAGACCCCACAAGCAGCAAGTTAAACGCCGTCTCCCTAAACACGCTCACATCCAGCAGCGGCCCCGCCTTCCTCACCACCTTCTTCATCCTCCCACACACCAACGCAACTGCAAACGTCCCCAACTGGATGCACCCAATCGCCCTCAACGTCCACCCAAACCCCACACTCGGCAACAGCGTCCTCACCATACTGGGATAAACCAACCCCCCGGTTACACTCCCACACGCCGCAATTCCCGTAACAAGCGGCAGCCTCCTCTTAAAATAGCTCGTAACAAGCGTCGACATAGGCGTAAGCAAACACCCATTCCCCAGCCCCGTACACACGCCTTGCGCGAGGAGAACTTGCCAGTACGTTTCGCTAAGGGAAGTCATGAATGTGCCGAGGACGACGAGGAGGGCGCCCGTGAAGGTAACAGAGCGGTAGTAACCGGCGTCTGTGAGACGCCCGCTGATGATACCAGTGAAGAAGAGGAGGAAGACGGCTAAGGAACCGATCCAGGCGATGGTGGAGCGGGTTTGGTGGAGTGTGGTGACGTAGTAGGTTTGGAAGACGCCGAAGGAGATTATCATGCCCCTGGTTGAGGGTAGTTAGTGGATGTTTGGTGGATGTGAGTGGGGAGATGGGGATTACCATGTGTTCATGATAGCGAGGAAGAATGCGAGGACTGCTAACCAAGCTATCAATCCTCCCTCTGGTGGTTCTTGAGCGACAACTGTGTCTCCAGGTCGTTCTTCAACGCTCGTGCTTGAAGATGGTAGAGTTGCCGATTCGGTGTCCTCATGTCTCGGTTGGCCATGATCTGGTATTTCCGGAGAGAGTTTACCCTCATGATCATCCATGGTCTTACTTCCAAACATGATCTCTTGATCTCACGTCAAGGTTGCCGAGTGAAAACTGTCAATCTTCGACTATTGCGGCGGGTGCGTGATACTACTTGATGGCGGGCTCAGAACTATATATAACATCCAAGAATCGACGTGCATGTACCATATGAGAGATTTGTTCACTCATCAGCGAACTCGTACGGATTGATAATCAGCGTTAAAGGATGATTCTGCCCGAGTATAAGCAAGCTCCTGGTCTAGATGATCATGGCGCTAGACCTGATGGGGTGTCAAATGCCGACCCACTGGGATTTACATATACACAGAATTGGTGTTCTGCTCGCTGGAAGAGATTGTGAGAGGAATGCAGAAACTTCTGGGTCGGTCTTGTTGCGGCTACCGAGTTGTCTAGGGCTTCGGGGTTGATAACCCTGTAGTATTTGCTGTGATGCGCTGGGAGGGATACATGCGCATGTTTTGTGATCTGGACGGAAGCGGGGTTTCATGTGCGGAAAATGTTTTGAATGCATGAAAATATACTATAGATGTATGGGTTGTAGCTACTATATCTTACACCGCTCCAATGAAACAGCACGAGTAGAACGGTATTATGCCCACACTACCAATACATCTTTGAATCCACTAGCATAGTCTGATTCCTTCTTCTCCAGCTCAGTTAATCTCTACAGCCTTACCAGGCTTCAGCCAACAAACCTTCTCCAAAACTCCCTCTTCCTTTAACTCCTGAGCAAGTCCCTCACCACCCTGCTTGAAATGATCCCACGACTCATAATGCATTGGTACCAGTACATCAGCCTTCAGATCCTTAAGGAGGTGAGCCGCCTGCCGACCATCCATGGTGATCTGTAAAGCATCACCTGGTTGCCCCGGCTTACCCTCCTCGGTAAACTCATAAAAGGTAGCTTTACCGCAATTCAGGATAGCGACAGTGATGTGATACTTGTCCGCAATCTTTGCAAGCTCTTCAATATAGACTGTGTCGCCGGAGAAATAGATCGCGTTCGGACGGCCGTCGGCTGAGACTCCAAAGCTTTCGGTATGCAGGACGAAGCCGACACATTCGTGCCCGGGCCAGTGCTTGCAAGGCGTAGCGGTGATGTGGAATGTCGTCCCTGCGATGCGCACGTCTCTTTCTTGCCAGTCACTAAACCCGAGGACACTCGGCCGCGGTGCGAGATTCTTCGCACCATCGTTGGTGGTTACAACGTGGCGGCCGTCGACGAGTCGACGTCCTAAGTCATCGAGGTTATCGGGGTGGTTCTCATGGCTTAGGAGGATGGCGTCGATGTGGGGTAGTTGGTCTAGCTTCAGAGCTGGGTCATCGTGGACTTTCAGAACAGCTGCAGATCCATTGAACTCGGTGCCCGCCGGAGAGAAGAACGGGTCGGTGAGGAAGGTGATGCCGTCGATGTCGAGGATGGCGGTAGCGGTGCCGATGTGGGTGATGGTGACTTTGTTCTTAAAGGTGGAGGCTGGCATGATTTTGATAGTGAAGTTTTGTCGAATAGTAGAGTGATGATAGATCAGTACCTGGGTATTATCCTTCCATGCAATGGAACGCAGTGGTTCGCTTTATAACAAGCCGCACCGTCGAGGAGATCCATCGTGAATTTCAGCCTAGAGCAAGACGCATATCGGAGGATAGTGCGATGATTGCTTGATCAGCAATCGTAATCAGCAAAAGAGAATTTTTGCAAGATTGATGAGGTCTGGTAGAGTGTAGAAACGTGACGGACGATACCCGGGGTAGTAGCGTTGGAACGGCAGGCGCTAAGCCTGATGAAGGAGCGAACCCCGACCCACATGTTACCGTCTCATTGGATAAACGCAGCACCTACATCATTGCTGGGCGCTGTCTCAGCTGCCACCCTCAGCGATGCGTCAACGCATCCCTAGCTATCTCTATCATATACCAGTCTCTATGGTAGTGCCCCACCTAGGCTTTTCAATTCGGGACTAAAAACCCGAACCCAATCGATACCTTCCGGTTGCGGTAGCAAATCGCGTTCACTCACGGACGCGCACCTCTGCCATGAAGGTCAGGAAAAAGAACCTCTGTGATACTTGCCGCAAACGAAAGCTTCAGGTACGTTTGCATGATAGCTCATCTCCCGAGCATGCAGACTAATTCCATTCGCTATTGAACAGTGCGATGGCAAGCGTCCAGCGTGTACCCAGTGTGTTTTCAGTAAGCGAAGATGCGAAGGGTACCCGGACGCCTTATTTGTACCCTTCGATGCTACCAAAACGGTAGTAAAGCCAAGACCGCGTCCGAAACCGGTTCCGCCGGCGAAGTCTTCCGTCCCTATCGATGCGCAACGTCATTCCCATGCCGAATCGGGCTGTACTCAGGCTAAAGACGACTCGACTAGACTTCCCCAGCAGACGACCTTCACATCCAACGACTTACCACTTTACAATGGTTCATATCCTCCAGATCCTTCCATTGTACGAGAGAAAGTATCGTTGATCTTGCGCAATTTCATTCCCGTCCAAGAGCTACCATGTAATGCGACTCATGCATCCGAACAATGCTCATGGTTTTGTGGCTCCTGGGCCAACGCCCTGCCAGAACTGACTGCCGACATGACTGGACCATTTTCCCAGTGTCTATACTCGGCCGTGAGCGCTTTGGCACTTGCTATTACCGCCCATCGAGACCGTAGAAACTGTCTCAACGCAGTAGTCGCGCAGTATGAGGACAGTCTCCGCCTTTTAGGAGAAAGTCTTGCAGTTGTGGGAGACACTTACAGAACCGAACTTGTAGCCGCAGTTATGTGTTTGGCACTGACGGAGGTAACCTCGCCTATCTCTTGACGACTGTCTACTGATCCCTTTGGCAGTCTTCTGATATATTTAGTTCAAACAAAGGCTAATAGAACATGACAGGTGCTGTCGCCGACCCAAGAATCTAGTTGGCTGATACATGTGGAAGGTGTCAATAAGATGTTTCAACTCATGCCGCCAGAGCTCTTCGCATCGGGTATTGAGCATACTATGCTTATGGGCTTCAGACCGCTTCTAGTAAGTACAGCGCCACACGGTAATTGTCTGTCATCTAATATATCTACGCGCTAGGTACTCAAAGCTTTCATACTTCGGAAAGCGACATTCTTCGCAGATGGATCCTGGCTTACACTGCCCTTCCAGCATCACAAAGGTGCCCCGTTACAGAGTCTCTTGGGGGCTGCAGCACACATCCCGGGTCTCCTGGAGAAAATCGATGTTGTACTGCCTACTTCCCCCGATGCCGCTGCTGTTGGTACGGCTGGGGCAGCCAACCAACTCATTACAGAGCTCATGGGGAGCATAGAACAACTCAAGAACTGGCACGGTGGCTTCCTGGCGAACACCATGGAACCAATTTCCTGTAGGCAGAGTGTAGAGCGCGATCTCGGCGGCACCTACGAGTCGCTATGGTATCCAAGCCTCGGTATTGCCAACGTGTTCGTCTACTTCTGGGCTTTCCAGCTCCTCTGCCTCAACGAGATTCACGGCCTTTTTGATCGGTTCCCAGCATTGAAGCATGCAGTACATGACGACGCAGTATACAGTCCCAAAGCTTTGCGGGATGAGTGCCTCGAGCTTAGTACGTGCATATACAAAAGCATGGAGTACATTCTGCAGGAAGACTTCATGTTATATGGTATCTCGTCAGCGGGTTTCCCGTTGAGCGGAGCATGTGAGGCGCTTCAGGCAGGCGTCGATGGTCGAGCGATCATGGCGACGCTGGACCCCTCGATCATCACTCGAGCCAGACTGAGAAACTTATAATTCTGGATGTTTGCGCGTACTTATGAGGGATTCAGAAAAACGAAAATGCATGAAAAATCTCGGTGTTAGTATATGGACGTTTTGGTAGACAAAAGTCTTAGCGTACATTACAAGCGTACATCATCATGAATGTCGTTATTCACGCCTCCCCACTACCAACCCATTAATTATTACATTGCGCCCCGTCTGTCATATTAATCTCAGTGTACACCAGGTGATCCTGGTTGATAAAGCCAGTAGCAGATCCCTTGTTGCAATCGGGAGCTTCCTGACCAAAGCAGCGGTATGTCGTTCCAGCGCTCTGAGTGCCAAGAATAGGCGCAGTGTTATCCTCATAAATCTCGGTGCGCGTGTGCACAAAGCCCATGGGGTTGAGCGGTAAACCGGGTACGCCGTCGATGCGATGGGTGATACGGATAAGAGCGCCGAGTTGAGTGTCGCTTGCACCAGACAGCTTGTCAGTGTAGTCGGCGTACTGTTGGTTGCCTATGCGCAGCGAGCCCATGGTGTATGCGATTTTGATCGGTACGCCGTTGGCTTTGAGGTCGGTGTAGGCGATGCTTGCCAGGCCGCCTCCTAAACTGTGGCCAGTAATGATGGTGGAGTAGGACGGCTGCTCAGCACGTAGTTCGGCGAGAGCCTGGATGACACCAGCCTGGACGGATCGCCAGCCTTTCAGAACACCTCCATGGACTTGGCAGCCGGTGCAGCCTGGTGCTGAATCGAAAGGCATGAAGAAGAAGTTGAAGTCTGTTCCAAAGTCCTGGAGTGAAGATGAGCCAGAGAAAGAGACGATGAATTCCTTGGCAACATCATCCTGGAAGACGGCGACTTGGGTGTCATTCACGGTGTCGGAGACAACTTTTCGAACTAACTTTGATCCGAAGGGAGGGCTTTTGCATGTTCCGAACCCGTAGACGAAAGTGGCGAGGGATGCTACAGCATATCTAGTGTACCGTTGCAAAACCGGGTAGAACTCAGGCTGAACTGTTGGCAGTAAGCAAGCGATCATGCTGGATACGGCTGGTATAGCATACTGAGCTCCTTAGGTTTTGTCTGCCTGTTGGAGAGTTCCCGGATGTCAGTTGGGGCAGCCTGAACGAAGTGTGTGGCGAGAGCGGCGAGGGCAAAGGTGGAGAGCTTCATGGTGGTGGTATGACACGATACTCAACAACAAATCTTTCGCCAAAGCGACAACGCGTTATATACATACACGACCCTGACAATGACTCCACTCCATGACTTGGACGCTGGAGCCAGACCAAGGCATAGTAGCATAACGACCGGAAACAGCCTTCCTGAGTCGTTCAAGCATCGCGCTGTGCAGATCGCGAGCTACTGGCTGTCAGGTACAACGCATGAATCGGTATTACAAGCTTCAAGCCTGGACTTGAATCCCCCCTAAAATTTGTTGGTGGAGTCTGGTGGCGTAAAGTGATCGTTGTGACAGGCTCGGACCTGCGCCCTGAGAGTTCAGGGCAAGTAGCGCCCGGCCGATCGCCATGTTTGCACCTTGTTTTGCCGCTATGCCCTCATGTTAGTGTATCGAAAACCACAATACAAGCTTCGCAGCTTCGCATTCGCATTCAGGCACGTGTATGCCATTGTATGGTGCGCGGGAACGGCCGGCTGCGCGTAGTGTTGTGGAGCTGGTATGGGGGATCGCTTCAGGCTTTGTGGTGACCAACCCCGCACCGATTTTCTCCGCTGTCTACCGTCGCGTCGACTTGCCGTTGATACCTAGGTAACTTTCGCTTTACATGGCTGCGACCGTCGCAGCGCACGGTACTGCATACGATGAAGTCCAAATGTCTGACTGGACCTGTCCAGTAACCTGCGGACACGTGCGAGGCGATTGGCGTCTACCATACTTGAGCCGGATGCGACAGCGAGTTCTCCAGTAAACCCAACAGCGTGAAGCTAGAGGTTGAACAGGACATCAGTCCGGAAGCCCAGAGCCATATAGCAAGTATCCCCAGCGCCTAGATAGGTAGAACGTAATCGTACTCGACGCCGGAGCCTAGTAGGTCGAGGATTACAAATGTCATCGGAGGGTTCTCCTCCGTCTGGCGAGCAGCATCGTTCATGGAATTTGGAAAGATACCTAGGTAGCTGAATACCTCGGCCTCTACGACATTAGACAATGGAGACTTCCGCAATGGCTCGTTCGTTCTCTGACTCAGGTTCTGCGCGTTGCAATACCATCGCCGGTCTCCGCGCAGCTCGTGGACAGCCGGTGAAGAAGAGATCTTCTCGCATGAACCTACAGTACCTCAGCGACAATCCCGAACTTGCCCATCCTGGCAACAATGACCTCACACATCGAGATTCCATGATTTGCACAGTATTCGATGGTTTGAAGCAAACTATAGCTATCGTCACTACCGTACCACCCGCATAAGGTTGCACACAAGGTTCGCCGGCTGTAAAGCGGGTGTTCAGCGTTTCAGCATCTCACAGCTGTGACACGCACGTCATTCTCATTGTGAGGGCAGGGACATGATGTGTATATCGTCTGCGGGGAAACTTTGAACTGGAGATCAGACGTCGTCGTTTGGGTGTCACGAAGCAATGCATTCAACATGGTGAAGCGGACCAAATCGTCATTTGCTACCTGGAATAGCTTCCACTCTGATGCTCTGTCGTGATTTGTGACAGAAGGCTGCTGGGCAATAGCCTGTGATCGGGCCGTGAAGAAGAATGTGTCCAAAAGAATCGTTCCCAGACCATGTCATAGATCCTGGGGCGCAATGTTCTGGAGTCAACGTTTCTACGACGTAAAGGTAACATGACTATCACGACCTCGGGGGCGATCACTAGCTTGACCTGCTTCGTCAGGTCCCAACGCTGAGGATCCCAAAGTGTTACTGCACGTGAAAACGGGCCTCTCGCCTACAACGGACCCTTTGGATTCAGAGTGGGCTTAGCGTGAATGCGACGGAACGAAATGGTAAGGGCAAACGAATACCATGTACTTGAAGAAGGCGGTGAATGGGCGCGTCCCGAGGTCTGCTCCATTCCCGGCGCATCCGCGAAGTTCTCACTGAACACGGAGCACCGAAGAATACCAGTCGAGATCTCTTCAATTTAGAAATGACTTCCCGCTATAGGGGAGTTGAGTGTTCAAATAGAGATCGAGTCGGTCGGGAGTCCGAGTTGGAGTGCCCAATTCGCCATAACCAGCCAATTACAGCATTGTTAAACCCGCTGACGGGCCTCCCGAGATCCGCCCGCCCCACACGAGCTCCACGCATGCTTGTCCACCCCCTCGCGGCACGCCTCTCTGAGTCCGGAGTCCATGACGACACAGCGTAAGCCGAAAATGTTTGTGCTGTTGCACGGGGCACGAGGCGTCCGGCTCTCCGCTGCAGTTGCGGCACACACAGTCCATAGACCTGCGATATGAAATAACACTTCATCCGTCCGCTCGTCGTCCAGTAGAATCATATCCAATTGGAATCATCACCAAACGTCAAGATGAGCCACCCGACACACCCAGCGACAGTGCACTTCCCCATCACCACCACCTTCCTTACAGGTGCTCTGGATGCCGTCTACTTCCTCTCCAAGTATGCGCCAACCTCCAGCGCCGTGGCCTCGACCTGTAAGCCCTCTATTTCCACCCTCCCCCATCCGATCACACATCTAACACCCCCCAGTCAAAACCTTCGACATCGCCATAAACCCGTCCATCTTCCCCCTCCTCTCATACTACACTACGCTCCTCACGCTCCTCTTCTCCGCCCCGGCGGTCGCGACCGGCATGTACGAGTTCATACCGCTAGTCAAGCGCGACGGCTTGAAGTCGAAGAAGGCACAGGTCGGCGCGCTGCACGCCGTCATCAACGACGTGACGGTGCTAGGTGCGGCGTTCAACTGGTGGACACGGAGGAGTAACCCGGGCATGGTGCCGAGCGATACCAATATTCTGATTAGCAGTGTTATTGCGCTGCCGGCGACGATGTTCGCGGCGTACCTAGGCGGTAGTCTGGTGTATGTTTATGGTATGGGGTTTAGGGGTGGTCAGGCAAAGGCAAAGAAGGCGCAGTAGAGACGAGGGAGTCGAAGAGTGTATGAGTGCGTTGCCACGACTTCAGAACGAGATTGGACAATTCATCGTGCTACGGGGTCGTAACACGCGTTGTTGATTAGTCACGGTTCCATCCCACGTCTACTCGTTTCCTACCATGTTCACATAAAGACAATATCGTCCATTTGAGTTGCTATCTGGAGAAACTGAGCTTAGAGTGGGAGTGACACAGTTCATTGGCTGCTCTCATCAGCCTTGTGTAAGCCACCCACTGGATGTCTCAGCCGCAGTCCGAACCCCACTACTTGGCAGTCTAATTCATCTGCACCCTGTCCTCGTCGACGATCTGTATTCTCAGCGTTGCGCGCATTTTTTGGTCTTCGGCTAGTTGACAGTTTAGACTGACCCACCTTCATGGATACGGGCAACGTGTTTACTCGCCTCCCCTGCAGTGGCTTCGCCGACTTCCTCTACTCGAATCGAATTCCCAAAAACCCTGCCTCTGCGTATTTCGACCTGCGTACTACTAGTAGTAATGTTGCGAAGGGTGCTGCCGCGGGTTGTAAGGGATGTGCGCTTCTCCACGATGCTGTCACAACGTTCAAACGGGGACGATTACCGACAGATGATTGTTTTATCAACTGTGTCTCTAGAAATGACATGATAGAGTCGCGTTGTCTTAAGATAGTTTTGCATCTTCACTCCGATCATAGAAGTGTGGAAAAGAAGGATGAAGGTACTATGACGGAGCCTGTTTTTCCTTCCTATGCCGACGAGGCTTATGTGCGCGAGTACTTGGAGGTAAATTCGTTCACCGTGCGGTTGGACTGGTCGAGGGGTAAGTGATTCGCCCACTAGCTATAACATCATACAAACGTAGTAGCATAAGCTGACGAGTGGTTACCAGAAGATCTTAGTCCGAATAAGGACCTATCTCCCACATCACTGCTGGCGTCTCAACCAGACTCGCATCTTCCAGATGGTACATCCTCTATCCAAACAACTCAGAGATTGAATCAGTGGCTCGTCGCGTGCGCGGAAACACACCCAGAATGTCAGGTCTTCTCGGAGACGGCGCTGCCAAAACGAGTTCTTGAAATACAAGATTTACGGGTCTATCTCCGAGAAAAGACGGGGCAGAAGGCTAAATATGCGTGTCTGAGCCACTGCTGGGGTACGCAGGGCCCCTCGCTCAAGCTTGAAGGATCTACTCGCCAGCAACTTGCTGGCGGACTTGCAGTCAGTCAGTTACCGAAAACGTTCCGAGATGCTGTCTCAATATGTATCGGTATGGGTATCCGGTTTCTCTGGATTGACGCATTGTGTTAGTACATTCGCCTACCACTCATTGGATTTTGCTAAGCCTCTAACAGGTATCAAGCAAGATGATGCCGATGACTGGACGGAGGCGGTGGCGACGATGGGCGATGTTTACGAGATGTCATGGATCACTATCGCAGCTACTGGGTCAGACAACAGTCAAAAAGGCATATACTCGGCTGTGTCAGATCGGTACAAAGCCAGAGCTTTGAAAGATCACGATTTCCAGATACGAGAGGACCTTCCGCAGTTTATTGATTCACTCAATTCAGATTATGGGTGTGATCATTGGCCTCTCCTGCGCAGGGCTTGGGTATATCAAGAGCGACAGTTATCACCCCGCATGGTTCACTTCGGTGGACAGCAGATCTTCTGGGCCTGCAATTCCTCTTTCCAGTCACAAGACGGATGGTATCGTTCACGATGGAATCCCAGTAGAAAGAAAATTCTCTCGGACTGGAACAGCATCGTGTGTGAATATTCAGCATTACAGCTTACGTACGAGAGCGACCGTCTGTCGGCGATCGCCGCCATAGTACAGCGTGTTATGAAAATTCGGCCACACGATACCTACATTGCAGGCATGTGGAAAGACACCCTTGTTCCGGACTTGTTTTGGCATGTCATCGACTTGCAGGCTCGGCCTCGTTCCACACACAGCATACCGACCTGGTCCTGGGCCTCCGCGTCCGGAGAAGTACGGCATTTCATCACGAAACAACCTTTTCAGCAGGTTGTGCAACTACTGGATGTGACCTTTACATCTACAGGAATGCCTCACATAGGGCAAGTCAAAGATGCTAGTATCACGCTACAAGGGCCCGCCTATAGCCTTCCAGAATCAGCGTTTTCGATCTTGGTGGAGAATCTTGCAGCCGCACCGTGGCAAGATATAGACCTCCTCTTGATGGCGGATATCCGATGCACTGTCTCCAGAGACTTCGATTGGCAAGCTGTCAAGCCTCCCGTAGGGTCCGACCATGACTTGACCGTCTTGTTCCTTTGCGAAGAACTGGGCGACTCTGCCCGTGTAGGACAGCATTTTGGCGGGATGATCCTGAAAGCAGTCAAAGCTGACGCCTTCGAACGGGTTGGGTTTGTTCATGTTTACCCAGATCCCAGTAAGTACAGATATCCTTCTTCCGAGGAAAGTAGCGACGAGGAAAGCAGCGAGGAAGGTGCCGAAGCCGCCGAAGACGAGGATGGCGAAGATAACGAAAAGGTAAATGACAAGAACATAGCTCACAAAGGAGCTTTCTACTTCTCTGCAACTAGACCTCACATCGGGGCAGAAAGGGTTGAGGCCGATGATGTCGACAGCGCAGACGACATGAGCGGAAGTGATAGTGATGACGCAGTGTCTTCCTTTGTTAGCGGATTACCGGTGCAAACTTTCAGAATCATCTGACATTGTCGTTCTCATTTAAGAGCACTATTTGTGGGTATTATCAACCTCGCAACTGGTAACAATCTATTACAAACCAAATTCCAGTACAGCGTGAGCTCCAGTACCTTGCATGCATCGGTGAACCATTCCCTCTGCTTCAGCTTGCAAAGTCTGCTCCAACAAGAAGCTCATCTGAACGTCGCTCAACAGTTGACAGCGCTGAAGCTCAAGCAGATCGCTCAAGTGACAGTGAAAGCACATGGTCACATCGTTGAGCGGTGTCTGCTGCTTACCTGGCGCACTCGCGCCATGACTATTCTTCGCCGCAACCCCAGTGCCTTTGCGTAGTACTGAAGGAGTGCGCAACTCCGGTAACAGTATGACCGCAAAGCCAGATATCAGCCATTTCCCGCTAGAATCGAGACTAATGATGAACGCGTTGTTCACATCGGTGACTCCAGAGAACATGCAGATGCGGTCGCCTGATCCTGTCTCATATGACCCTGGACCTCCTCCGCAAGCAAGTCCAGTGATGCCGTTGGTGCCCACGAAGGATGTGTATCGTGCGTGTCGTTGGTCAGTGTTTCGCCGGGCCAGTTTGCTCCTAGCAGCCAGATATAGTGCTGCAGCGTCGTCCGTCATGCTCCGGGAGATGATGTTGCGTATGACTTTACTACTACTATCGCCAGGCTGTGAGCTGGCGCCGGCGTCTGGCCCTTGCTCGACAACCGCTCGCGAGAGGCCATCGATTATCAAATCCGCGGACGCCTCTATCATAGCTTGCCGTACTTTTTCAGTTGGGCCTGGGTTTCCGTATGCTACATGAGGGTCGGCAAAGCTGAGCAATGTTTGCGTGTCTCCTTTGATGACGTAGTCGCCGAGGTCCTGGATGTCTTGGGTCGAGAAGGATCTGGGATGCATGTTCGAACGCGTCCAAGTCGCCTTCCATGTTCCTGGTTGAAAGGCCTCGTCATGGTCTACAAAATTACCGACTTCAGTAATCGTACTGATGAATGAAACTGAGGCGGTCATGCAGGGCGTACCAGCCACAATGTAGAGGTGTGGCTGCAGATCCGGGCACAGCTTTAGGATATGCTGTGCGAGGGTCTCGCGCGAGACGCCTAGCGCTTGCATGAGGAACGTCAAGAAGCGATAGTCGTCTGAGTCTCCTCTCCTAGGGTCTTCGTGACATTGGTTGCGAAGCACGTCGACGAGCAGCTCGACAGGTGCTTTGTTGTAGTCAGGTACAATCCTCTCTCCACGGCCAGTCGATGCAACTCCTAGAAACCCGTAGACTCTGTCGTACACTACAGAGCTCTCCGATAACGCAAAGGCTTGCAAGAGATCGCGCAAGCGAAATGTCGACTTTAGTGTCTTGCTGTTGCGGCGACCGAGCATCTCTCTCCGGTATTGCTTCGTGCGTTTGAAGTCTTTCCGGTACTTGAATAGCAGATAACCGCGACTTGTATAGATCATGCTTGTTGGAGATGCGACTGGTGTTGATGCAAGCCCATCGCGCCAGATGCTTTCGACTGTCGCAGCACCCACACTGAGATCTCCACACCATATTTCGACCGATTGTGCCAGCACGAATTCCTGCACCACCCACACCCGACTCCAATACGGCTTGTTGAGGATATCTGCCAGTGCAGTATGAAACTCTTCAACTCTGAGAAGGTCTGGATGCCGCGCAAGCATAAAAGCCAACTCTTCATATCCTTGGGGCAGTCCGAGCCACACTATGACGGATTGCGCCCCAGTGTATACATCGCGCATGAGCGATACTTGATGATTGCGCTCCGGTATGTTGGTCTGATCAATTGCGATAGCATCAATCCATAGGGGTATCGCCTTGCCTGGATCTTTCTCGCAGCATTGCCGGAGGTACTGCTTCCTGCGGTATTGCTGTATGAAGTTCCATAAGCTTTCCCCGACGGCGAACTTTGATCCTTGGATGTCAATATACTTCTTCTCGCCAGCTTTGTCCCACATGTAGGATAGCGCGATGAAAGTGGGCTTATCGTCCAAGTCACAGACAGAGAGTGTGGCCTGAATGGGCTCGTGATCAGGCGCTGGCAGTATTTCCAAAAGCCTGACGCTCTTCTTATTTGGGTCTAGAGAGCCATACTGCAGTAAGGGTAAGGCTGCCAGTGGATCATCCTGATCGGGTGTTGCCGGCGGACTGGCGGGCGTGGTCGTGGGCGCGGTGGACTTGCGCCGCAACTTTTGCAGCCGAAAAGGATCAACAAAAGTCTTCTTGAGTATGCTCTGAGTCGTCCTCTCAGATGCAGCCATGATACTGTATAGTGCGTGAATGCGACGATGTAGCAACAAGAGCCTTAGTGGATCTCTTCAGTGGTAAGCCTGAGATGCATGTGGAGAATGAACGCAGCGCGAAAGAACGATCCTTATCCAGGCCATCGTTGAACGTCGCGAGATTTACTGGCACCGTCTGACAGCTCTCAATTGTTACCAGCGAATGGCCGTTGGTGTGGCTTGCAACATGCTCTCCCGGTGGTGAATGTCTGAGGCCAGAAGTTCGTCCGAGAGACCTCGGGACTCTTTGACGATGCTGACTAAGTAAGCTTAGATGGGTGTGGGGGCCAAAACCAGCCCAGCCCCCAGAGTTCTTCCCGCCTGCTATCGCCATCATCTGCGGGAAGCGTACCCAACCGAGCAAATCAATATTTGGGCCTAAGCTAGTGCGCGAATCGCTCCAACACGCGGTTTCCCATTCCCTCGTCGACGATGTATTCCCGCAGTCCAGAGGCGTATGCGACGCGATTGTAGGAGCAAGGAGGGCTTCTGCAGCACAGGCGACATCATCTAGAGCTGTTCTCTGTTCATGAAAGCGATATACCAAGCCCGGATGGTCTGTCCGCACTCCACGAAGTCAGATGCAGAGCTGCCCAGGTTCTGACGAATAGGGTCAGTTTCGTTGTCTTGCCATTCAGCATTTTGGTGATTGCTCATGCGCGACTGATTCGCAATGAAGCGTACGAGGAGTTTGCGATAATCTATGGCAATCCCGTTGATCGCTTACGGGCGCATGAGCCGAAGGAGCAGAGGTGATTTGATGGCACGAACACTCGATCGCCATATGAATACTTCGACTCGAGTATCTCCTCGATGATTTGATTCTTCAGTTCGTACTGTTCTTCGCTGATTTAAATGCATCTCTACTGGTTTGATGCATGCCGATACTACAGCCATGTCCAGATCACTAGGTAATCTCCAAACCCAGGCGAAGCGCAGCACACGCACTCGTCACTCAACAACCTATATACGCTGCATTCATCGTCCTCAACATCTGGAATATCTCTCATTTCGCAGCCTTGGGGATCCGTAAGCTCTCCACCAATCCCTTACCATGGTTTCCAATCCTCATCTATTCACAATCCAGTCGGATGCACTAGAACGAGCGCAGCACTCAGCGAATCTGCATTGAACGCGGGATAAATATTAACTCCATGTGTTTTAGATTCCTGCAAAGCTGCACTATATGCGGAGCGATGATGATATCGGTATTCAGAGTTGACGAAGGAACAGATGTAAAGGAATGAGGACGTCAAAGACATGCACGAGAGCTTTCCACCGGCGTCAACTCTCAAAATCACACTCTTTCCATACCTTCCTTATAGAGAAGATGAAGTGTCTTGGTTTCGCCCTCGGCGTTCTCGCCACGCTTACGGCTGCACAAACGCCAGCCCCATATACCGATGCTAAATCAGGCATCACATTCAACACCCTCCAGCACAGTAGCGGCATGTTCTTCGGTCTTGCACTTCCAGCCAACGCCACCGGAAACACTGACTTCATCGCGACGATCGGGGGAAAGGGTACGGGATGGAGCGGTGTTTCTCTCGGGGGTGGTATGCTCAACAAGCTTTTGATCGTCGCCTGGCCAAACGCCCGAGCTGTCGTAGGCAGCTTCAGGAAGACTGCGTACGCTCGAGAGGAACTGCTACATCAGCGAGGTGATACTAACAACTAGCAGTCAATACGCCTCTCCAGCAGTCGGAACCGGAGCTTTCACGCAGACAGCAATAGCAAATGGCACATATGTCAACAGCACGCACTGGACCTACACTTTCCTCTGCTCCAAGTGCATTCAAACCGATGGCACGACTTTCAAGCCTACTGATACAGTACCAAGTCTCGGATTCGCGTTGAACCCGACAGCGCCGGCCCAAAAGACGAATCCCGCTTCTAGTGTATCGAAGCACACGGCGCAGGGGCAAGCGGTTTTTGACCTTAGCAGGGCTAAGAGCGCAAAGTTCGAGGTCTGGAAGGGTTACGCTGTGCCGAAAGTCGCTACGAGATTTGTGGGCTAGATGGTGCGACGGCTAAATAGAGCAGGATATTCAAGGCAGTCTGGATGTCGAGTCTGTACTGGAAATTAGTCTTAGTATTTCAGCATCGCTCCATATGTATGTATCGCTTATCGTTGTCTCACAGCTGTTTTTGTTGAGTCATGCATGTCATCTCACTCTTCCCAAGCATACGGTTCAAGATCTACCGCTCCGTGCCTGATCATCCCTCCCGTCTTTAGCCTGATTGCAACGAAAGCACTGTGCGGGGACGACCGTGCACACGAAGCAATAGAGTCTAGCTGAAGCGTCTTGTGCACATGCTCTTCTGGTGCAAGCTATTAAGATATGGCTAGTTTCGGGGATTGGGTTGCCGGAAAGTGGCATAGACTAGCGAAAGAGGAACATGTAGCATCACAGGCGCAATAATGTCACAGGAAACTTGATGGCATCAAGGAAAGTATATCATTGTATTCTACACTACAGCCTACTTCTACCAGCGAAAGAAACTCCTAAAAGTAGGAAGACCAAAAGGATTGAGAATGTCGAAAGCGTTGCGGGCTTTGATCAAATCAGCTCCCTTCTCTGCGACAGCGTACATGGTCGCTTGCAAGTGTGTTGCAGGGATCAACGGGATGATACTCGCGTCCACGATGCTGAGGCCCTTCACACCATACACGGTGAGGTCGCTGCCAACGCAACCACCTAGAGACTCCGGCATCATTGCGCAGCTGCCAGACATGTGTGCGAAAGAAGCTTGGAGAGCCTTTTGTTGAACGAGATCATTGATGATCTCATCGTCCGTCTGTGCCTGAGTTCCAGGCGTGAGCTCAACCGGAGAGAACTTCTTGAGCTCAGGGTTGGCCCAGTGTTTGCGCGTCCATCGGACCATTCCAGCGATGATCTGGCGATCGACCGGATTTTGAAGGGCGTTGAATTGGACAACTGGATTGCCGTATTTGTTGCTTGGGTTGATGGTGACAGTGCCGCGAGAGAGTGGGCGTTGCAGCGAGCTGATGGCGAGACCGAAGGGTACCATGGGGAACTCGCCAACAGCAGCATCAGCACTACTGTGAAGACCCGCAATGATGTCGCGTTGCTTGGTGAAGCCGCGTAGCAGTGAGGAGTCGTCATACACCGAGGGAAGGTAGCTACGGACGTTCTGTGACTTGACAGTCTGCACAATCTGATTCCAGTTGTCGCAAACTGTCTGCAGACTGAGGAAGGCTAGGCTGCTGCCATGGGCTTGCGTAAGGGGGCCGCTCCTGCTGGTGTCGTACTCGGACCATACTGTAGCGTTGTAACTGGGGTCTGCGCCGCTGTAGATGTTGGGGAAGGCGAGATTCTTGAGGTCGAACACCATGTTCGCATTAGGGTGGTCTTGCATGTTGGCGCCAACAGCAGGCATGTTCTTCTTCACGTTTATCCCCGCAGCTTTAAGGACATCGCTCGGCCCGATGCCGCTGAGTTGAAGGATCTGTGGTGTGAATATTGAGCCGGCAGCCATGATGACTTCGCGCTTCGCATAGACTTGTTTAACCGAGCCATCCGTTCGCGACTTAAATTGGACACCATTGGCTGTGTATCCAGTGAAGAGGCCCTTGTCGAAAAGGACCTCATTGACAGTCTTTCCGGTGACCAGTACGAGGTTGTTACGGGTCTTGACAGGGTCGTAGTATTCGTTCTTCGCATGAGATCTTGTCTGGGTCTTGGGTCGCAGAGCTGTAGGTATCCAGAAAGCACCCACTGCCTTTCCCGAAGCATGCTCTCTTGGCAAAGGCACGCCTGACTGCTTGTATGCCGCCCAGATGGTCTTTGTATCTTCATACTCGAAGTTTGGGAACGATGCTTGTATCGGCCCGTTGGTGCCATAGTAGGATGCGTCATACGTAGTGCCAAAGTTCTTCACATTGTTCGCTGTTGGTGGCGTGAATGTGGTCGACTTCTTGAAGTAGTATAAGAGGCTGTTGAAATTCCAGCCGTTGTTACCAAGTTGCTCCCACGCATTGTAGTCGGCGGCAGATGCTCGGTCAAAGGCCATACCGTTGACCACCGATCCACCGCCGACAACGTTGCCGACCCATACAGGATGTGTACCGCCTGTGTTGGTATCATACGCAGATGTGATGTCGTACATGAGATTTGCGTTGACGCTGTTGGCAAAGCTAGGCACCTGAGTGGTTACATCGTCGACGACATAGCCATTCTCGATCACGAGAACAGTACCTGAGGATGTTAGATGCATATGATGACAGTGCGCACAGATACTCACGGCTTGAATCTTCGCTGAGGCGATTGGCAACTGTCAGACCAGTCAACCCGCCGCCAACGATGATGTAGTCGAAAGACTGTCCTCCAATATCTGGCTCGCCGCTGTTGCTACCCGGGGTCGACGGGTCCAATACGCGCGGCACGAAAGACGCGAGGTAGAAAATGCCCCCAAGAAGAAGAGACATATTAGAAATTATGGACAGAACGAGTGTATGAGCACCAGACGAATGGCGCAAGGGTGAGTGGTGCGTCAAGAGCTAAGATTACGGATCGTCGAAGGTTTATACCAGGACTGATCCGTTTGTCAGGTAGCTGACGGACGGGCCACCCCTGAGTATGCGAAGCTACTGAAGTGTTTCGCTTGCACATAAACGAGCTTCGGCATGCCATGGCAGTTAAACACTACCCGCTGGGCGTTGCGTAGCGATTTTTCCTCGTGGAGTAAACGGTGCTCAAAGGTACCAGACTCTGCAGTGCTCAATGTAGCATGTTGCCCGGGCTCTTGGATCGATTCTGCACGAGAACAACGTAGAGGTCCGCAAACCTTGCTGAAAAGTATAACCGTAGTCTACTAGAAACGGTAAGCCTTATGATTCTGTCAATCTACCCGGCTATCGACAAGCCTAGAGCTGCAGTCATCGATATCTGGTAAGTACAGCTAACGTGGCGTTGACTATCAGCTCCCGCCGTAACAACCACGTGCATCGTCGTATGACGTGCGCCACGCGAGCTGATGAGGAGGTTTTGCCCTGAATGGTGCAGCGCTTTGTCCCTGCGAACCACATAGTAGTCGATAGTTCAAAAGGCGAGACCGACGGTGTGGTGATGGCGAAGCGGCGGCCTATGGTACAATCGCGGGAATGCAGGGGCCACGGCTGTCATGTTGCAAGAGCCGTACTGGTGAAAATATCCGTCATCCTCATCCTGCTCTCGCACTGCTGCGGGTCGTCATTAGTTCGAGTTTTATGCTTTGGTGTACGAGTGTTTAGGTTTGCAGTCGTCTAGATTATCGGTGGCGGCCGGAGATGGCTCAATGCGGTATGGCTCGCTCCTATCTGACACTAGCCACACAAAGACACAAACCTGGCGGCATCGCTAACTTCACGAGCTCAGCAACCGTCGCTTGTCAGTCTTTCCTGCTGCGGGCGCCTACGTTGTGCTAGAATTATTGCGGTAGCGGAGAGCGAGCAACAATGCCAGTGCTATTGCACCCGTTCGGCTCGTTCACTGAACATGACATCGTCACAGAGAGTCCGCGTCGACTGCTCACATTGGAGAATGCAAGGGTTATTTGATGCGCTCGAACTAATGGACATTTGATATCATCGCGGTCTGTTTACTGCGCTGCCGTGGCTCAGCCAAACTATTTGACAAGGCCGTTTCGAGCCTGATGCCCTGGCATCTGCGCCGGCCTGAGCTAAACCTTCGTGCAACGGCGCGCATCACAACCTTTTAGTCCATGCCACGACGGTTAACCGAGTGACAGATGTCGTGCTTGCTCGCTCCGGCCATAAATCACGATGAACCTAATCTCGGGGCTGTGGGTTAGCAGCATGCAAGAGTTTGGTTGGGTTTGTTTCCAGAAGACAAATTGGGAGTGGCTGTGGAAGGTCTCCCGACCGTGCACTTCTGGCTCTTTCAGGGCTTGCGCAAGAGGAGAAAGAGATATGTTTGATCTGCGGAGCCTTGCGGCTCGGCTGCCTCCTTCCAGCTCATCAGTGGAGATCTGGACCACGATGTCCGAGCATGAACGCATCCTGACTAACGACCTACCACGATGATGTGCGCTAGTCCTCGGCGCACAGTCGTAGGAATAGGATTTAACCGCCTCCTGCATGCTTCGTTGCGTCTTACGGGATTGGCTGAGTTTGACATCGGTCGGGCACTCCGCCGTTTATGTCTGGCTATCTGCTAAACGTTAACAGAGCAATTATAACAGCACGTCCACCCGGCCCGTCTCTGCATCAGCCTGCATAGCATTTCAGGCGATCAGCAGGAGCTCATTTGGACGAGAAGTCTCCGGTCAGCCAATTTCATTGGGCATCTTTATCTTTCCGTGTCTCATCCTCCTCACATTTTCCCACCCGCAATGGGTGCACCCACAACACCGGAGGGGCTTCCTTTGGACGACCGCTCCAATGCGCTCAAGATACCCATCATCACCTTGATCATCTTCAGCTCGATATTCGTTCTACTCCGCTTGGGCATCAATTGGAAGAACAGAAATTACTTCCTACTAACCGATCATCTCCTATGGACGGGACAAGTAACTCGCAATCAACCCAGAGCTTCAAGCAGTATACTAACCAGCTTCAGGTCATAGCTGTCGCAGGCGCAGCTTGCTGCTACAAGATGGCTGAAGTCGGGGGCGGCAGGCATGTTTGGGACCCGATATTGACTCCTCAAAACATGGAGAAATACCTCTACTTCCTCTGGCTGGGCCAGCTTCTTAACCTATACGGCATGGCCTTGATCAAACTGAGTGTTTGCGCCTACATCTTCATGTTGGACTTTTCGCGAACCTTCAGGATTATCATATGGGCTTCCGTTGTGATCCATGTCGGTGTCAACGTCGTCTTCCCTACCGTTATTCTGTTCGGCGAATGTACCCCATACACCAAGCATTGGGACGTCTCCGGAATGAAACCTGGCTCTTGCTGGGACGCGAAGCCGCGCGTCATCTCTGGATACTCAGGTGCTGCGGTCAACATAGCGACCGACCTCCTCTACACCATGGCGCCGCTTATCTACATTGCGAGGGTGCAACTTCCAAAGCGGACCATTTGGGGCGTTCGCGCAGTGTTCCTATGCGGTCTTATGTAGGTCGCCCTCTTGCTGGCCTCTTGATCGCGTTACTAACACTCTCAAGTACAACCACCATATCCGCACTGAAACTCTACGAGATGAAGTCTTTAAACGAATCGCCAGATCCAACCTACTCGTCCGTCAACCTAAGCGTTTTCGCAATCGCTGAAGTCTTCGTTGGCGCGTTCACTGCCTCGCTCCCGCCGCTACGCAAGACATTTGAGAACGGTCTCCGCAAAGTGCTCCCAACCAGTATCACAGGAGGATCAGGCAAGGGATCAAGACAAAGCTATGCGCTCCAAGTTTCAGGGCCACAGGTCAGCGGAAAGTCGTCGAAGCCGAAGCACGAGACGGATGACGACAGTGAGCTCGGTATACTGCCGGATGAGGCGAGCCATGAGAGGAAAGGCTCCGATCACGCGATCATGAAGACTACACATGTCAGTGTGACAGCCGATAGCAAGAGTATAGCGTCGCGCGACCATACTGAGTGGGCTTAAACGCTTCTCTATACAGAAGCACATAGTAATGATAATGAATTAATGATCTTCAACACATCCTGCTACCCAATACCGGGAATGCATTCCCGTACCGTTACATACTCACGGACATATTCCCGCTCCCATGGTCATCATGATCACCATCAGGGGCTGTGCTGCAGATCCCTGTCTCACATCTAGCCGAGGTACATGCATCGATCAGCAAACTCATCTGCACCACATCACCTTTCATCAACATGTCGAAGCCGTCGAAACCATATCGTCGCGATCTCCAATTTCGTGGCTTCGCCGAGGGACTGACGTACCTCAGCAGCGACGGCCAAGCCCAGTGTCATTATTTCGGAGGCGTCCCGTATGCCCTCCCACCTGTCGGCCCCTTTCGCTTCCAAAAGCCACGGTCACTACCACCATGCTACCGCTACGGGACAAAAGCGAACCCTGGACGATACACGGGCGGCTGTGGATTATGTCCGCAGCCAGGTTCCAGCACGGAAACCCTTGACGAGCCTGCATGGGACGAAGATTGTTTGCAAACCAACATTTGGATTCCAGCTGGGCCATTGCCAGCGGAAGGTATGTCCCTGACTCTACGCGACCTCAACCAATTGAAAGCTGACTCGGGGAGGTTGGCCGGTGCTATTCTGGATTCGTAAGTAATCATTTCCTCCCCGTCACCTCTTAGTGCTTGGCATCGTCGTTTCACGGCAAACAACATTCGAGACAGATCTTCGGCGCGCAGCCGTGGCGCACATTGGCACGGGATATAAACTCTGGCACCACGTGGTAGATCCGCACTAACATCCACTAGACGGCGGGTTCCTGCAATGGGGTAGCCCGAACGGACTCGACCTCCGTGCGCTACTCAGCGAATCCCCCATCCAATGCGTCGTGGTCGCTCCCGCGTACCGCCTAAACGTATTCGGATTCCTCGCGTGCCAGGGGATTATCGACTCATGTGGTGATTTTGGCGTCAATCTTGGCTTCTGGGATCAGCGCATGGCTTTGCAATGGACGTATGAGAATGTTAGCTATTTTGGCGGGAACGCCTCGAACATCACTGTCGGCGGATACTCGGCTGGTTCGCACTCGGTGTTCCATCAGCTGTCGTACGATCTCGGTTGCCCCGATGAGAAGGCGATCGTAAAGAGGGCGTTGATGCTGTCGAATGGGCCAGGCATGCAACCGAAGAGTTTGGGCGAGGCGCAGCATCAGTTCGACGAGCTATTGGAGGCGTTGGCTATCGACTCGGCGGCATCGCCAGCTGAGAAGTTGGCACAACTCCGTTCGTTGTCTCCGCGAGCGATTGTGGAAGCGAGCAATGGGATCAAGCTCCATCAGTTTCGCGCGGTCACCGACGGGTCATTTGTACGGCATGGTCTTCTCGAAGAGCTATCGAATGGTATCTACGCCCAGCGCATGAAACGGCGCAACGTCAAGCTCATCATTGGCGAATGCAGCGACGAGCATCATGTCTACGGTCTTTGGCGACCACCTAGGCCGGGCTTCGACAATATGCTGTACCGCCTTGAAGCTGACTACCCTCGCGAAGCATGCAAGGTGTTGATGTCGCACTACTTCCCCAATCGCAACCTGCCGTCGAAGTACTCGAGCTGGCAAGCAGCTTTCGGTCATATCTACGCTGATGTTCAGATACACGCACTGCGTCGCGGAATGGTAAATGCTTTAGCGAGGCATGGTGCAGGAGATCTCATCCATAGATACCGCATCGAATGGCGTGCGCAGTGTGTTGACAAGGAGTTGCCCAAACACTTTGGTGCAAGTCACGGCTCTGACATGGCGATATGGTTTTGGGGTAATGGAAGCGATCTGACTGAAGAGGAGAAGAGTATTGCGTTGAAAGTATTTCACGATCCGTTGAGCAGGTTCTTGAAGAGCGAGGAGATGAATTGGGGTACGCAGCATGCGATGCAGTTGAGAACACTAAAGAACGATGGGAATGTCGCCATCGAAGAAGACACTCGACTAGATGAAGGCTTGAAACTGTGGAATGCGCTGAAGACGGTTGGCGCTACTGGTGACCCAAAGGACACTGCAAAGCTATAATGGCAAAGTCTTGTCAAGTTGTGAAGAGAAAAGAAAGCTCTCTACAATCTTCAAAAGGCGCGGCAAACCTACACGTTGCTCTATTACCGGATTAGGAAAGTTTAGCACAAATGTAGATTACAGCTAGGTGTCTTCAGGCTCCTACACGTCATAGAAGGCCTGCTCGACCTTGCTGTCGCCGCCGCGAGGTTTGCCATGTCCGCCCTGGCAGCTGCTATGCTTATGCTCTTTGCCCGCGGAACTTATTCCGAAGACATGACTTCGCCTCGGCAACCGCGTCCACATCTCAACATGCTCCAACGTCACATTCTCAACATCTAAATAGTAACATATGGTACTAGCGACATAGTCCAACATCACTAGACACCACGTATCCTTTTTTCCTACGTCCCCGTCATCATGCCGCCATATACCTACGATCATTCCGGCGATAACATACACAGCCTGCTTTTTGAACTCATCCGCCACAACATCGAACACACACTCGATCTCGCGACTCGCAATAGCAAATCTAATACTAACTGGTCCCCCGCGCCCCCAGACCACACACCTTTGATAGTTTTCTTCCCCCAAACCACCCAAGAGACATCCCTCATCCTAAAAACGTGCAATGAGCGACGTATAGCCGTAACACCCTTTTCCGGCGGCACAAGTTTCGGCGGCGCGCTCGCAGCTACAAAAGGGGGAATATGTATAAGTTTCGAGCGGATGAAGAGTATCGTCGCGTTACATGAAGATGACATGGATGTTGTGGTGCAGCCAGGATTGGGGTGGGTGGAGTTGAATGAAAGGTTGGCAGAGAAGGGGTTATTCTTCCCTGTCGATCCTGCTCCGGGGGCGAAGATAGGTGGTATGGTATGTATAGTTTCCTGTACATGGTGTGGGTGATGTGCTAACACCTCGCAAGGTAGCAATGTCCTGCTCCGGAACAAACGCCTACCACTACGGCACCATGAAAGAAAACGTCATATCACTGACCTGCGTGCTACCGTCCGGCGCGATCATAAAAACGCACAACAGGCCGCGCAAATCATCCGCTGGCTACGACCTCACACATCTCGTCATCGGCTCCGAAGGCACCCTCGCCCTCGTCACAGAAGCCGTCCTGCGTCTCGCGCCTTTGCCCCAGAACTTGCACGTCGGTCTAGCCACATTCCCCACTTTCCAAGCCGGGGTCCAAGTCGTCGTCTCGCTCCAAAAACTGGGCCACCGACTTGAAGCACTAGAGTTGGCAGACGGACCGCAAATGCAGTGTGTCAACGTGTCTGGCCTCGCACCCGCACGCGTGTTTAAAGAAGTGCCAACGCTGTTTTTCAAGATCGCAGGGCCATCGGTGCATATCGTTCAAAACCAGATAGCCATCATGCAAGAGTTGTGTAAAGCACAGGGAGCATCTAGCGTTGAAATTACAAATGAAGAGAGTGCGGTCGGTGTGATTTGGGGCGCGCGGAAATGCATGGGCACGGCTCTTCTTGCTATGAAGAAGAAAGCTACTGACCTCTTCTTACACAGCGACTGCGCGGTTCCCATTTCGAATCTCTCCCGTCTCGTTGCTGGAACTCAGGATCTCATCGCCAAAGCTTCAGTCACGAATCAAGCAGATTGGTTCTGTGCCAACGTCGGCCACATCGGGGACGGCAACGTCCACTCCAGCATTGTGTGTCCACAGGAGCACTATGACGCTGCAATGAGTGTCATCATGGACATCGCGAGGCTGGCGCTTAGCTTAGAGGGCACGATAACGGGCGAGCATGGCGTTGGGATGAAGTTGAGAGATGCGTTGGAGGAGGAAGTAGGGAGTGAGGGTGTGGAGGTGATGAGGGGAGTTAAGAGGGCGTTGGACCCAAGGGGCATTTTGAATCCGGATAAGGTTTTTAGGCTGGAGGGGGAGGGGGGTGAGTCTAAACTCTAAGCCTATGTGGTATGAGATATTGGAATACAAAAGGACAGACGTGGGCAGGTGGCTGATGATGCTTGCTGATTACATTCCATGAACCCTCCATCTCCATCCCACCACATCACCCATCAACCTTATATCCCACATCTCATCTCCTACCCGTCACTTCCACTTCTCCCCATCCCAGCCATTACTCCTCGCCCAAGCCAGCCACCCCTCCCTCTCCTCTTCCATCAAATCAACCTCTGGTTCAGGTCCATACAGAAAGTCTTCCTAATCCTTCCTCGCACTGCGGACGGCCTCTTGCCTGAGCCACTCTGCCCAGACACCCAGATCATCCGCGGCGTCTAGTACTTTAGCCAGTATCTTCATTTTCTTATCAAAGAACTCTGCTTGAGCCTGTGGTTGTTCTAAGCTGTCGTGGTGTGCGTGAATGTTTTGCTCCATGGCGACTAGCTCGCCGTTGGTGTGGATGTCGATTGTTACGGCGAGGGGTGCGTGGTATTTTTTCGGTGTCGATGTGTCAGAGAGGAGACCAGAAAGGAGGTCTGATACGTCGGGTGAAGATGTTGTAGCATCAGGGTGGGGTACGTGCAGGGTGAAGCGTGGTGTAGGCGGGTTATAGCTTAGAGTAACGTCGAGTTGGACAGGAGGTAGTTCTCCCTGCGCGGACGTCTGCGGTGGAGCTGTTGTTGTGGGATGCTTGCCGAGCTTGTGGGTCGGAATAGGCTTTTCAGGTGCGAGGTAGAAGCAGTCTCGTATGAGAGATGTGACATGCGCGTACTGTCTTAGCACGGGCAGCATCTCGACGAGTTGCTTCGGATGGCTGAAGGGGAGGCTTTCGAGCGTGCGGCTGTACTCTAGCTTGGGTATGTAGAGACTCATGTCGTGTCGCCTGTCCGAATCGCCTCCGGATGCGTCTTGCACTAGAACTGTCCGCGAGCTGCGTATCTCGTGAGTGCGGTCGCCTGTTGTGTTGGACATGCCTGGATCTACCTCGCCTGGCCTCAGAGCTAGGCCGGCGAATGTTGTAGGTCGGAAGTCGTCGGTGCGAGGCTCAATGCCAACGATCTGGTAGAGCTGCATGTGCACAGCGAGCGGTACGACGAGGGGGGGATTGAACTTCGCGACAAAGCGTACGTTGGGGAGTCTTCCAGCTGCGGAGTCTAGGTTCATAGCATCGTCGGTTTGCTCAGGGGCTTCGAGGTAGGTCGGCTTGGGGTCAAGCCAGTCTATTGAGGATGTGTTCATCAGCATATTGTCTAGGGAGACATTTGCGTCTGCGTCGGCTGACTTCTCCACAGCGTCGCTGATCCAGTCGTCGGAGATACGTATGGGAGTGTAGAGGGTGGAGGGCGAAGATTCGCATTCGATGGTCAGTGAGTACATCTTGTTGCGACTCCAGCGATGGTCTTCCGGGTACGAGGCAGACTCAGTCGGCGGGTCTATATGCGCCCGTCCATCCATCCAGTATTCCAAACTCAGACCGAGACACGATCCGCCATTGAGCCTGGGTCGTCCGCTCTTCTTGCACAGCACTTCGCGCTCGGCCCTGTATGTCCTAAACCGCTCGTCCGGCTTCCTGTTTGCGAGCTCCGTCTTCTTTTCATGTTCGAATAGTTTCCGGAGGCTCGTGTAGACTCCCGCAATCGCATTGTAGCAACTAACTCCGCCGTTCTGCGGGGAGCCCAGCTTGTCGAGCGTCAGCAGCTTCTCCAAGCTCTCTGAGAAGCGCTCGAGCGTGACGTTCAGCTTGCTCTGGCCGGGAAGAGGTTTCAGGCTTCGCACAAGAATCTCAGAGCCTGTCGCGCCGAAGTTGAGGTCGGATCTCGATTCGTCCAGGCCAGTCTGGAGATTGACACTAACAATCTCGTCGTTCTTGAAGGTGACGTCGCACAGCGCCTCGTCTCCGATCAAGAGACTCCAGGTGCCTGCTTCGTCCATGTGCTTCTCGCACGGGATGCCCATCTTCTTGCACAGCGCAAGCAGTCCCTGCTCGCTGACGCGTCCGGGCTTCTTGCCGATGATGTCTATAATTTCGCGCAGTCTGCGGCTTCGCTCTGCTTCGTCGGCGCGTCCCATGGCACTTGCGCTCATGCCCAAACTGGACATGCCCAGCCCGCTCATGGTGATACCCATGCCCACACCTCCCATGCCCGAGCTCGCGACGTCGTTGAGCATATTAAGCACCGCGGGCGAGTCGTACGACATCATGTTGATATTGCCGGAGGGAGGGACGCTGCGTGGGGCGGGCGAGGAGAAGGCATTGAGGTGTCGCGAGGGCGTTTCTTTGTCTTTGGGCGTTGGTGTGGCCATGATGGGCGTTGGTGAGTGCGCAAGGCACTGCGTATGTTAATTATGCAGTTGAGTGAGCCGTGGATGTTGCGGTATCATGTTGCGTGTATCTTCATGTGAAGCGAGGAGGAAAGGTCCGTCGCGCGCAAGGTACGCCCACGGTTCGCTGGGCCTTGGCGTCCCAAGCAAGGCAGCACGTCCACGCATAACTTTAGGAACGCACGCTGCCAAAGTACTGAATATGTTTCCATGTCTAAAGTACGAGTACATGCGTGGGGTATCATAACGCGACGCCTGGCCTAAGCCCAATAACCTGAACGCCAGCTCCATCTCCGGTGTGCAACTCAGTCCAACTCAACTACATCGTCCTCAACAATCTCACTAATCTTTCCCTTCGCCCTACTCCCTGCGGCCCTCCCCGTCTTCTTCTTGGGTGCAGCCTTCTTGGTCCTAGCTTCTTGTAGCAACAGCTCGTTGAAAATGTCCTCGACCCCTTCCTCATTATTGTACTCAATGGCACGTACCCGTTTCTTGGGCCGTGGCTGCTGCACTTCTTGTTGGCTGCGCTCCTTCGCTTCGACTTCCCAGCGCTTCCTTATCTCGTCTTCGGTCTTGTTCTCCATGGTGTGAAAGGAGGCGTGGTGGCCGCAGCCGTCGCATTCGTATGAGGATGACGACTGGAACCATGATTATTTGAGTAGATTGGAGGTGTGGGACAGTAAGGCTTACCTTTAGCGGATGCAACATGAAGCGCAAACACGGACACTTCGCTGCGAGGAGGGACGGCTTGTGGTTGCATTGGCCGCGGGGAGGGACATAGTTCATCTGCGTCCAGACATTGGATACGTTGCCGGCCATGTTGACCACACGATTGTAGGTGGAGTAGGATTGGGCGTAAATGACCCGGGTTGATTAAAGCGCGAGGTCGTCCATCGCATAGTGTTCACTAAGTGCACAGAAAGGTCGGGCTGCGCGCAAACGCCAAATTGACTCGAATTCACGTGCTTCGACTAGCGGTAACCGCTTTGGGAGAACCCCGCTCCGCAAACCGTCTGGCAACGTCATAGCTGCTCAACTGTGGCTTGCACATATACACAGTGTATTGTTCTCGAATAGATATGGAAGCAAGGCACATAATTTCTCAGTAACCACTGGTCTCACGCCACAGCCGTGCGGCACAGTCGGCATGGTCGGCTTAAGCAAACACACTGTGATTGTCAATCGGTCCGCATTGGTGTGAGACTGTTTGATTTGGAATTGCCCCTCGTCCAAGTAAAGTGTCAAAACCCGACCAGGACGTATGTCTAGACCCAATACTGCCAATGACAGCAAACAGCCCCTCAACCGCAAGCAGCATAAGCGGACGGCTTCCCTCTACCCGTCATGCGTCGGCGGCAGACCCTCGCGGTTGAACCGAATCAGGCCTCGGCGCTAGGCCAGTGGTGGGGAACTTGGATGCGTAGGGCGCTTCTTGTCCAAGTTGACGATCGATACAGCGGGGTAGGGACTCGAGTATAAAGCCCGAGGTGAAGGCAGTCCAACACGACAATAGATCTTTCAACCTTCACAACCTTCACAACTCCACCAACCAACTTATTACTCCACCAACAATTCAAGATGCCTGCCGGAGGATGCTTTTGCGGTAACGTCCGTTACGAGGTGCAGGGCGAGAGCGGAGGCAACGTACGTGATATCCTGATAAGCTCCCTGCCGTGGCTAATAGGATACGCAGATCCTCTGCCACTGCCTTGACTGCCGTAAGATCACCGGATCCGCCTACTCAACCAACGCCGTCTACTCGGACGAGGGCTTCAAGGTCACCAAGGGTACGCCAAAAGCACACACGGTCAAGGGCGACAGTGGAAACGACGTCACTTCCATGTTCTGGTATGTATTCGCTACGGTATAGCGGTGTTCTGTTCTGACCTCGTGCAGCGGCGACTGTGGCTCGACCATGTGGCGCCAGGGCGATACCTTTGCCGGCAAGCGCATCATCAAGGTCGGAACCCTTGACGACACCAGCATCCTCGACAACATGAAGATGAACGCCGAGTTGTATGTGGACCACAGGCCGAAGTGGGTGGGCTCCCAGGAGAGCGCGGCGCAGAAGTCGGGCATGTAAGGATTAAGCGGTCGAGCGGTCGAGAGCGGAGAAGATAGGCGGGGATAAGGTTTATTGACGATTTGAGCCATCCAGCCAGACGCCTATTCAGAGTCCGAACTCTCTGGTTCCTTCAAGCGTTCTCTCATCATCTGTGACTGTCAGTAGTGACCATACTAGATGAATATGATACCTACCTGGTTCAGACGGGCCTTGAGCTCATTGATCCTCGTTTCCTTGACCAGAATGTGCTCCTCGTCGAGCTCCTCGATGATGTATTCGTTGTTGTTCTTGCTGTCAATGTCCACCAGCATGGCTTTGATGGAAGCGTCGCACTTGACGAGTGTGCCTGGGAAATCAGTATCGCGAAAACTCGTGGGAGAGGTGTGACATACCTCTGATAGCTTTGACCATGTTGGAGTGTGGATGCGATGTTGCGGGGTGCAGGTGGGCTAAGTAGAAGACTGGACAACAGGGTGCGAGCGCGCAACTGACGCGATTGCTTGGCGCCATCATGTGGCACGTCAAGTTCCGGTGCCTCCGCTACATCACTTCAACACTCCCACCGTATGCAATGATAAAACCGAACACCGTGGAGCCTACCATGACGCTGGTTTATCAACTTTGCATATCTTCATCACCATGTAGACTGCAGACCTGTTCAGTTTCTTCCTTGTACGAGATGCCACAGAAAGATGATTCCATTGCGCCTACTTCACCAGCTACTTGAAGAAGTAGCAAACGCTGCGGGTAATGCAGGCGATACAACTGCGAACAGCCCATTCTCCACCATCTCCTCGCGCATGCCCTACCACTACCTTCGCCCCGCGTACGAGTCTTTCACTGGGGCAGCCTTACGAATGCTTCACCATCTTCACTCAATACCCACACTACGCTCACTGTAGTTCAACCAACAGCAATGGTGTACCTCAGTCTGCTCGCAGAAACGCCCTCAGCGAGTGAACCAAGCATCTTCCCCCGCGACGACGACGACTTGTACCCAAAAGAACGCCAGGACGTCGGTTTCTTCAACTACTACTTCCTCCTACTTGGTGTCCTCGTGGTACTCATCGCTGTCGCAATATGGCTCATACACCGCCGCAAAGTCCGCCATCGGGCGCTCTGGCGTCAGAACGGGCAACAAGCATTGGCGAGAGACGTGGAAGCCTGGCCTGGTACACGGAGGCTACACGGACGATGCAGGGCCACCAACTCTGTTCTCCTTCGCCCACCTGAGGGACTGAACGAGCATGGAGAAGCGCCGCCGCCCTATCAGCCCAAGTCGGAGGCAACATCTACAATTCTCCCGATACCGCTTCGAATCCTACCAGCATACGAGAGCGGCCGACCACTACCGCCGCAATACAAAGCGCTACCCTGAACGTCCTCAAGAACTTCTTATTTGACTGATCGAAATGACGAACGACATTGTGTGCTCCAGGCTCAAGTTTTGTTTCCGTCTGGTTGCAGACAGGCCTCGTAGTAGTCGGCAACCGAAGCTATATCCCACCATGCAAGAGGCTGTCGAACCTTTGTAAAAGCCTGCAGCGAAGCTATGAGGACAGGGTTTGGGTACAACTGCGGTGGATAGTGGAGGAAATACTTCAATAAGAAGGAGGAGGCTACACTAGCGTCCATTATGTTACCCAGAGCCTTTGTCAGTCATTACGAATACTACCATCAATACCACACTCACGTTTCTTTTTCTTCCCTCTCCATGCTTCGCAGATATTTGTCACTTCCGAGTCATCAACTACAACGACCAAACCCGGCGTATGCATGCGTAGAGGTAGCGTTGGAGATCCTTCGATCAGCTGCATGATGCAAGCCACATCCACGCAAGTGGGGCATCGCATCGCCAACGACCCTTGCTGCTTGCACTCCCCCGCTAATACCCCCAGCTCATCTCATCCACGCGAATATTGTTGTCTTTGTCAACATGCCGAAAATGAGAAGATGGAAATGCCATGTCCATGCCGATGCAAGTAGCTTGGTTGCCGCTGCATGCTCGCGTACGCGATACCTTGCCAGAGCATAATGCCGATACTTGACAAACCAAGATGCCGCACCACGGCCAGCAAAACATGTGCTCAAATCGCATGAACTTCCACTCCCAGCATCTGCATCTGCAAACTTCGTCCGAGCCAACTCTCATAGCCCCGAACAACTACAGAACTATAGGACGCAGACGTCACAGCAGTGTTATTCAGCGACATGTCAGCTTACATTGCTAGCCCGTGTTCGTGGCTTGCATGCATCGTGCCTTTCCACATCCGGCAACGCGTGCAGCGATGGTATGACGCCATGCAGGATGGAAGGGTTGGTAATGGAATACAGTAGATGATGCGATTTTACACAAATACAGTTGTGCCTGACTAGCCGCTAAAAGGGAAATGTGTGGAACATGATGTGCCAATGAGAGGAGACGTATTTCAATGTGGAATGGTAGGGTAGCGTTTGGTGGCTTCATGCAGGTTGACCTACTTCGTGCATCCTGCGATATCCGAGCTCGGGGCCGAGTTCAACCACAACAACGCCGTGGAATACGTTTGCTAAGCAAAGAGTGAAAGCTAACATGGCGGTATTACACTCACACGTTACTGGATATGTATTTGAGTTTCATGCTAAACATAGCAGAAAGTTCTGGCGTTGATACACATCCGTTCGTCCATGCATCAACGCATGCTGAAAGGACCTGCGACTACTGCATCGGCCGCCGGTCCTCTCGCGTAGACAAGCCGCTTCTTCCAAGATGTCAAACACGCTACTTAACCACACAATTGATACCAAAGCCACTACTGATTTCCGATCTCTAGACCAGTTGGCGTGCAAGCCATCTAGAACCTGCATACATGCATGCAAGCCATCTTGCCCTTTCCTTTTCCTCTCTCTTCTCGGTATCAAGGAGGAGTAAGGTATGTGTAATCAACTCGAATCGTTCTCACCGAACGGGAGGCGAGGAAAAAGGAGGAAAGGCAAAGGCAAAGTGTGTTGCTTGGTCAGCTGTGGGTGTCTAGGAAGGGAGTAAGAGAGGGAGTGGCGGTATGCTATGGTTACATGCTGATTACGTGGAAACGGTCAGTGATGGTGACTTGGGATGAATTGCTTTGGTTGGCCTGGAGGGAGGTATCAGAGTGTTGGTGTGGTATAGTAGGAGATGATATAAGAAGAAGGAGGAGTGTTGAGGGGAGGTGTCACTCTCCAGTTCGAGATATATCATCGCAACAACATTGTAGATTGCCTATTCCCTACTGAGATCTCCTACACCAGTATACATATCGTTACTCAGTTTCTCACTACCTCACTGCACAGTCATGTCGACCTCCGGCGGCCTTTTCATCAGTAAGTCACACCATCACTTCTGCTTCTCGGTCTCTATCTCACGTCCACGCATACAAATAACCACCTACTAACCAAACGCCAGTCTGCTGCACCGAATCCACCACCTCCGCGCTCCTCCACCCGTCCCATCACTTCAACACCACAAGCGCCACCATGCTCACCACAAACGGTGGCCGTGTGACGCAAGACGCCATAAACAGCATCTACTGGGCCGACCAAACCACGCCGTTGGGGTTGGTCATCGTGATGGGCCATGCTGGTACGTTCACCTCTTCCACTCCACTCCACTCCACTCCATCCCATCCCCATCCTCGTCCCTCAAAAGAGCAAGAGTACATACCTAGATGGCCTATATGATGGAAGTCAAACTCCACCCCTCAATCTAAGACTCCCACCTAGGTTGCACACACCTCACAACCACTCCCGAAACCACCATCCGCACCGACATCAGCGCCCTAAAAGGCAGTCCCTACGTCCGAAAAGACATTCAGATTGTGGGATACGTGGTAGATCTGTACTCGCGAACTCCAGGTACCCCGGCCACAGATGCGAGGCTGAGGGAGGTTAGGTACGTAGTCATCCCTCCATCTTTAGTATAGAATAGGCTAGCTGACAGGAGACGAGTGTACCGAACAGGGGCGCTTCGACTTCAACATCGGCATCGGCGTCAGGACAGCAACGCACGTCGAACCAGGGAGAAAGTATGGGTCCGTTTTGGAGTTGAGTTGAATTGAGCTGAATAGGAAATTAGACGGGAATACATTGAGCTATCTAATTTATTTGACGTTGATGATGAGAGAAGAAATGTGTCGTGACAGTATATAAAACCATGATTCATTACAAGTCAATATGAGCGGGCCAACAAATACACACATCTACATGTCAAAGTACTTCCACCACCATCGTATTTAAGCCCGCCTTACTGCCATCCAATCTAGCACAAAACCCACCCCCCAAACCAAGACCAAAACCCGGGTATCCAAGAAAGAAAAAATCACAAAAGCACTCCATCATCCATACCATTAATTCAACATACATTCTCAAGGCAAATCCCCATACGTCTTGCCCCTCCGCCAAAACCTCTTACTCTTCTTCTCTTCCTCCTTCTTCCCCTGCTGCATAGGCGGCATCTCAGGCGGCCCAGAATTCTTTAAGAAGTCGGCAAGATCACTCGTCGCAGTCCTCGACCCACCACCACCGCCAGCGCCAGCGCGTACATTATCAGCGACAGCAGGAGCGCGAGCTTGCAATCTGGGTTTGTTGTTCGAACCGGAGTAGGAGTTGGAGGAGGATACGGAACCAAAGGGGGGAGCGCTGCCGTTGCCGTTGCCGTTGCCGTTGCCGTTTCCGTTTCCGTAGTTGTTGCGAGGAGTGGATGTGGCGGATGACAGGGAGGGGTTGGAGGACGCGGCTGCGCGTGCGCGGGCAGCGGCGATTGTTTCTTCGCTGAGCATAAAGGGTTGGGGTTTACTGGTAGACGGGGGATCCATCCCGTTTAGGAAATCCATCAGGCTCTCTTGACGGGGCGCTTGCTGTCGCGATGGAGGAGCCTGTTGTCTTTGCGCCTGGGGTGGGTGTTGATTTGTAGGCGTAGGGAGCGCAGTGAGTTGGTCCTCGTCCTCGTCCTCATCGTCTTCGTCTTCGTCAGACAGATCGATGGCGTAGGGGTCCTTGATGCGGCGACGCGTTCGCGTGATGTGCGGCTCATCGGGCCCGGACATGCTGCCGCTGAGTTGCTGAGGTTGGTTGGAGTAGGCGGGCTGCACGACACTGGGCGAGGGGATCAGGCCAGTGCGCGAATTGATGGTCTGCGTGCTGTCCTTGGATTCTAGTGTTGAAGAAGCGGAGCCGTATGCTGACTCGACATTGCCGTGTCCGCCGAGCATCGTCTCGAACTGGTCCGAATCGACGGTCGTCCGGAAGGGCGCAACGTTTCGCGGTATCCTTGGCTGGCCGTGGTTTGCGTCTGGCGGTCCTTGACGGATGAAGTCGATCAAATCGCCATTGCCGGTGCTTAGACCTGCTGGACTGCGTGGCTCCATGTTCGGGCGAGCTCGCGTAGCTGATCCGTTGGCGCTGCCAGACTGTTTCGACATGGACATCTTACGTCCGAGAGACGACGTCGACTGGTTGCCCGACTTCTGGCCGTTCCCACTGATGTTGACAAAGGGCTGCACGGGCTTCTCTTGTCCGGGAGAAGGACCAGTGGAACGAATAAAGTCAGCAAAGTCACGCATGGACTCAGACTCGATCTTTGGATCTCTTGCAAGCGGCCTGGTGACAACCTTCCGACTGGGGGAAGGCTTGTGATTGGCAGCGGTAGGTCCCTTGGCCCTCGGTGCTGTGGTGTTGGGCAGGTTCGCAGTCCCAAACGACTTGTCTTCGGCATTGACGCGGGGATACACAGTCACGGACGATGCAGAGGGCCTTCGTAGTTCCGCCTTCTTGACGACGGGTGACTCCTTCTATCGATCATTAGCACATGTGATCCAAGGAAGCAAGCACGACTTACATCAGCAGTTCGCACGCTCTCGGGGGTTAATGTAAACTTTACCGTTTCCTGTCCTTTGACCAAAGAGTCGAATTCGCGGGCGCGGTCTTCTTCAGACATGCGACCGCTCAATCCACGGGAGCGGTGGCTGCCAATGGACTCTCGTCCGCTTGATACGACGGGATAAGCGCCCTGCTTCCGAAGAGAAGAAGAGGTCGATGTACCGCGCTTTAACGAAGAGTTGTCCGAAGAGGATTTGTCGGCTGCCACGTGCGGAGAGCGTGTCGAATCGTCGGTAGACAGGCGGTTTGGTCGTCGCTCGGATGTATCAGTCGCAGAAGTAGGACTACGCCTGGGACTATCCGAGGTACGCACGCTACGGCTTGTGTGAATCGACGGCGTCTTCTTTTTGTGTTGTGGAGTGTTGCTTTCGACTTCCTGCAACGCAGGTAGTGACGAACCACGCGATGCCGAGCGAGCTAGATCCTGTCTTCTGGGTGCGCTGGTGGGACCTTCGTATGCGGCGGGGCCTGGGACCAACTCGGCGCCAGTAAAAGACCTTCTGTTGACTTCTTTGCGTGCTACGGAACGGTCTGCCGCGTTGGGCTTGCTGTCAGGCGAGGGAGTGTTGCTGTACGTGAGCGACGTAGGCGTAAAGTCTCGGGGTGGCACTTCAACGTAGCCTCCACTTCCCGGCCTCCTCCGCTCATGGGGCGAATCTGCTGGAGAGTTTGAGGCTGATCGTATAACGCTGTCCGATGTTCGCGCGACGCCAATGGCACGATGCTGCTCTGGCTCGTCGTCTGATGGCTCGTCGTCGAGATAGGAACGCCCTTCGGAATGGATAGGGGCTTTCGGTGTTGCCAAGGGTGTTCCTACAGGTGATTTGAGGCTTGAGCTGCGGGTTGAGAATGTGCGGACCAGTCCTGGAGGGCCAGGTCGTTCAATTGACATCCTCTTGGATCGCATGACCTGGGGCGGGCTTTCAGCGATGGTCTCATGCGTCTCCTCAGCCTCCCTAACCTCCTTAACCTTCTCAGCCTGATGCTCTGGTTCCTGCGACGGTCCAACCGCGCTCCTCCGAAAGCCCATGCCAGTGGCCGCTGCAAATGCCACCATGGAGGCATCGTCCTCGGACGACTCGTCCTGTTGGTCCTCAGTGTCTTGCTTCGCATTTTCCTCTGTTTCTGGTAAGGGGGTATCTTCGTCAGCAGAGTGCGCGGGCATAGTGAATTGTGGTGCCTGACGCAGCGGCATTGATATGGGACGGGGCCTGTTGCTTTTGATGGAGGACTCCACCAGAGAAGACAGCAAAAGGACACTGGACGGCCGCTGGGGACGCTGAACGGGCGTCTCCATGCCTGAGCCCTCAGCCTCGTCTTCATATGTGGACGCCAGACCAGGCACCTCGATCTCGTTGACGTCGTTGTCGCCCATCGGGAGGGGTATGTTGGCGGCGATGTCGGTTTCGGTAGGGGGGTGTTCGGGCAGGGGCTCATGCTCGTCGTGTACGGTGTTGATGGTCTCGCGACTGGCTTTGCGGTGGTGTAGGCTCGAGTAGCTTGGGGCAGTGTGGACACCTCGAGGGGACATGGGCGTTATGGGCGATCGCACGCGCTTCCTCCACGTCCTCCAGAGCCTGCCCAGCGCCGAGTTGAGGGCAATCTTCTCCACGTCGGGCTCTTCGATGATCAGACGCTCAATGAGCTGTTGCTCGGGGTCGTCGTTCTGCTGGGCCAGCTTCTTCATCCTCGCTGCCATGCGCGAAAAGGCCGCCGAGCCAGCGACCAGCAGCAATTGCTCGGCCACGTACTCGATGACCGAGGTGAGGAAGATGGCAGAGGCCCAGGCAACGAGCCCAGCCTCGTCGTCCTCGTCTTCGTCCATGCTGAGGCCACGCTCCTGCTGGACATATCTCTCCTCGTCTTCATCCTCGAGCTCGCCCAGGCGCGTATAGACCATGATGCGCAGGCGGGTGCGCTTCCACACCTTCTCCACGTCCCACCTCTCAGCAGCCCGTGCATGCGCTGTGGAGAGCTCCTCGTCGTCCTCTCCTGCCAACAGACCCTGCAGCTCCTCGTCGGCTGCTTCAATGGCATCGCGGGCCAGTCGCGGCTTGAGTACGTCGGATACGGCGGGGCGGATGGCAGTCAGGGATGGCGATCGCGCCGACGAGAGGAATGCGAAGAGCAGGTGGTCGAGGAAGGCATTGAGCAGGGCCAATGCCTGTTCGGAAAAGATGGCATTTTGCAGCTCATCTGTGTCGGCATCCTGGTCGCGCAGCTGAGCATTGTGGTGGTCGGTAACCGTCTGTGAGGCGACAGATGCAGCAATGTAGGCTGGCGCAGGCCGCACCGTCGTGGGCATCTGGAAGGTGACGGAGCTGGCCAGAGAGGGCGTCTTGTCGCTGCTGAAGCTGTGGCTCCGGCTGGAGCGCGACGAAGCCATTCCAGCCATGCCAGTCGTCTCGGACAGGGCGTGTCGATGCATGGCGCAGGAGACGTCTACCGCATGCACGTCGGGAATTCGGGAATTCGGGAATATCGATACCAGAATAAGATCAGGCCCTGGACGGGTAATATGGGCTTGCGCACGAAGAAAAGTACAGCGCTCCACGCTACCTAAAGGTTACGGTATTATTATCATGAATTCGACCCTGAAGCAACAAGAAGAACGGGCAAAAGCACGGGCAAACGGCTGGTGGGAGATTGGGCGAGCAAGAGTATCAGACCAGAATCGGGGGTTGTCACGGCTTGTGAGAGACATCCCAGCGGCGATCCTGGACGGTAGTCTCCTGCAATGTGCCCTGGCCTAGCTGCTTTCGCCGGGGTGGAGACTCAAACGCCTACTTGCTGCCCGCCTAGTATGTAAGTCGCTCTATGGCTTCTCGCCCTCCACAGCCAGACAGGCTTTGTGCTACGCCGGCGTAAAGCCGCTATACATGTCTACCAGCGAACGGCCTGTCAAGGTGGAGTCGTCGCACCATTGGACCAGGACCACGTCTTGGTTCCGTGCAAAATGCTCGCCGTACCTGCAGCTTTTCTTTTTGCTTAACAGCCACCCTGCATCCCGACGGATATTATCGTGCTGCGAAACGCCTTCGCCGTGTTTTCGGCGCGAGACCGTCACACAAGACACCACTGCGACAGACGACTGTATTGGCTCTACATGGTCACGCGTCCCGGCGGCGTGGTTCGCGACGAGTCAGCGCATCCTTTCGCTAATCTCAGGGGCTCGCGCTGAACAACCACGGTTCTCGACAATGTACGGCATACTGCAGTTTGTATAGGGCAAGCTAGCATATAATGTGGCGCCGTTCCTCTGATGCAGATCGCGAGGAAATACTCACAATTTGCATAGGTACCCTTTGGGGCAGCCGCGGCTAGCATCTCTACCACACTCTGCGTCAGCGGCGGATTTTAGAGCTATCGCAAGATCGTGCTGCGACTTTGTTTACGAGCAACGCACATTGAAATAATTGACGGAATCGCATCACATTCCAGAATACAGATGCGACTCCTTCATTAATAGTAAGTAGTAAGTAGGGGGCAAGTGATGCGAACTCCGTCTAGCATATGGGCTCTGCTGGTTATGTTTACTGCTAATTACACAGTCAAGCCTCCTAGTCATACTCGATGTATTCCTCAAGCGACGCTTCCGTGAGTCCGTCTTCGTAGTCTATCCACCCTGCATCGAGAAATGCTCTGTTCGAAGCGCGTTCATCGTCGGAAAGAGTCGGTACTCGGAGTTCGCAGTGACGTGCATGTTCTTGGAGAATGTAGTCGGTACTGGGCCATGCCAGGCCGTGGTTTGCAATCTGTCTGTCGCGCTGCGTAATGGCGTGTATCTCCGCAGGACTCTCTAAAGGCCATTCTTTGTGACTGAATGGATCATTGCTGCCAGGCTCGGACGACTTCAAGACCATGCTTTGTCCCATTAGATGTCGCGCATTAATAGGGACATCGCGATAGTCTCAAAGGTTGCTGTTCGCCATGCCTCTATCAAGTCGTTTCGTCAGCCAGTCCTTGAGTGAACGTCGTGCGGTACTCGCCGTCGAAACTGCACCGCTATATCAGTGTTGGTAGCGGGAGAACGCGTAGGTCCACGGGAATCAAGTTGTCGAGAGAGCGGGGAGTAAGAATGATATAGCCAGAAGCATTTCGTGCGCGCAGTGGAAGGGTAGAGCTTGGGCCGGACTGTCTTCCGTTGACGCACTCTTCTCCAGCAACTACTAGACTCCTGTCAGTATGTTCAGCTGAACGCACTGCACTTGTATCATGTCCATAGCCTCTTGCTCTATCTCAGCCTTCTGAGCCGCATGAGCTACTCCTAGACCCTCCACATGCCTTTAGATCCAGATAAGCGCCGTAATCACTGTGTAGCTATGCGAATACTCCGTGAACAAACCGAAAGGTCACATAGTCTCTAAACACAAGCTATATGCAAAAAACCCGCAGAGCAGGAGCGTCGTGGTTGCTGTTACCTCATCGCAGTCGCTCATTGGCCACGGCTGCAGCCCAAGCTTCCTCCCCTCATCATGCCCCAACTTCACGACGTGACCACACCACACGATTGAATCTTCTTTTCTCGAGTGCTTGCTCCCTGCTCTTTCAATTTCGTCGCGTTCCAGGGACGTCTCGTGCTTCCACCCTTCGCGGTCCGTCAGGTAATGGCGATGAGATGCCGGCGACACCAGCCAAGGTCTCCTGCACCAGCGTGAGACGGTAAGGACCTGTGTTTGAAAGAACGCAGCTCGAACTGCAGTGGATACCGTTTACTTGTACTGTCTTGAGCGAACTCCGAATTCTGCTGCCCCTTGCTCATGAAGACGCTGAGGAAACCGAAGCGGAAGGAACGACATCGCGTTTCTCGTCTGCCGCTGCCAGAAGGAGCGGAGTATAAACATCTCCATTTCACTGCCCAGTTTGGAAGAAACCACTCAGGTAAGCAACAGGTAGTGGCAGCACGTGGCCCCACGATGTACTCCAGTCTCTCCTTCTCTTAATCCGCCCTCTCCTTCATCCTCTGGCGCAGCATCACCTCGATGTGAGCGAATGGCCGCCACGTTGTCCCACTCGCAAGGCGATACCTACAGTCGGAGCAAACCTCGCTGCTGTTAATCGATCCCATGTCCTCAGCATAAGTACATGCCAAGGCGTGTCCGTCGACGAACCGAGACCGGCAACATGGCTCACCTACAAACCTATTGCGGCCCCAATGGCAACAGGGCCGGTGATAGACGTGTTCGATATAACACATGTACCGCCGTGTGAAGGGCAAGTCTTATCTGAGCGACCAATTCGGAGCCCTGGAGGTGCCGACGTGAGTGATTGGACGAACACTGACCTTTCGCAGACAAGAACATATTGCCAGTGTGCAAACACGCAAACACTACGTGAGGCTCATCCATTGTGCAGAGACAGAGACAATAACGCGGAACCGTCTGCTCGCAATCCCCTGTTCCATCCCGACGTTTGGTGTCGCAACTGCTACTTCGTCAATGCGTCATTGGCATTCACCATGATTGGCCAATGTCGATACAGTGGACCATGAATCGCCGACAGTCACTTCTCCAGCTTGTTCGGAAGCTTAGAGACAGTGATCAGGAGAAGCTAATTGCGCCATTGACTGAGAGCGGGTGGAGTCGTACTAACGCAAGATCGGTGCGCATAACCTATAGCATCATCGACCCCATCCGTCAGCGACGCCAACATCTACCCCGGATTTTCCAACACCATGCTACTGGCGCCATTTCCGGAGGCCTAGCTTCTCGGAGGTCGGCCATGGCCAAATCTTCCCCCGTATCGTTCCGAGCGCTTCGTCCAGCGTAGCCTGTGCTGCTGCAGGTACACCCGTTTCTGCCACCCCACCACACCCATATTGCGATGCAGGTCATCAGTCGTCCCGGACCGCGCCAGAGGGTTCGTGCCACACTTTGCTTCTGTGCGCAGCGACGCAGCCCAGAAGCCGACGCCATGTGGCATAGGCCCCGTTCGCCGATAGCTGCGTTAGAGGGAACAGATCGACGTTGGGGACGTCTGATGGTTGGCTCCATGCCTCCCAGCGCAGCTAGACGTCGTCTCGCGGACGACTTGCAATGTCTGGTGGTGTTGCGTCTCCGGTTGGTATAGGCCGCACGTGTGAGCACTGTCCATGTTCAGCACCACCACTCGACTGGCCGACTGGCTGCCTGGCGTGAACCATGCAGATGAGGCTCCCTGGATCAGCGCAAGCTATCATCTGGGGAAATACAAGCATTCTCGACCACGCTCCAGCACACGAGCGGGCCTCCAGCCTTGCCTAAAGCGGAGATGACACCGCCACATGCACGGTTCCTGATCTTCACGTCAAATGTCAGGCTGTCTGTGAACTGTGATGTGAAGTTTGCGCAGATAGTGCTACCTGTGAGATATTGACATCGTGAAAAGCTGTTGTTGTGTCGCTGATGGGCAAGTATGTCATCCAGGGCGCAACGGCCGGCGGCGTTACTCGATAGACTAACGTAACATGGAAATTCGCCCATGTCCCTTATCTCTGGTGCCAGGGGGCATGCAGTGCTAGCGGATCGACGGCTCGCCCGCAACCCCGCTAAGCCCAACGTCGACGCACGATAATGTTGAGCCGACGTCGCTGTGCGGCTTTTTTACCTTTGTCGGGATGTCTCGAACGCGCTGGATTAATCACAATCGTGGGGTTGGAGAGGGATTATCATTTGGATGACGGCAATTCGTGCAACTTGAATGTGCCGCGTGCGCGCGCTGTGTCGCCGGCGGGCCAGGAAACCTGTGGGGTTGAGATGGGAATCTTCCAGCTGTACCGTCGAAGTCGAGACGACACCAACGACAGAGACTTCCAACGCTCTTCTAGAATAATGCACGTCCTCTGGTCCCAGGCAACAAGCCGGGCAGACCGGTCGGAAGGCTATTAAAGCCTCGGATGCTGACTACAAGAAACGACGTTGAGCGGTTTGCGTGATGCTGCCATGACGAGGCAAGACTAACTGCAACTGCAGCCATTGGCCCGAATCGGTCTTATCGCCCCCCGATGTCAACCCCGGGCAACGGCGCGCCCTGCCCAGCGCGACGGTTATGCACTACAGCGAGCTGGGCATGCAGGTGTCGCGAGACGTGGACGCGCAGGGTCTGGGTATTCAGGGTTACGCAGCTCGTGTTGGGCACAAGTTGACGATGCATACGAACGGCCATGGCAAAGCAATAGTCGAGTGGAGCGGTGTGTCGTAACTGTCGTTGGTACAGGCCAAAGCCGAAGGGCATGACCAATTCGGCAGTACCTGGATAAAATTAGCTGCCCTTACAGCGACGCTACCCAGCGTCAAATCGCTCAAACTCGGAAGCTGGTGAGGCTGTGCGTCTGTGCGTTCGCCCGTCAGCCAACATCACGATGCGCAACAAAGACCGCGTGGGCCTATGGTAAGCCTTGGAAACCGGCGACGCGAGATTGGGCACAATATCACCAGACAGATGGTACAACCGTGGCTAGCGGAAGCCTAGAGATTGCAGAGTGGGCAAGGCATGCTGGGATGCGGCGTAAAGTTGCGCGTTTAGAGACATTGATTGCTTCTTCATCCCACGGAAACAGTTCGGCGACGCCTCTTGGCTACGGCCAGCCTAAGTAGTATCTGAGCACGGCTAGCCCCGCCACAGGCCGAGACAGTCAAAGCAATCCAGCATTCTTACCTTATAACAGACCCCCCAGGCCCGCTATCCTTATCTACTTGCCCATCATAACTCCCCACTTCACACAGAGACCCCTCTTATAACCCCTCCACTGCCTTGTCTCGTCGACAGTCAAGAGTTACTTGTTATTCCCTCACCACCACACATACACAACCACAGTCATGGTACGTGTCGCCGACTGCTCCTACACGCGATTCTTGCTGACCCATATCCTAGGCGAACTCAACGATTGTTTCCAATGCGGCCAACGTAAGTCTCACTGCTCGCGTGCTGCCATCAAATATCTGCTAACGCGCATTGCAGCTCAAGAAGTACCTCGACCTCCCCCAGAAGGGCGCCGTCATGGCCGAGTACGTCTGGATAGACGGTTCCAACGGAATCCGCTCCAAGTCAAAGGTGAGCATTTTCCAGCTTTCCGATCCCTCAACCCGATCTCTACGATCTCTGCGATATACCGCGGCATTCACACCACGCTACGGCTGCGGATCGGTCTAGTCTGCGGTTCGAGGTTTCTAGCCGAGAGCAGCAACTGGCTGCGACGCGCCTTGCGATACACAATCTGGAGAAGCCATTCGACGACTGGAGTCGCGAGCGTGGTGGTCTGCATGTGTGACGCACATGGCGCCAATCGCTCCTTCTGCCGGAAGTTTTGGCGTTCCTCCCTTATCGCACCCCACCACCAGCCACAGCCCGCAGTGACGTCGTTTCCCTCATCCCACCCGACTTCATCCCGATTACCCGAGGCTCATACTGACATGCACGCAGACTCTCAAGAGCAAGGTCGAGAGCCTCAAGGACCTCCCAGAATGGAACTTTGACGGTTCGTCGACGGGCCAGGCGCCCGGCGACAACTCGGACGTCTACCTCCGCCCCGTTGCATACTACCCCGACCCCTTCCGTCTGGGCGACAACGTCCTGGTCATGTGCGAGACGTATATGTCGGATGGCTCGCCCAACGCCTACAACTTCCGCCACGACGCCGCCATCATCTTCGAGAAGCACAAGGAGCACGGCTTCTGGTTCGGTCTGGAGCAGGAGTACACCCTTCTCGACGAGTTTGGCTGGCCTTACGGATGGCCCAAGAACGGCTTCCCCGCCCCTCAAGGCCCCTACTACTGCGGTGTCGGTACCGGCAAGGTCTTCTGCCGTGACATTGTCGAGGCTCACTACAAGGCCTGCATGTACGCCGAGATTGCCATCTCCGGCACCAACGCCGAGGTCATGCCCGCCCAGTGGGAGTACCAAGTCGGTCCCTGCCCCGACATCTCGCTCGGTGACCAGCTCTGGATGTCGCGCTTCCTGCTCCACCGCGTCGCTGAGGAGTTCGGCGCCAAGGTTACCTTTGCGCCCAAGCCCATCCCCGGTGACTGGAACGGTGCCGGTCTGCACACCAACGTCTCCACCAACGAGACTCGTGGCGACAACGGCATGAAGGCCATCGAGGCCGCCATGGAGAAGCTGTCCACCCGCCAAGCCGAGCACATGGCCGTCTACGGCTCAGACAACCAGCTCCGCATGACCGGCAAGCACGAGACTGCTTCCTACGACAAGTTCACCTGGGGCGTCGCCAACCGCGGTTCCTCTGTCCGTATCCCTCGCGCTGTCGCAGCCGAGGGCAAGGGCTACTTCGAGGACCGCCGCCCTGCCTCCAACGGTGACCCATACCAGATCACCGGCATAATCGCTGAGACCATGTACGGCAAGGTCGAGGGCGCCGATGTCGCCAGGTTCGCCAAGAAGGCGGAAACCGTCGAGACCGAGATGGTCATTGACATCCACAAGCCATAAACAAATCTTCCTTTGCTCCTTCTTCATACCCCCTTTCGCGCTTAGACTATTTGTTTGATGATGTGGCCGCCTTCTTTTGATGGCTGGCTCTTGGGCAACAGTGTTTGGTCTTGTTCTCCTCATGCATAACAGCCTTTGAGGTTGCTTGACGACTTGGAATGGAACTGGAACGTAATAGCACGAGCAATGAATTATGTCCAATTGTCTTGACTTCTCATTCTGATGTTTATTTGATTTAGTGTCGCATGCCTCTCACTCTCGATGACTTGCAGCTGCGACTATTGCCGACAACGAACGGCTACGGTTAGCACAGGCTGATATAAGCCGTGCTGCGATTGGTGGAATGTGAACGTATTACTCCCGCAGCATTACCGCCCTGAAGAAGGTCTTTATATGCGTGTCTCGCAGATCAGGATTACTTTTCCGCATCACAGTGACAGATCAACACAATGAGAGCTTGCTGTTGCCCTGCGTCTACCTTTTCCACCTGGATACACCCGGATAAATCCTTAGCCGAGCTAGCAAAGGCGCATTTGTGGCGGTCGGCAAGCGAGCTCTTCGGCATATTCTATGCACCAACTTCAGTCGTTATAAAGATGCGCTACCCCACTAAAAGCATGGTGGAGACTGCCAACAGTTCTATGAAACCCTTCACAGCGCGTCCTGAAGATGTCGAAGTGCGAAGAGAGGGCCCTCGAGCCTGTGGAAGGCGTCACGGATCTGGAACGGGTAGTCACCGCAGCACCCCAGACGGCGGATGATGTCGAGAAACATAATGGACTTGTGGCTATTGACACCTCAGCTTCTGAACGCTTGCCGTTTTCGAAAGCGCGATGTGTAGCGCTTGTTACGACGATTGCTGCGGCGCCGTTTTTGAGTGTGAGTAAGCCCTGCCATGTCGATGGAGTATAGAGAAGACTGATCAAATTGTGATAGACAATGGCCGTCCAAGCCTCAGTCATTATCCTACCCACCATCGGAGAAGAACTGAATATCCCAGTTAGTCGCCAGCAGTGGATTATCTCCGCCTACAACCTCACATTTGGCTGCTTCCTGGTACGTCATTCAGATCTCTCTCTTATATCTATTCTCTCCTAACACGACCATCCAGCTACTATGGGGTCGTCTAGCAGATGTCTACGGCCGACGGATGATCTTCCTCTGGGGCTCCGCGGCCTTTACACTGACATCGATAATAACCCCTTTCATCCCCAATGAGATCGGCTTCGACATCTTCCGTGGCCTCCAGGGTCTCGCTGCCGCCGCCATGGCACCGACCGCTCTCGGCATCCTCGCTTCTACCTTCCCACCCGGAAAGACCAAAGACATCGCCTTTGGATGTTTCGGCGCTGGAGCTCCACTTGGTGGCGTTCTAGGCAACATCTTCGGTGGTGTAGTAGGCGAGTACCTTGACTGGCAGTGGGTTTTCTGGCTCTTTGGTATCATAGCGGGGATCTCTACGGTTGCAAGCTACTTCGTCATCCCAATTCCACCATTGAAGCCCGAGCCTGTCTTGCGCAATACGGTCGATTGGATCGGCGGATCGCTCATAACCATCGGGCTTGTCGTTCTCGTGTTTGCACTTTCCGAAGGTAATGTCGTGGGCTGGAGTACGCCGTGGGTACCAGTACTCATCGTACTCTCGCTGATCATCATCGGCGCATTCGGCTTCTGGCAGCATTACCTCGAGCACAAAACAGAAAGGCGACCATTGATGAAGATGAGTATCTTTAAGAACGGCAATTTCACTGCTGCCAATGTGCTCATGGCGCTGTTCTTCTCGTCGTTCAACAACTACCTCATCTTCGCAACCTACTGGTTCCAGGATTACCAGGGTCTTTCCGTCATTCAGACGACGCTAAGGTTTCTGCCAACCGGTATCACGGGAATCTTGGTCGCGACCATCACCGGGCAGATCCTCTCACGGATCCCAGGCGATTACATACTGACTTTCAGCACTATATGCATGAGCATCTCTTCGCTGCTCTTTGCGATTCCAATTCCTGTTCACACGACCTACTGGGCCTATGGCTTTCCTGCTATGGTACTGTGTGTCTCGGGTGCAGATACCATGTTCCCAGTCCTTACGTTGTTTGTAGCGAAGACGCTGCCCCCGGAAGATGCATCACTTGGTGGTGCGCTCATCACTGCTGTTGGTCAAATTGGTCGCGCGATTGGTCTCGCGATTGCGACAGCGGTACAGACAGCAGTTGTGGCTAGAGAAAAAGGTCTACGTGTGGATGAGATCGGTGGGGAAGGACATAAGACGGAGCCTTGGGATAACGCACTTAAGGTGGGCATCAGAACGACGGCTTGGTTCAACTTTGGCATGAGTGTTGCGTCCACGGCTGTTGTCATCTTCTTCATTAGAGGTATTGGGATTATTGGAGGGAAAGGGAAACGGTAGCGCATTAGTGGACTTATCGAGCAAACCACCTGGTACCAATCGTTCCCCCACTCCTATGCGAACATCGGTCCAAACTTCGGAATGCCACACGCTGATAGTGCTGAATCACGTAACGATGAAAATGAAGTCTTCCGGCCTGAAGCCAGCAAGTAAAGCATCAGCCATCTGCCTGCCCTATAGTCACGTATCCCTTCTAGCAAATAACAACGTAGTCCATCCGGGTCTATACCACAAGCGGCTAGCACAATCACGACATACCACCTCTCGATTTCGTGCACAACCCCAACCCATAAGCCCTTGCAACATGCCACCATTCTATGCAGCGACCCCGAGGACGATCGCCCTGTCAGAATGCAGCAAATCTCGCATTGGAAGCGGGTCGCGATGCGCTCCAATAAGAGCCCACAGTTATGCCTGAGGTTTGCCCGTCCGGCCTAGGTCATGACGCTGCCGCGGCTTGAGCTGATTGACCCACGTTCTTGCATCATTGCGAGCTACGAGGGATGCGACGGTAGTGGGATGATAAGTAGATCTTCGTGCCCGGTTGTTGTTGAGAGGATAACGCGTCCTAATACTTCCCCCTCAAAAGCAGTGCGAACATGACGATGGCATCGGAGAAGAACGATGCACCTGCTGCATCGAACTCTTCCGCGAGCGATGTGGAGATTGTCCCGGGCACCATTAACGAAAAGAAGTTACTCAGAACGTTGGATCTAAGACTCCTGCCTGCGGTGTCAATCTTGTATCTGCTGAGCTTTCTTGATCGCAGCAATGGTGGAGCCCTTTTTATTCCCAGTGCTCATGGAAGGAAGTATACTGACAGATCTTATAGTCGCCAACGCACGTATCGAGGGCCTGACGACTGACCTCGGTATGACAGGCAACCAATACCTCACTGGTCTGACTCTTTACTTCATTGGCTACGTCCTCTTTGAAATACCTTGCAACATTGTCCTCAAACGCACAACGCCGAAGTTTTGGTTACCTACGCTTACAGTGGTGTGGGGCGTCGTGGCTACGCTGATGGGCGTCACACAGAACCTGTCGGGCTTCTTTGCGGTGCGCTTCTTGTGAGTAGCCTGGAGAAGACAGTAGTGCGAGATGAACTAATAGATTGCAGTCTGGGAATGGCCGAGTCTGGGCTATTTCCTGGTGTGGTTTACTATCTTAGCATGTGGTATAAGCGCAATGAGCGACAGTATCGCATTTCGCTGTTCTTCAGCTGCGCTTCGCTTGCTGGGGCTTTTGGTGGTGTATGCTACCTGTCTTGCGAATACGAGAAACAAGCTGACGAATACAGATCTTAGCGTATGGCATTGCGCATATGCGTAACGTTGGGGGCTACGCTGGGTGGCGATGGATCTTCATCTTGGTACGTCTATCGACCTATCCTCACCCCAGTCACTAATAACGACATAGGAAGGTCTTCTCACCATCATCATCGGGATTATCGCGTACTGGTTCATCTCGAACTATCCTGGCACCGTCAGCTGGCTCAGCGAGGAAGAAAGAGCTTTCGTGCAAGCGCGTCTCAAAGCCGACAGCGACGCAACGAACGATGAAGCATTCTCATGGGCGGAGGTACTGCTCGCGGCAAAAGATATCAAGATATGGCTTTACGCCTTCGCCTTTCATACGATGAGTTTACCACTGTACACTCTATCTCTGTTTCTAGTAAGTCAGCCAATTTCCGCAATGTACACAACACTCTAACGTCGCTCAAGCCGACCATCATCCGCGACATGGGCTACACATCAGCTCAATCACAGCTCCTCACCATACCGCCCTACGCCGTCGCAACACTCTTCACAATCTTCTGGGCCATTCTCTCGGAACGCTACGCCCGCCGCGCCCTCTTCATCCTGACTACCTCCACAGTCGCAATCATCGGCTACATCATTCTCCTCGCCAACACGAACCCCAAAGCACGACCAGGCGTATCTTACGTAGGAACCTTCTTCGCCGCCATCGGCATTTACCCTTCCGTTGCATTAGTGCTATGTTGGCCCGCCATCAACGTCAGTGGTCAGACGAAGCGTGCAACGGCCAACGCTATGCAGATTAGCATTGGTAATCTAGGAGCCGTGCTAGGTACGCAGTTGTATCGCGCGAACTCTGGGCCAAGATATGTACTTGGACACAGCTTTGCGCTGGGGTATTTGTGTTTGAATCTAGTGGTTGTGGCGGCGTTGTGGGTGTTGTTGAAGAGAGAGAATGCGGAGAAGGAGAGGACTTTGGTAGAGAGGCCGGAGACGGGGGGGTTTCATGATAGTTTGGAGGATGTGAAGTTGGGGGATCGGCATCCGAGGTGGAGGTTCCAGGTTTGATGATAGATAGTGTGGAGGATTAAAAGGTTTCTGGATGGTATGCGCTTCTGGAGATGGATACCGTGGACGCGGCTGTACCTTCCCACTCCGTCGTGACCCCGCCTCTGACAAGGGTTAACAGGTTACACAAAGATACAGTCGCCGTGATAAGAGATTCAGACGATCAGTTACAATGTACAACGCTTTGCCCAAAGATGAGAAAGCACGGTTACACCTATGCCGATGTCACATCTCGCCGTTGCTCGCGCCGAAAGCATCGCTCTTCTTCACCTTCTACATACCGTTCCTACACCGCCGTCATCCAATCACGCAGCTTGTGCCCCGCTAAACCCATCGTACTCCCTGACTTTCAGGAAGGAGCGAGACTTGACTAGCACACTTGCCTTTCTCTCGTGTATGAAAGATGACCCAGATCGCGTTCCCGCTGTTTGCATCAAGCAGAACATGGCAGCGGCATCGATAAGCGTTCTCATAGCAGTGAATAAACGTAACCCACATGGTGGTAACGTGGTGTTACGGGACTTAGAGCAGAGTCTCGAGAGCATCTTTGCCATCCTTTCGCGGGTGACGAATCGTACGTGATAACATTACTTTTCCTATTCAAGACTGACCAAACTGAGCAGGAGACCGTCCTCTTGACATTGAACATGAGATCTTTATGGCGATCGTCACGATGTGCTCGCGCCGTATTCTCTGTCGTCTGAGATTCATTTCTAATGCTTGGAAGAAGCCGAAGCAACCCGTAACGGAAGTTCTGCAAACCGCAGTACTTAGTCTTGGCCAACTCGGAAAGGAAAGACTAGGTGCGCTTTCCCACGACGCGATGCTATTCACAGAAAGGGCAAAGCATGTGATACGGCTGATTGGGTCATGGAACAAGCACCAAACAACTCATCAGTTGAGCGAACTCGTACATGGAATCTACGACTTACGAACAATGGTGGATCTTGGGCCTTTGATAGCCACCATACCAAACAATATGATGGCCCCAAGCTCAAGAAGCAACCTGGTCAACATCATGAGCAAAGTCGCGAGGTACCGAGAAGCCGCTCATTTCTTGCACCGAACAGCGAAGAAGTATCCAATATTTCGGCGCATGAAGGTCGTGCCTGCCGATCTACCTGAGCACTTCTTTGATCTCGACCCAACAAGCTTCAATACCCCAAATCTTGCAGCCAAACTCATGAGGATTGATACAGTGCACCGGAAACCTGAGATAGACTACATCTGCCGCTTGCTGGGTACAACAGAATCACAAGCAAACCAGACCATTGCAACCCAGATAAGGAAGACGATGACGGAAGCGAAGATACATGCTGAAATCCAGCTTCTCTATTACTGCGAAGTCAACGACTTGCGTCCACCACCTCGAGTAATCTGTTCGAGTAAGGACGCTTGTTATCTCTGCAACGCATTCATTATCTCGCACGGGAAGATGCACATGCCTAGGTACCATGGACGATTGTACCCTGGATGGCGACTGCCTCAATGTCCAGCCATGAAAGCTACGGAGCTGAAGTTTAATGCTGTGTTGGATGAAAAGCTTAGACAAAGTCTTGGCATCATTGTTTTGAAGCGGCAAAAGACTGTGTACCCAGATCCTAATGAGAGCACGCTGCTCACTCTCGCCGCCTCTACGTCAACGCTGCGCAGTTCGCTATTATCAAGAGACACGAAGAATGACTTAGACGCTGTGCAGATCCTATCGCACGATGATGCCGTTCAAGAAGATGCTTCGGAAACGTCGAGTGTTTCGACAGTTAAAGCGCCAGTGGAAGAAGTGCAGATTGCTGGGTGTGCGACGAACGACATGAGCGTTACGATAAAGGCAGAAGCGAACGCGGAGAGTCTACTGATGAATGACACTGCTTCAGATGTAGTTCCCGGTCACTCCTATAGCTCTCGGGCTATGTCACTTGGAGAAGACAACGGCGACGTCATGGCGCTTGTTCCAGGTCAACCGCTATCGTGCATCATTACAGCTGGGAACGTGTCACCATTCTACGCTGCGGGATCTTTAGAGATGCAAATCGACTACCCTATCGAAGAAGTGCAGATATCGACCGACGGTACTCCAAAAGATATTATATGCGGTGTGGAATGGGTCGTGACTCAAGGAGCAGAAAGACCGTATGAGCATCGAGCAGCTTCTATCATCGACGCAGAAGCGCTAGAGGGCGAATCTATGTATGAGTTAGACGACCAGAACTGTCTATCCTTCATAGCTCGGGGCGTTCTGATGAAGATCAGTGTGCGACGGGGAGATCCTGAGCACTCTGAATAACAAATTTCGTAGGTAAGAGACGATTTCACATGGCGACGAACCATTTTAGAATAAAGCGTAGCTGAGGTTTACGTTGGTGGTAACTCGAATACGGCATGTCGAGGGTAAAGTCGTGGGTTATGGAAGGGTTCCTCATGGCAAGTGGGGTGAGCGCCACACGTGGCTGTGCAGTGGCGCACTAGCGCATGACGCGCCTGCCCGCATTCCCACTCAGTCAACTTTCCTGCGCGACTTCCAAGGTTGTTTAGTCTGCAATAACGCAAACATACCACACCAACCTTCACCATAGACACTACAGGTCGCTTACTCACATAACTTAGGCGAGCTATTTGAAAGAGACACCAGAAGTTTGAGTTGAATTGCGAGGTAGGCGCTTCCAAGGTTGCATTGCCCCTCCGAAGCTTCGGGAAGCAGGCAGGCGCTATGTCTGGGCTGCACAGGATAACACTGACGCCCCTCCTCCAGATACAAACTACCCGTCCTTCTATACTGCCATAACCCGATCACGCAGACATGGCTTCGACCGCGCTCATCGACGCCGACATGGCGCCTACGCTCCAGTCCATCCTCGATCAGAAGACGCTCCGGTGGATATTCGTCGGCGGAAAGGGTGGTGTAGGAAAAACGACGACATCGTGCTCCCTCGCCATTCAGCTCGCAAAGCACCGCAAGTCGGTTCTCCTCATCTCGACCGACCCCGCCCACAACCTCTCGGATGCCTTCAACCAGAAGTTCGGCAAGGACGCGCGCCTCGTCAACGGCTTCGACAATCTCAGCGCCATGGAAATTGACCCCAACGGCAGTATACAGGACTTGCTAGCAAGCGGAGCGGAGGAGGGCCAAGACCCCATGGCGGGCCTGGGTGGCATGGGCAGCATGATGCAAGATCTGGCCTTTAGCATTCCCGGCGTGGACGAAGCCATGTCCTTTGCCGAAGTGCTCAAGCAAGTCAAGTCCATGTCCTACGAAGTCATCATCTTCGATACGGCGCCCACGGGCCACACGCTACGCTTCCTCCAATTTCCCACCGTCATGGAAAAGGCTCTCTCCAAAGTGTCGCAACTCTCGCGCCAATTCGGGCCCATGCTCAACTCTTTCCTCGGTGCGTCCGGCAGACTGCCCAACGGACAAAACATGGACGAGCTGGTGGAGAAGATGGAGAACCTGCGCGAGACCATTGGGGAAGTCAATGGCCAGTTCAAGGACGCCGACCTCACCACCTTTGTGTGTGTCTGCATCCCCGAGTTCTTGAGTCTGTACGAGACGGAGAGAATGATCCAGGAGCTCAACAGCTACGAGATCGACACGCACTCCATTGTCGTGAACCAGCTGCTGTTCCCCAAGGAAGACAACCCCTGCGAGCAGTGCAATGCGCGACGGAAGATGCAGAAGAAGTACCTCGATCAGATTGAAGAGCTCTACGACGAGTTCAACGTGGTCAAGATGCCGCTATTGGTCGAGGAGGTGCGCGGCAAGGAGAAGCTCGAGAAGTGGGTATTCCACACCGACTCAGAGTGCAGTGTACTAACAGTGATTCCAGATTCAGTGAGATGCTCGTCAAACCCTTCGTCCCACCGCAGTAGGCCCGTGCCGTTCTCAAACGCGGTAACAAGTAGCCTAGATTTGAGAGCCTCAACCCCTTTGGTACCGCTTTGGGCCTCACGGTACATTTCTCTTTTGCCGATTTCTCGCCGTCTCACCCTTGTACCTTGTACATGTCTTGCGATACCTTGTGGTTCTGCGATTTCGCGTATTTCGCGTTCTTCCCCACACATCACGACTCAAGCAGCACGGAGTCCTGTACCTTTAGCGACTAGCCCCGATCTATCGCAGCCGGTGGAAATGAAGATTCTGCCAAAGCAGGAAAATCTTTGAAATACTCGTTTCCATATGCGTACATGCCCGTGGACAGCTGACTTGAAATGCGCACGCGACTTGGAGGGTTCGGAGATATACGTTAGCCGCTGAACCAGGAACGCCAGTGCCTGGGGTACATTTAGCCCACCAACACATTTATCGGTACTCTTTCGCACCCCGCATAAGCACTCTGCACTAGCCCAGAAGGGTGCTGACACCGACGTTTCTCGCTTCTACACCACCACACAAGTTCGGGGTACAAACAGCTTCTGGTCTGCTCCGTGATGTTGTGTTTAGGTACCTTCCTGTACACGTTAGGAAAGCCACAAGGCGCATCTAAATTGCCTACGTCATGCTATTACCCCGCAACATCCAGCGCCACCAAATGAACGCCGTCACGACAAGTACCGTTTGTTGCGAGCAAGCAAAAGCAATGCGCATTCCAGCTTGCTCAGGCACAGGAATCATACATGATGAGAATGCGCTGACAGCTGAGCGGCAGTGCAACAAGCAAACATGATGCACTCTATCTCCAACCAAAAGGAGACATCTCCCTTTCCAATACTTCACGCTCTATGCTGATGTCAGGCTATTATACCTCGGTATTTGCATTCATTGGCTGTCACACAAAGCTGTTACTTGTGGCTGAATGCCGGTAAACGCCCTCTTCATGCATGCGGTAGTGTGCGGGATCATGCGTTCGTCGCGTGCACCCCAAAAGCGCCGAACAACATTGACTAATCACTTTGGAAAGGAAGGCGACACACCAGACGCACGAATGAAGTAGGTGGGTCAGTCAAACCACTTAGTTCTACCGATAAAGCCGACGACGAACTGCGACGACTGCAACTCCTGCGACGGAGGGGTGGCGGTGGATGTTCATGCGACGCCGATCTCGAGGCTGAGCACATCCGGCATCTACAACAACCGCATTCACGTATCGAGGTTTCTGTGGCGTACACCCAGCCCAGCGGCGACATGTCTAATCTTAGGATAGCCACGTTGGGCACAGACGTCCCCTGGACAAGCGCCAGACAAGCGTATCTCACCCCGGTACCCGTAGCTTTGGTGTGGGTGCCGATCACCAGGATGGTCCCACTACCTGATCCGTTTACTTTGACCGCCGGGAATACTCAGCGGCAGGGCTTGTAAGGATCTGGTGTACTGAGGTTAGTGAAGATGGCGTGGTAAGTATATAGTCTGTCGCGTTTCACGCGGGTGTAAGTTTGTAGTCAGGCTGTGTGCGGTGTATTCACTCTTCTGTGCTCATCTCGGGTCATTTTCTCGTCGGTACATTCTTGTTGTATATTGACATCGACTTGACCGTTTCGACACACCTGCCAATCAACATGGCACCTTCCGTCCTCCGTCTAGGAGCCCTACTGCTCGGTGCAGTTCACTCTGTCACTGCAGCACCCGTCGAAATCAACGGCAGAGGTACTTCACCTCTCCCCAACACCATCTCTACTTAGCACCCTCACTAACCCGCCTACCCACAGCGGTATCAAGCACCCTCCTCTCCCAACTCGAATTCTACTCCCAATACTCCGCCGCAGCCTACTGTCTCGGCAACAACAACAGCCCCAACACCAAAGTCACCTGCCCCCAAGGCAACTGCGCCCGCGTAGAAGCCGCCAACACAAATACACTCAGCGAATTCGAAAACAGCATAAAATCCGATGTCACCGGCTTCGTCGCCACAGACACAACCAACAAACTTATTGTCATATCCTTCCGTGGCTCCCGCAGCGTCCGCAACTGGATCACCAACGTCGCTTTCCCAGTGCTGCCGACGACGATATGCCCGACATGTAATGCATCAACCGGCTTCTGGAACAGCTGGCTCGAGGCGCAGAAACCAGTTCTCGCTGCTCTGGAGACAGCGCGGAAACAGTATCCTGACTACCGCGTTGTTGCTACTGGACATTCGCTCGGTGGCGCACTGGCTAGTCTCGCCGCAGGCTACCTGCGATCAAAAGGCACAACAGTAGACCTATACACATACGGCGCACCCAAAATCGGTCTTGCAGGCGTGAGCGATTACATTACCAAGACAGGCATGGGCGAGACGTACCGCGTCACTCACAAGAATGACCCTGTGCCCAAGTTGCCGCCTGCGTTGTTGGGATACCGCCATATCAGCCCGGAGTACTATGTTACTAGTGGCAATGATGTGCAGCCCACGGCGGGAGATATCAATATGCTGACGGGGAATTTGAATCTCAAGGGCAATGAGGGAGACTTTGGCGTTGATGTTGATGCGCATTTGTGGTATTTTGGCGAGATTAGTGCGTGTGAGGGACAGCAGGGGATTGAGATTAAGGTGTAGATGACTTTACGACTTTTATAAGCATCTTTTCTAATGTATATATTGCACTTTTAACACGTTTGCGCTGAGGATTTGTGAATAGTGATGCGATTGATACCCCACAACTGGGTGAAAAAGATGGCATCGGCGCTGAAGGAATATGGCCACAAACTCGATAATGGCACATTATGAACTCAGAGATTAATATATGAACACTTCGATTCGTCTTGTACAATTACAAATGCAATACGCAAACACCCACCCATTCCGTCGTGGACGGATCGAAGCTCAACATACCCGTAGCGAGGATGTGGTGCGCTAGAAACACGCTGGCCGATCTTTAAAACGCCAAAACACCGCAACATGCTGCCCTCCTACGCTAACGCATCAGAAACACTACTTCTTCTTGCCTTTGCCCTTGCCCTTGGTCGCCGGGCCCTTAGTCGCCGAGCCATTTGTCGCAACGCTGCTTGCACGAGATGGCGTCGCCGATGCCGATCCGGCCTTGCCCTTGACAGTGTCGAGCTGCTTGTTCTGCACTCTATTAGTATACGCAGTCATCAACGAATCCTAGAATCGACATACCTTGACACCATTCTTAGATTTCTTCTTCGGCTGCTCCTCTTCCTCCTCCTCCGTCTCTTCTTCCTCGTACCCGCGCTTGCCATTCTTGTTCTTGAGATCGCCCTCGCCGAGCTCACGCACGATAGCTGAGATGAGCGTAGTGCAGCGACGGCCAATCTCTTGTGGTGTGCGGGAGAGGAAGAACCAGTCGAAGCGGAAGAGGGGCGATTCGCGGATCTCGTCGCGGATCTTCTCGTAGATGTACTCGCCCTCGACGCCGTGCTTATGCAGCATGACGACCAGGAACTTGTCTTCCTCCTCGGTGTACACCTTCTTGTTGGTGGTGGAGACGGTGTACTTAATCTGCATCTGCTGAAGGGGCATGCGGTACATGCCAATCTTCTTCGCGATGAGGCGCTTCTTCTCTTCCGACTGTCGCACACGAAGCTCGCCCTCTTCGATGACACCCAGGTGCTTTTGCCAGTTGTCCAACGTCTTGTACTTCTTCCAGAAGACCTTGGCGTAAGCTTTGATCTCGTCGGCGTCTTTGCCATCGACCTCCTCCGAGATGCCCTCGTAGTTCTGACGACCGTACTTAGCGCTGCCATTCAGGAATTGCTGGAAGTCACGCTTGTTCCATTCAGGGAAACCCTCTTCAATCAGGCGTTCTTTCTCGGCCTTCTCCTCTTCTGTCAGTGGCTCCGCATCGTCAATCTCCTGCTGCGCAAGTTGTTGATCAGCCTCACGGGCCTCGAGATCCTCCTCTGGACCTTCCGGGAGAGGAGCTTTGAGGTTGTTCTCCTTGCGGTACCATGCGGTTTCCTTGTCTTGAAGTTCGGAGAGTCGCTTGGGGAAGAATTGGTAGTCGTGAATGGTGATCTGCTTGGGCGCGCGGGGTATCCTGGGTTGCTTGTTCTCTGTTCGTCCGCCAGTGACCAGCGTCTTGCGGTAGTACGAATCGATGCCGTAGTTTTGCTCCTTGCGCTCGCGCTTCGAAGGGTTGATCCAGGAAATGCCGATCTCTTTCTTGCGCGGCTGGAACGTCTCGCCATTCCACTCGTAGGTTGAGTCCGAGGTGAACTTTTGGAGATCGTCAAGACCGAGCGTCTCGTACCTCTTGTTGAGCTTCTCCGTCATCTCTTCACCGCGACGCATAACAGCCTCGAAGTCGTCATCGGCGAGTCCGCCGTCAGCTGCTGGACCGACGGGGCCCTTGCTTGCGAACACCTTCTCGGCGCCGTGCTGGATCATAGTCAGGAGCTCGTCCTTGGATGCGGCGTTCTTGACGGGTTGTTGCGAGCGGCCTTGTTGAATGACTAGCTGGTCGAGACGAAGCTTCTGGGCCGCACGTTCGAGCACCTTCTCCTCAATGGCCATCTCAGTGACGAACCGGAAGACGTAGACCTGCTTGGTTTGACCGATACGATGGGCACGGTCCATGGCTTGCAGATCGGCCTGCGGGTTCCAATCACTGTCGAAGAGGACGACGATATCAGCAGACGTCAAGTTGATACCCAGTCCACCAGCACGGGTAGTCAGGAGGAACAGAAATTTCTCCGACCCCTCCTTATTGTAGTCGTCGATGGCCTGGATACGGTCCTCGTGGGCGGTCGAACCGTCGATACGGCAGTACTTGTAATCGCGCATGACCGAGTAGTCCTCCATGATATCCAGCACACGACTCATCTGCGAGAAGATGAGCACACGACTGCCCTGAGCCTTCATACGCTTCAGCAGCTTGTCCAGCATGACCATCTTCGCAGCATTGGTGACGAGATGCTCATCGGTGGTGTATGGCGGGCCAGGCTCGGCGCCCTCGAACAGGTACGGGTGGTTGCAGCACTTTCGCAGCTGCATGACAATGTTGAGAAGACGGGTCTTGGACTCCTTGTTGCCGGCACCGCCGTTAACCGCGTCGATGTCCTTTTCGAGAATCTTCTTGTACCACTGAACCTGCATGTCGGACATGCCCACGTACAGGTTGATCTCCTTCTTCGGTAGTAGCGACTTCTCGACATCGGCCTTGACACGTCGGAGCAAGAAGGGTCGGAGGACCTTGTGGAGTTGTTTGACAACGGCGTCCGAGTCAGCGTTCTGAGATGTGAACCAGTCGTCGAAAGCGGCGGAGTCTCCGAAGACATCGGGGAGGAGGAAGTTGAGCAGGGCCCAGAGCTCGTGGAGGTTGTTCTGGAGAGGGGTACCTGTGATTAGCAAGCGGCTTCGAGAGTTGAAGACGCGGACCATCTGGGCGAGCGATGATTCCTCGTTCTTGATGCGGTGGGCTTCGTCAATGATGATGTACTCCCACGCGAACTTCTTCAGGTGTGACTTCTCGCGTAAAATCATCTCGTAGGAGGTGATGCAGACATCGAAGCCATCGGGCACCAAGCGCTCTTTGATAAGGTCGGCGCGGTCGTCCTTGTTACCCTGGAGGACCAACACGTTGACGTCGGGGCACCACTTGGCGAACTCGCGCTTCCAGTTGTCGAGTGTCGACTTGGGGACTGCGACCAGGTGGGGGCCGTGAATGCCGGCAATGTAGCGGAGGTAGCCGATGAAGGAGATGGTCTGCAGCGTCTTTCCGAGACCCATCTCGTCGGCGAGGATGCCCGAGATACCGTTCTCGTGTAGTGAGATGAGCCAATTGAGACCAGCAACTTGGTAGTCGCGCATGGTGCCGCCCTTGATGAAGCCTGGCGACTCCCGGAACACGGTCTCGTTGTGTCCACCATGCTTCTCCTCACGCACCAGCTCGGCGTCCTCCTCCTGCTCAGTCTTCCGGCGACGCTCCGCAGCGGCGCCTCCTTTCCGCACTTTGCTGGCCTTAGATTTCTTGGTCTCTTCGGCATCCTGGCGGTCGATCTCGGCGAGAATCTCCTTGATGCGCGGGTTGGGGTTCGTGTCGATGAAATGGCGGAACAAGTCAGTCAGACCGAGGAGGTATCGAAAGCGGCGGATGGTGTCGTCTTCCTATGAGAGAAGTTAAGTTAGTCATGTCCCGGAATGTCATGCGCAGTGACGTCGCGTACCTTGGACGCCCTCAGCCCCTCAGCCTTCTTGCCATACATGCTCTTGCGCATGTTCATCTCTTCGGTGCGTTTTCTTCGCCCGTCGACTGGCGCGTCACCTGCGACGCTGTTTGCTGTGGTGTTGGGGTTGGTGTCCGAGTCCTGTGCGCGTGTCAGTGAGGGAACCGAGTGCATGTGGCGCGGTGTCGGAGCCATCGTACTGTGTAATCTGGGGTATCCACATTGTACTGCGTCTGGAATGTTAGTCAACGTCTTCTCGTTGTCGCGCCTTCCTCCCGCATGACATGTGAGTGTCGCGGCGAGGGAGGCGCATACGGGGGGTTGCGCTTACGCCAAACTTCTTGAAGCCGTTCATTGTATCGTCCTGCTGGTCCTGCATCTCGACATCGGAATGCGCCGATGCATCATCCGAAGATGGCTCCTCCTTCTTCGCAGCGCTTTTCCGCGGCATATTGCCTGTTTGGGCTGTTCGCCGCGTGTAGTTGTGTCGGCGTCACGGTCGCAATGGCGCAGTGAATGGTACTACGTGTGTCGATGTTTCGGGGTGTTGGATATGATGACGTGGACGCGTTGGGGACGTGTTCGTGGTGGCAGAGGTTTGCGCGATGTATGTGAGGATGGGTTGAGAATAACTGTGGACGACCCTTGGCGCGTCAGGTCGGCGGCGCGCTATCCTCGTTGCGGCCGTGCACATTATCCCCATGCCTGCATCTCTAAGCCCACCAACTTCCATTCGCTCAGCGATTCGACATCTACGCGTTTCCAGCTATGAACATCACAACCACTCGAAACATAACGGCACAGAGGTAAGTTCACAGAGACGGACGCGTTTTGCGACGCGATATCGAATATGACGTCAGACAGTCGTTTTCATCACTGGTGCCATATAGGATTAATTCAGGAGTGCTACATTGCCTGCTGGCATGGATCGCTCGGACGACTGGGGCTTCAGCATACCGGGGCTACAATGCAATGTGTTGAATCATTGCTCTGACGACTTATTTCAGCCTCTCATCATACGTCTAGGCAGCTCGCCAAAGTTTCCTCTTAGGATCACGGTTATTTGCTGAACTGGTTCTTCGTAATTGATTTCTTGGGTAGGCTATCTCTAGCATGGAATGAGCCATAGCCGATATGAACCATCAGTCAAGAGCCCTGTGTTCATGATATCTCATCAACATGGTTGAGGGAGTGGATTGCAAGATTACCAAAGCATTGAGGGCCGTAGGGTGGGACCACAACGTGTCGCAAGTCGGCAATATTAAAATCAAAAAGACTGCACGAACAATTGACATTGTTAGGCATGCAAGCTCTTCTCGGCGTCTTCCTGCACCTCTGACGTCACTGCACCAAAGACAAGCCTTACAAAAGTAACAAATGCGTAGCATGATGGTGGTGTTGACATCAACGATACATCCTTCTACCTAGGTCCCGCTCGAATATGCTCGCTGCATCCATCACCATCATCTTCTCGCCCTACCACATCGGTCTGCGCGACCACCGCGTCGGCGATGGCCCGAACCGTATACGGGCCCTCGGTCTCGTATCCCAGTTACAAAACCTAGGCGTCACCGTCCACATCGACGAGATCTCCTCCGTCGATGACTTCGAAGGCGAGATAGGTCGAAGTTTCGAAGTCCTCCGCCGTACCTCTCTAGCCGTCAGCAAAGCTCGAGATGGCAACTCCTTCCCCTTCATCCTCTCCGGCAACTGCATGGCCAGCGTAGGAGCAGCATGCGGGTTGGGTATCAGGGATCTCAACTTCATCTACTTCGATGCCCATGACGACATGGATACACCTTCGACGAACGAAAATGGATATTTCGATGCCATGGGCCTGTCCATGTTGGCGGGCAAGAGCTGGCATTGGCATACGGAGCAGATACCGGGGTACACACCGATGGACTACAAAGACCGGTTCTTGTACGTCGGGCTGCGCGATGTGAACGAGACGCAGAAGAAGACGGTCGCGGAGGCTGGAGCGGACGTCATCTGGGGTGAGGCTGAGAAGGCTGTGGATTTCCCGGGCGAGTTGGAAAAGCGACTTGATGCGAGGGCTATGTCGCCATCGCTTGTGCATCTCGACTTGGACGTCCTGGATAAAAGTGTGGGCATGGTTAATGAGTTTGAAAGCGAGGGTGGACTACAGGAAGAGGATGTAGTCAAGTGTATGGGTTTGTTGCCGAAGAAGGTCACGCCGGTATCGTTTACCATGTGCTCTTTCAACCCGAATCTGGGTGATGGAGATAAGATCGCAGGTATAGGTATCCGCGCTGCCGTAGCATTCGTGGAGTCGTTGATCGTAACATCAGTGCTATTTGTGCAACGATAGCGAATGCGATCAAGAGAAATATATCAGACTTTGTAACAATGAGACCGATCACGATTCGAGAAAATGTAGCTTCCACTTATTAAAAACAGTGGACAACTCCCAGAGCCATGGGCCTGGGAAGTCCCGGGGTCGCCTTCCCGTCAAGCCGCGCGACCCCAAATCGCCCCGCCCACCTCCAAAAACCTTCCTTCCCGTTATCTATAGCGGTGATCACGACGGAACACAAACATACACATTCCGATTTCAGCGCGACGCTGGAACCTCACGCCACTTGTTTTTCTTAACCAACCCACGCGCTGTGCGCGCAGCGCCGCAGCCCACTCGCCTATACATCTCTTGCCGAACCGTGGACGCGCCACGCCCACCTGCCTAGGCAACAGCGAGGACGTCTGCCCATTGGCCCTTTACACGCAGCCTGCCATTTCTCTTGTATGCAGTGCAGACGCCATGCATAGCAGCGTCACGCATGACCTCACAGCTGAGTGCTTCGAGCGTCCACTTTTACCGGTGAGCGTTGGGGCATACATAGCCCCAGCTCCCAGGTAATGCTCATCCACGTCAAGTCGTCCCGCAACACCTGTTCGCAACTCCATGTGCACAGCGACAAAGTTTACCCATTTATTCTTAGCACGTTATTACTGAGTGTCCCCGCAAACGGCAGCTTCGTTTCATCTATGTCATCTTGACAGCGGAGACAAGACAGAACATCCAAATGCGCCTCATCAACTGCTCAACACTACAGCTGGAAGAGTTCCTCGGCACGGATATCCCGCGCTATGCCATTCTCTCGCATACCTGGGGCGATGGAGAGGTGTCGTTCGCCGATTTTACCTCGGGTCAACCTACTGTCCGATCTGGCTACCAGAAGATCATTTTCACTTGCCAGCAGGCTATCAAGGATAAAATCGGCTACGCATGGGTAGACACCTGCTGTATCGACAAAAGCTCTAGCGCAGAGCTTTCCGAGGCAATCAACTCTATGTTCGCCTGGTATCAGAAGGCGGTCTACTGTTATGCATATCTTCCCGATGTCTTGGCGGCCAATATGGACCAGGATTTCCCTAAGAGTAGATGGTTTACACGGGGATGGACACTCCAGGAGATGTTGGCCCCAACAACGGTTTTCTTCTACGATCAACAGTGGGTTGAATTGGGCTATCGGGATGAGCACGCCGAGCAGATATCGAAGATTACAGGAATAGATGAGGGGGCTTTGTGTATTAAACGGGCGTACGGGGACAACAAATTCGGTTCCTATTGCGTCGCGACGAGGATGTCATGGGCTTCCACGAGGCAGACGACACGTGCTGAGGACATGGCCTACTGCCTCCTCGGGATCTTCAACATCAACATGCCGCTTCTGTATGGAGAAGGTGACCGGGCATTTCGTCGTCTCCAGGAGGAAATTGTCCGGAAGATCGATGACGATTCCATCCTTGCTTGGTCTCTATCGCCCAGGATAGATTATCCTGGTCCTCCAGGTCTTCTACGACGTGATACAAGGGACGACCTGTGCAGAACAACTAACGTCGACTTTTTGGCTCGCTCACCAAAAGACTTCAAAGACTGTGCCGACTTGACTCGCGCTACGGAACCATCCACTCTATTTACACTAACCAATACTGGCCTACAAATCCAACTACCAATTGTGCGGGTCTTTGAATGCAGCGAGTATTACTGTCGCAGTGCTGGATTTCTAGGCCGTGTATGGATCGGGCTACTTGGTTGCTCGATAACGTCAAGCGGGAACTTTTTAGGAATTCTGCTCTACTTGTACGGAGACGAGCATAGTTCTAGCGCAAGAGCGATTCGTAAAAGGAGTCTTTACAGTACTGTCAGTGTTGGTCCAAGAGTCGCTTTCGGTTCAGTTAGTAAAACATTGACAATTGCTGGACTTAACGGGTTTCAAGAAGCACCAGACTTCGACTACGTGCGCGATGAGCAGGTTATCGTCAACGAATGTAAGGCCATCCGCAGTCTTGATTATGAACTCCAGGCTTTTAGTGCATGGAAGTTTGTTCGGTCAGGAGAATCACTAGAGGCTTACCAACCGCTTTGGGATCCAGTGGCCAAGATTCTTACCATAAGGTGTCATGAACGGTTTCAAAGTGTGTTCGAATTCAGTTTCGAAACATCTCCGAGCGGTCAAAATCCCAAGTTCACTGTCTTCGTAAACCGGACCGGTAGAGGTACAGTAAGAGCAGGAAATGTCTTCTCGGAAGATGAAAGACTTGCCTTACATAGTCTTCTCAAGGACGACGGCGATCCGCCTTATGACAAGGATCGGGCCGATGACAAGGGCGACGTTCTGGTACATGACGGCGAAGGACGCTCGTTTCATATCAGCGTTGAGGTCCACACTAAGATTATTGGCCATCACGAGTTGGTCAGAGTTAACATTGACGCTTTAGAAGATGGCTTTTCGGACAAGGAACATGGCTGGAGCTGTGACTGCAAGAAGCATATATATTTGCATTAATCTATACTCGGTATTCGTTCTGGTTAGCTGTGCCTTCGTGTTGTACAAAGGGCTACACATGCATGAACAGTTTCACGTCGTCCTAGAGGACAAGTCTCATCCTCGCGTGAGCAAAAAGTAAAAACTAAGACGGCCTACAGCCCGACTATACGTGGCTGTGAATGGATTCGAAGCCTGTCATCCGGCACCGATATGTCATGACCATACTTTGAGATAGTCGAGCAGTATAAAATATTCGCATCACCGTGCACTATACCAATCTTCGGTCATGAGCTTCTGTCGCCAAGCAGCCGGGAATCTACATCCGCAATGGCGTCTTCCAACAGTATATACACATCACGTGCGCGCGAGGTTCATGCACGAGTCTAATGCACGCGCGGGATGGAACCTCGGTGGCCTGTGAACATCAAAGGCGTGATAATTCTTGTGAGTGTACCGATAGACAAATCTGCGCAATTGCCTATCCTCCCAAGTGGGCCCACGTCATCGGCGCATTCCTCGGGCCTGGGGCGTTCGCTAACCACGTTTGCCCCGCTCAGAAAGCCGCATCTCCACTCTCACCTCCACTCTCACCTCCAAACCACGCGATAAGAGCCGTTAGCACCGCCAGCGCGCGGTGGCATCGGACAGCTATCAGCGTCCGCCCGCCTTCCTGTTTACGATGCTCTGGACGGCCTTTACGTACATGCGCAGCGCGCGTAAGGCGTGCCGATGATGCTGGCCAGTCAGGTTGAAGGGACGAGCGCTTATCGCACGATTTTTGTTGTTGATCCTGGTAGCATCGCAGACACCGACTTGGCTTGTCGTTGGATTGAAGATGGGTTAGGGAAAGGATCGGAATCATGACTCTGTGTGCCAATGGAGACTATGTCTTGGAGATCAATCTCTTCGGTAAAGCAAGAAATACCGCCAACGTATAAAGCTCGCAGGCCTGCAGCCGAATGAAGCTTCATCACGAACTTCCACTAGACCCCGGTTTGAACCTTTCGTGAGCAAGATGCGCTTCTCTCGGTCTCTCGGCATCGCGTCCTGCATTGTCGCCGGTGTGCAGGCTGCCGTGTCTTCCACTGGATTCACGGTATCGTTGGCCGACATCGACTACTTCCTGCCGCCTAAGCCAATTGCGAAGATATCGAGCTGCGAAGAGATCCAAGCCTCCTTCGAAGATGCTCCGTTTGTGCCGTTCACAGTGGTGAAGTCTCACGACGATGGTGTGGATGTCGCGTCGCTTACAGCAAGCTACTCGCATGATGATGTATGGCAACAAGGTTTCATGGACGGTGTGTACCCAGTCTGACGCTTACAGAACCCTCGCTGATCATATCTCCCAGCCGTTTACGTCCAAGGAAGCGACTCCAAACCAACGAACTCTTCTTTGACCATACTGTCGGGCACCGCATCCAAGGAACTAGCTCCGGGTCCCTACTTCATCAACGCAGTTGGTCATGTCTACGAGGCATGGAGGCTGTTCTCCGATATGCAAGGCGCTTTCACTGAGTCTGCAATCGCCAACGGTGATGGTTCATATTCGGTCTTGCCCGCGGGAACTGTGGGCCAAAAGCATGCCATCGCCGTGCCTTCGCGACTGTACTTCACCAAGACGGCCGAGAAGCCTCTGGCTGGTGTGCGTATCGGTATCAAGGACATCTACGGTATGCTATTCCGACATCACGTCGCCTATGGTCTTGTAGCATTTATTAACAAGGTCTTCAGATATCAAGGGTCTGCGAACATCCAACGGAAATCGAGCTTGGTACTGGCTGTATCCTCCTGCCAACGCGACTGCACCTCCCGTTCAGAACCTGATAGATGCGGGAGCGATCATTGTTGGCAAGATGATCACGTCGCAATTCGCTAATGGTGAGACCGCAACGGCTGACTGGGTTGACTACCACGAGGCATTCAACCCCCGTGGTGATGGCTACCAAGATACCTCCTCCAGTTCCTCCGGTGGCGGCGCTGGTACCGCGTCGTACTCTTGGCTCGATGTCAGTCTCGGATCCGACACCGGCGGCAGTGTGCGCGGCCCATCGCAGGTTCAAGGTCTCTACGGCAATCGACCGTCTCACGGACTGGTTTCCCTAGACCACACCATGCCACTGAGTCCCGTACTCGACACCCCCGGACTATTGGCGCGCAACCCTCAAATCTGGATGGAGGCAGCCCAAGTCATGTACGGTCCCAACATCACCATCACAAGCAGCTATCCAACAAGCGTCCAAACCCTTGGCTGGCCCACCGAAGTCGAAGATGTCGCGGATCAGCTTCTCGTCGATTTCCTAGGAAACGTGACCGACTTCCTCAGCGCCAACGCTACCGCCTTCAACGTCACAGCGTCTTTCGACACTGCGAACACGGATGTCGCACCCCTTACAACCTTCATGAACCTCACCTACGCCCTCCTAATCACCAAACAGCAGATCGAGCTCGTCCGTGAGCCCTTCTACGCCGACTATGCCGAAGTCCACGACGGCCGCCTTCCCTTCGTCAACCCTGTCCCGCTAGCTCGTTGGGGCTGGGGCGACAACCAAACCATCACCGTCGACGAGGCCGTCAACAACAAAACCATCTTCCAGACCTGGGCCAACGAGACCTTCCTTGCTCCCTCGCACGAGACATGCTCTGAGTCCTTGATCATGTACGTCGGCTCCACCGGCGGTACCACGTACCGTAACACGTACTGGGACGAACCCGGTGTTCCTTTCGGATTCGGCAACAGCCGTATCTCGGTTATGGCGGAGGTACCGGACTATGTTGTGCCACTGGGTGAAGCGCCGTATAACTCGACTATTACGGGTCATGTGGAGTATTTGCCTGTTACGGCGAATTTGATGGCGGCGAAGGGGTGTGATGGCATGTTGTTCTCGCTTATTAATGAGCTTTATGAGGCGGGTATCTTGAAGGAAAGTATGGTTGGTCAGAGTGGGGTTACGGGTGGGGAGATTCTATTGAGGAGGGATGGGCTGTGGTGATGATACTATACCTCCTCGTGCAATACTGGATTATCAAGTGCAACATCAAGCCGCTTAATACTCACGTTCGCTCATCGCAATCGCATGGCCCAAGAAGGCACTATGCACGTAGGAAGGTTGTAGCAAGGACGGTCACCTGGGCAGCTTACCGGAAAGTATAGTAAGCCGGGGCAAACTTATGAGCGGCGGTTACCCTGCTATCCATACAGCTTCTGAATACCGCGCATCTTTGGTTTCTTGAAAAAACCAGCAAAACGGCTTACCGCCTACATCGAGCTATGTTTGGACGAGAGTACACTTCTTTATCTAAGTGAAAGTCTATATTGTCGTCTATGAGGTCTTTTCGATAAATTATAACACCATGTACGCAGCAGCGCGACGCACGTCACATCTCAGGTGACAGAACTGTTGAGGAAGAGCCGGCCGGGCCTGCGGGATCATTGCCCCACCCAAGAACAGCATCGTGTAAAGAACCCCATTCTGAGAGGCACCAGCACTCCGCCACAGCCATTACATACATTTGCAAATACTCAAGCTGAGCCTGAAGCGCATCCCCCTCGTTCGTTGCCAGCATCCTCTTCGCCATGCAGCCTCCGTGAATTGCCGTTATAGGTTGCTCTGCTTCCGCCCAATGACATCGGGACAGCCTTCTGTAAACGCGATTGTTCATTGGTGAACATGCACATCAAGCTGGGCTGACCACGTATGGTATCATTATACGGCTGCTGCTTACTCCCAGGCGAAGCCATTCTTACCCCACACCAGCTTGAGTTGTTACGAAGCACGCTCTAGGAACGTTCGCCTCACACCCTGCAACGATGGCAGTACCATCTCCTCAACATGTGGAGCATTCGCCGGATTCGTCGGAACCGACCATTGAGGACATCACGGAGCTGTGCGGATTCTGTGTTGAGCTTACTAAAGCTATCGTAGATATCCCTACACATGAGAGTATCTCAGCGCTGCCTTCGTCGCAGTCGGCATCTTTCAGAACAGATTGGAGTCCTGGACCCTGCCAATTCTGTGAACTGATACGGAGGGATCGACGTGTTGAATCCATGAACCTCACCACTCAGTTTATATCTGACAGTAACCTGGGCAATAGCTGGGGCTCCGGAAGATCACGACGCAGCCGAAAATGTGCGACAAGTATCGGTACCTATTCGTTCGCTATATGGGCGGACTTAGGTAAAGAGCCCGGAATCTAGTAGCGTTGGACGATAACAACGATAGAACTTAGGCAGCGCTGCATCTAGGACCCTAACAAACCGACCACCAATTCTTGGCCCGCAAATGAAAGCGATAGGTGATCTGATACAGCAAAGGCGAAAGGCTTGCAGCACTCACATACGCTGCATACCCGAGGACGACACACTAATGCCAACTCGTGTTCTGATCCTATGTGGAGACGATGCACGACCCTCGATCCGACTCGTAGAAAGCCATGGCCAGGAAGGACGATATATAGCTTTGAGTCATTGTTGGGGCTCAACTGGAAAGCAGCTAATCCGCACAACCTCCAAGAACCTTAGGGCTCACCAAGATAGTATTACATTCAAGGATCTCCCGAAGACATTCCAGGATGTCGTAGAACTCGCACAAGTTATTGACATCAAACACATCTGGATCGACTCACTTTGCATTCTGCAAGATGATCACCAGGACTGGCTTTCAGAAGCAGCGAAAATGGGCGATGTTTACCGGAACGCGGCTGTAGTCGTGGCTGCCTCGGGTGCGAAAGACTCCAGTGAAGGCCTCTTCACCAGCAATCGTCCAAGGACAAGAATCGTCCGTCTAACTTATCGAATAGCTGGTGATATCAATGGTACATTCAACATGATGGAACTGTCCGGAGATTGGGACCCGAGGATTGGTCCTCTTGAGAGACGGGCTTGGACGCTTCAGGAACGTTATCTTGCGCGACGTCTCGTCACATTCATGCCAAATAGCGTTGGATGGATATGCCAGAAAAGTTTGAGACATAAGGAAGAAGGTGTACTCTATGAATTCGGCCAAGAACGAGACTGGCTTTTGCTATTGCGCTTCTATACAACAAGATCTCTCACGATTCCAACAGACCGCACTGAGGCCCCCAGAAGAATTGCCGAAGAGTTCCAATGTTCTCGGAAGGATCGATATATTCTTGATTTCGGTGTGTGGGAAGACAACCTCGTGATCCAACTACTTTGGTGAACTAGTGGTCCGTACTTCGCGGACGGTAACTTGCCCAACATGCCTTCCTGGAGCTGGGCCGCCACTAAGAGTGCAAAGAAATGGGCAAAAGGTAGCTGGCGTTTCTATAAAGACATTGAGCAAGCGGAAGAAATGCCTGAACTATTGAAGATCACTTCTGCAGGGCACCTTCAAGTACTCGGGCACTTGAGTACCGTCCGCCCAGTTCTAAGTTATGTGGGACACGAGTCCACAGCATGGCGTCTTAAGGTCCACGAGCTTGAAACGCTTTATAACTGGTGGGGCGAGAGGCATGACGGCTTCTATCTTCTTGCGCAACGATTAGAGGGTACCTGCGACCAGAGAGTACTAGGAATTGCACGATTCGATGACAGTAGAACAACGTCGTATACACATGCATGTATTCTCGCAAAGGCAAAGCATAGACCCGTGTTGTTACTTGCGCAACCAAATGTGGAAAAGGTTGTTATTGTAAGAGTTGACCATGTGATCATCACCACCCGCTTATACTGACGCTTGCTAGGGAGACGTAATTTACCAGGTACAGCAGGACTTCACGATCGTGTACTGTGCTCTTACCCTCCAGCAGGTCGGGGGAAGTGAGTTCAGACGCGTAGGCATCGCAACTTTGTTACCTCTCGCTTATGGAGCTTTCAAGGTCCAAGTTCAGGAGTTTGAAATCATCTAGGGTCTACAGCCTACAATAGCGTTGAACAGGAAGATCGACATATTTGAGAGCAATGTAGATTCCCAGGTCATCAAATTTCCACAGTAAGGTCTACGAGCATGGCGTTCCTCGCAGCTGGGGCGCAGCCAACCATATCTCACATCTTCATCCCCGCAACCTTACCCTTCTCCGGCTCACCCTCCTCATTCTCATACAGCGGATTGACCTGGACTTCCCTCAGCCACAGCCTAAACGACTTATCCAATGTCTTCCTATTCATAACCGCACAATCCTTGATCTCCTGCGCACTCAGATACGACACCGCCTCCGCATCACCCCCCGCAATAGCAATCGCCCGCTGCAGCAGTATGCAGTTCTTCTGCGTATATATCGACCGGTACACCGCCTCCTCGATGCTAGCACCAAACGTCGTAAACCCGTGCTTGTGCTGCAGTACCACAGGGTTCTCTGATGAGAACCGCGCCGCCAGCGCCGCACCGAGCGTCGCGTTCTTGATGAGCAGATCGTGTTCCGAGGGTGCTCGTGCCGTCCCATATAGACTGTCCATTGTGAACACCGATGCGCCACCCGGGCCCATGAACCCAGCCATGTGAAAGACCGGTCGTACAGGATGCGGCTCTTGCGCACCGTGTCCTACAGTGAAGGGAATGACGTCCTCGGAATGCGAGTGCACCACGCAATTCACCTTGGGAAACTTCCGCAATATCTCCCCATGGATGTAGCGTTCGCTGTAGCCTTGTGGCGCGTCGGCATCGACGGACGTGGAGTCCTTGACCCAGTACGAAATGAAGTCGCTCATGTTCTTGACGAGTGCTGGGGCACCGGGGTCGTAGCCCGCGATGATGTATTGCTCCTTGTTGAGCGGGTGGCGCACGGATATGTGGCCAAATGCGTCAACGAGGCCGTGGTGGTGCAGGATGTGGTTTGCGCGAATGAGCAGGCGCAGTTGCTGCTGGAGCTGGGGTGGGATGGACATCTTTGGTGCTCGCGACTTGCGCTCTTTGGGCTGTGGCTGGGTTGGCGTGGGCGGGCCTGTCTTGAGTGACTCGGCGTTGAGGGACTCGGCTTTTAGCGATTCGGTGCGCGCTTCTTCGATGATGGATAGTTCTCGTTGTTTTGAAGGTCGGAGGTATTCTTCGGGTTGTGGTGAAGGGACTGGATGCGATGCTAAAGCGCGTGGATGCGACGCTTCGGCGGCTTCCCTTTGGATCTTTTCAGCGGCGCAATAGTTGCAGAGTACCATTTGTGTGTTTAGCACTTGAGGGAGTGCATTGCGATGGTTCTAGAGGCCGATTGCCCCGTCTTATGGGTCTCGCGAGCGATGTTTCAACGTGTTGATGGAAATAGTAGCCTTTGAAACCGCGGATGCCTTGAAGCCACTAGCACTCTCTCTAACTCTTCGCTTGCGTCGCGAACTTGATGGTGTCGCCTGGGTGCGATGTGAGACGATGCAAAAGGCGAGTGACGCTTTGCGTCTATCGTTCGCGATAACGCCGGTGCATCGTGACATGCTGCTAGATGGGTCGCGGAGGTGTTGCGGGGATGCAGCCGGGCGATTGGGCACGCATGAGGGGATCCGATGTTCTAGCGCCATTAGCCTTCCCGCCCGCAACACATGGTTCCCATCCATCACTTGCCCCACATGGCGCCGACCCCATTAACCTCCAAGTCCGCACCTTGAGACGGAACACCACAAACTTCCAGACTCGCGACGTCGACCCTGTATCACCAAACCTTATGTTGAGGCGCACGCTCTGTTAATCGCTACGTAGCCTTCATCACAATGGTGGCCCAATACTTGCTGGCTGGCATAGCAGCGGCGGGACTGGCATTCTGGTATGACTTCAAGAGCTGGCAAAGCTTTGGTTCGCGACCCTCGCAGTCTGTGTGATTGCGATTGCTGAGTCGTTGCAGGAACTGGTGGCACGCCTCCCACTCTAGAAGGCTACATCAAGATCCGACGATGGGGATTTTACCTGCTCTACACACGCCAGAACCTGCTCGACTCATCTCCTATTCCCGATACAGGCGCGTCTTACATCAAACCCCAGAAGGTCCCGAACCGCGTTGGCCGTAGACCAGGGCTTACACGCTGGACCTTACCACAACGTCAATTCCCCGAGAAGATAACACCTGCTGCTTCCACCACTCTTCACGAGCTCATGCGCGAGTTTGCGGACACAAAGGCGTACTCAGAGTATATTGAGACACGACCGAGCAAGACGGAAGGCGGAACTGGACCTGCCATCTACGTCAAGCCAGACGTCAAGACCATCAACCCTGTCGCGCACAAGATCTTCTACGAGGTTGCCCATGTGCATCCAGCGGAGAACTCGCTGCATGTGTATGTAAGCCCACAAGACGCGAGACTGGTGATGAAGAGAGGCTGGGGACAGCGCTTTCCAGTGACTTGGTTGGCACCGCCGAGCTGGATCATGGTGTATGCGCCGAGGAACGAAGAAGAAGTCGAGACCGTCAGGGAGATCGTCAGGGCTGCAGTATGCCATGCTGTCGGGATGGATGTCGATGCTCACGTCTGACCGAGCGGAAGCGCAACTCGCGGAGGTGCTACACACGGTCAGTATAGCTGAACGTAATTATCAAAACTTTTCCATGACTAGACTTTTGCGCCCCATGAATAGATTGTGTGTCGTTCCATGTCTGGGCACGGCACTGGAGAGGAGAACCGACGCCAGGCGCTAGCCCCAACGGCGCCTGCCGCTTCCGCCGCATCTGCACCGCATCCCCCACTCTCTTACGCTAGCCTACACATGTCGCCCGGCTTCAACAACCCTGCAGCATGGCCTCGATCCGGCATGCTATGTTAAGACCGCTGATGCCGCGACACAGTATCTCTCGAACCTGTCCTCGTGTCTTGCCTCCACCGTCGCAGCATTACACTTCTCGTACCCCAGACCACAATCGTTCGACATGGGTAGCATCGACACCAGCCTGAAAGTCATCGTCATCGGCGCCGGTATGTCCCATTCCCTCGGCACAAGACATGCTTACTAACATACCAAGGCCCCGCCGGTTGCGCGCTCGCTCACGGGCTCAAGAAAGCAGGCATCTCCTTCAACATATACGACAAAGGCGCCGACGTCTACCGCCATCGTCACTGGGCTTTCACATTGGGCTGGGCGCGACCATACCTGTTCGATCTCATCCCGGAAGAGCTTAGCGCCCAGATCGACTCATGTCAAGTCGACCCGTACGTCGACTGCGCCGCGCTCGGTGAAGATCGGATCGTCATCTACAACGGCCAGACCCGGGAAGAAGCGTTCGCATTCCCGATACCAAAGGCGCGCGAGATCAACATACGAAGACTACGCATGCTGTTAGCCGAGCAACTGGACGTCAAGTATAGCAAGAGCTTTTCGCACTATGAGACGACTAGAGACGGCGGAGTGAAGGTGCATTTCGAGGACGGTTCAACTGATGAAGGCGACATCGTCATAGGGATCGACGGTGCCATGTCAAAAGTTCGCCGCTGTCTCTTACCCCGCGAAGGCAACATGGACACTCTTCCCTTCGCCTTGATGAACTTCAACGCGTCGTATACCGCCGAACAAGCGCTTTTCATCAAAGAACGCCTCCACCCACTCGTCGACATCGCAATTCACCCTGAAGGCCACTACATCCGCGCAAACGTGCTCGACATGCCGGACGCGAAAGACGCGAGTACATGGACGTTCCAGATCCTCTCCACCTGGCCGCTGAAGTACGTCGAAGACCACGATAACGAGACCAATCGCTTGAGTCGCCTCAAAGCGCATGTGAAGAGAGACGGATGGGCGGAGCCGTACAAGAGCGCGATTGAGTGGATACCAGACAACACGCCAGTATTGCGCGATCAACTGAAGATATGGAAGACGGTTCCCTGGGACAATCACGACGGAAGGGTGACGCTATGCGGTGACGCTGCTCACGCTATGACATTCCATCGCGGGCAAGGCGCCAACAACGCCTTTTACTCTGCGCACTGCCTTGTAGAAGCGTTGAAGAGCGTGCAAAGTGGAAGCGCGATCCTCAAAGATGCGGTCACGGCGTACGATGAGAGCATTTGGAAGCGCGGCGCGAATGAAGTTCAAATCAGCAAGGCGCAGACGTTCTTCACGCATGATGGGTTGGACAATTTCATTAATAGTCCGGTTATGCAGTTAGGGACGAAGCCGAGTCATGCCGCGAAGACGGAGGGCTATAAGTAGATTCATTGAGGACTAGATGTAATCACTCATCACAATCGGCGACCTCCAGTCATACGCTGTCCCCCGCAATTGCCCGACCTGAACGATCGCGTTACAAGTTTGTACCATTCGGCAACAATCCGTCGCTAAGATCTGAACACTGTCAGCTTTCAGCCCTTTAGTAATCGTGAGTTAATGGTCATGCAATGTGCTTACCCTGTAAAAGCGGCGACATGTCTTCAACATTTTGGAGAGCCCTAAGTCCGCTTTCTAGTATTCTGAGCTTGTCACCACACCGTATCCTCTCGCCCGAAGATTCTTCGCTCTCTGAAGCTAAAGCAGTCACCGTCGCATCGTCCAGATCGATCACGTCAGCTGGCGAAAACAGAGTCGGAAGCTCTTGGATGAAACATGCTTCGACAGCAAGCACTGCGAAGTCGTCGATGAGTCTCTTGAGGGCGACTTTGTAGTAGGCCTCCATGAAATCGGTGGCAGCGGAGCTGGCGTAGCTGTTCATATTCGCCTCAGTCTTAGCGACCAGAGTGTTGACCAATGTATCCACGTTCAGGCTAATTGAGACAGTGCCCTTCCCGCTATGGTCGGCGCCGATAACTTCTTTCAGTGATTTCTTAAGCTCTCGGGCTTGTCGTTGGCTCTGCGCCTTCTGCACATTGTCCGTGAGGTAGTGGTTGTACGTGATCGGGTGGCTAGACTCGTGAGGTTTAAGAAGTTCCATGACTTTGTCGCGGAGTTCCGCGGTCAAATTTTCCAAACGAACGTCGATGAATTGCCTCGTGAGGCCAGCGAGTGTCGTGTCATCACACACGTGCTCTAGAGCTTTGCGAGCCAGCCTGTGAGCAGCACGGATGATTATCTCCAAGCATTCATCGACCATGTCTGGCCACGGCTTTCGTTGTTCGTGGAATAGCTGCCCGACAATAAGTGGGTCGAACGTTCCAGGCAATTCTCGACCTCTGCTTCGCTCCAGAAGTTTGCTCACGTTGGCAATGTAGTGTGCGCGAGATGTCTGGTATTGGGGTAGAGGTCCAGTCGATACTTCGTCTAGGATAGTGACAGCATGGCCTTTCTTGCGCATATCGGCGGCGAACTCTATCAGGGTGGTCTGGAGAACAGCTCGTAAACGCCGTTGATAACCTTCATCGGTTGAAGCGTCACCAAAGAACGGGTCTGAGTATTGACCGTCGACCGCAGCTGTGATGAGTGTAGTGAATGACTGGCTGACTTGCAAAAGGTAACGTCGTTGGTCTGACGTCGTGGCCCGGGATGTGCCAAGAGTGTTCAGCCGCCCTGTACATCCCGCAATGCCGCCCTTGATCTGCGCAAGCACATCGGGAAGTTGTGCGACGATATGGTCCTTAAGGATCTTGCTGAGTCTAGGCTTTAGGCTGTGAACTCCGGTTCGATCTGCTGAAAACTCCTGCCAGACTCCGCTTGCGAAGAAGAGAGCTTCGGCTTTGTCGCGCTCTTTCGTAGTCGCGTCCTTAGAAGCGTAATCCCGGTTACGAAGCACATGCCATCCTAGTCGAAACGTTACCTCCTTGTTCTCCGCCAGCTCAAAGTAGAATCGCTCCATGTCAGATCCCTTGTCCAGTGTGTCCGGCTTTGTGATCAGCCCCAGGGTACGTTCTCCGGCTGGGTCGATATCGCGCGAACACTTGGTAATCGACTGATTGTTGAAGTCGTTCTTGGCGGATACGACGGCGAGTATGATGCTGCGTGGATTCGTCATGTACGAGAGTACAAGCGATTTCACCGTCTCGGCATCTGTGTCAGACTGAGAACGACTGCCGGCTTGGAACAGGCCGGGTAGATCAACAAGGGTAAGGTGCGGCTGTTCGGGTCCAGATAGCTCCAGGCGAAGGATGTCGGAACTGAACACTTTACTGCCTCCTTCCGCAATACCCATCGCCTCCTTTGCTGCCTCTATAACGGGCTCAAGGTCGAACTCTTGCAATGAGCCGGAGTAGTGAAAGTTGTGCAGCTTCTCTAGGTCGCTCTCTGAGCGATCTTTCTCGCGCGAACCAGGAACGATGCTGATTTTGATTGGTGCCTCTGGGCCCCGTCGAAGGATCAGCTCAGTCGCAAACCTGGTGCAGAGGTTATCCTTGCTGGGAAACTTGACGCCCGACACCGCTTCGAGCACAGAGCTCTTGCCAGAAGACTGCTCGCCGCATACGATGATCTCGGGCAGGTCGATGTAGCGATTGATTCCATGTGATCGGAGATTGTCGACAATGTCCAACAGGTCCTTCGTTTCGTGAGATTGCAGGGACATGGTTGGTGGTTGGTTGGTTGTAAGCGCTTCATTCCACGTTGAATATAGAGCAGGGAAGTAGATTGAAGTTTCCTATGAGCACAAAGAATACGCGATCGATGACATTGCGTGGGGAATGATTGTGCGCGAGACAACGGCCCAAAGCGAAGTGATTCGCGTTTTGAAGAAGAGCAAAGTGCCAGGACCCTGTTCTTTGTACCTGTCATTGCCGTACATGAGTGCGCGTAGCTACGGCTGGTAGCCCGGCATTGCTCGAGTGATAGCATACCACGTCTCCGTTCTGCGATGCATTCCGCCCCAGCGTACGGCGCGAGAAGTCGCAGGCAGGTGCAAGCTGAGCGTTCTAGGAATGCGACGCCCCCGAACATGAAGAGAAGATCAGCGATGTGGGAAGGTGAAAGAGCCAATAATCGCTGATAACGCGACGGGCCGAAGATCCCCCCGTGTATGCCTTGGGAACCCCAGTGGTCCTCCTGCGGACGATGAGGCAGTGATTCGCTATCGACGACGCATGGTCCTACATATGGTGCGCGCGTCGGGACGTGGCAATACATGTCGGCCGGCTGAAGGACAGAGCCCCCACTGAATGTGGCACAGTAGCTTGCAGACTGTCGTAGGCATCAGGCTGCAGTGCGTTGTCTGACGCTGGAGCGTGTCGCAATGTATGCGCCATCGTCGTGTGCGCCGACGGCTGCGGTAATCACGATCGCGAAGGTTCTGATAATCTCGAGGTTGTTTTTGCTACACGGAGCGTGAACGCCTTCCCTGGCAGGGCGCCAGAGCGGACACTATTTTCGGCAGCCTTACCCGAACAGTGCTGATGCTCGGCGCCCCCGGTCGCCTCTTCCCCGTCCACCATTGACCACCATTAGCCTGCCTCTCCGCGATGTCGACTGTTTCTTCCGACGCAGCCTTCGACCTATCACGCAAATCCGACCTTGCGACACGACTTCATCGATGTGCTCACGGCGTCTTGCCTTGCACAGGCACCTCCGCGGCTCCAGACGACCCATTCTACGATCGCAAAGCCCTGAAACATAACCCCAGGCATGCATCTGACCTCTGCTTCGAAGCACAGCGTCACGCATCGTTTCCAAGTCCCTCGTTCATCCCAAAAAGCATGGCAGTCTTCGCGTCGCAGTCTCGTCGCGCGACGCGTCTCGCATCGCGACCCAACTTGGAGGACGGCTATAACAGTAGGGTTACACCGTAGTCAGGTACATGCTGCTTCGCGTTAAACGATAATGTGCTAGTAAACCTGCGCCGTCGACACGTCGCATAGTTGCCGTCATAGGCACTCGAATCGAGTTTTAGTCTCATCTCCCCACGTACAACGCAGACTGGGACTTTTTAGCCTCATCAAGAGTTGCGCATCACCTTCGTTTGCATTTGAGAACACTAGGGACAATCCGACACGCTTAGACTGACATTGCCGTGGCCTGGAAGCGGCGGGCATCACAGACAGCGGAATAAGCCGCAAGTGTCATCGAGAGTACATTCGCACGTATTTCCGATTGCCTCTCATAACAATAATTGTGTCGCACGCTGGCAAATACCTCACGAGCGTAGAGGCGACGTCAAACAACAAATCAGTGACGACCATAACAGGGCGGTGCGATAAATCCGAGATGCTTGATGTTGGAGAGTTCTCAACAGATGCGGCTCAAGCGGTTGTTCCTGGTAAGGCTGCGCAGATCTAGATCAGCCACATGGAAACGACAAAGAACACATTATACCACTTTCCCGGAAAACCTGCCCAGCTCTCAGTCTAGAAAGCCTTCTGTGGGTCAACTGAGCTTCGCGGGATAACGAAGCGATCGAGTAGCATCATGTCAGGCCATTGTTATCCGAGTCAGGGTCCAGCCTGTGGGGACGGATCGTGGATCATTTCTCGCTTGTTGGCCGCCTTACGGAAAATCCTTCACCGACACAGGCCATTATCCTGTCCCTGCATGCATGGCGCTCGTGTAGAAGTCCTGTCTCTAAGTCATGTGAACCCCTATGGAAAAGGACGCGTCGATGGTTTGACAGACTACATAGCCGTCTCCCCGCATGGTGAGTTTTGAGTTGGGCCGTTTTCTAGACTACATTTCTGTCGACAACCATGCCGCGAGAAGATCGATCCGGAGAGTTCACCGGCGTCTTGGGCTTCTTCATCTGTACTTGTACCCTGCTAGTGCTGCTTCGATGCTACTGCAAGCTGGTCCTCGTGAAGAACTTCGCGGCCGATGACTACTTCTCTATCCTTACCCTGGTATCCTTTTTAGTCTTTTGTACCTCCGCGTTGCTAGGTCTCCAAAATGGAACCGGGAAGCGACGATATCTCATCCCGGACGAAAAGTACCCCATCGGCATGAAGGTGTGTAGGACCACGTCTACAACATATCCCATATGGCTAACGACTCGAACCAGTGGTGGTGGACTTGCGAGCCCACATATGTTGTTACGAACATCTTCCTCAAGATGAGCATAGGCATCTTCCTGCTCCGCATCGCCCAGGATAGAACTCATCGCACCATTCTTTGGATCGCCCTTATCGTCATCCAAGTATACAGCGTGTACTTCTTTTTCGTCTTCACCTTCCAATGCTGGCCCGTCTCGTTCTTCTGGGAACAGTTTCGCGGCGGCAAAGGAACCTGCATTCCCTCCAAGTTCGTCGTGAACTCGTTTTACGGCTACTCTGCATTGTCCTGTGTCACGGACTGGACATTCAGTATTGTTCCAATCTTCATCGTGCACAATTTGCAAATGAATAAGAGGAAGAAGATGACGGTGGCTGTTGTACTCGCTTGCTGCGCCATGTAAGCTTATTTCGCCTCTAGAGTGCTCCTTGAATCGTATGCTAATTTAACACCAGCGGCTCCACCGCGACAGTCGTCCGCATCCCGTTCATAAGCGGTCTCAACGATATACCCGATTTCCTCTACTCTACTACCGACGTCGCAATCTGGTCCACCTGCGAAACCGGAATCGGTCTTGCGACCTCCGCCGCTGCCACTCTCCGCCCCTTGCTCCGCCAGGTGTTTGGTGAAATGTCGACGCATGATAGCACCTCTCGCAAGCAC